ATTAAAGAAATAGAGTGCAGCTGTTCAAAAACGAAAAATCGCCTTCCTTCAAAATTAGCTTTCTTTCATTTTAACCTCTCATTTAGGTGTGTTTGAACTATTGGCTAGCCATAGAGACTTGTATTAACCTCTAAGTAGTATTTAAAGTAATTTATCTAATACAGGTGTGTATATATAAGCTTCAATTAGCCAATTGTCAGGTCTAAATCAAGGTCTAAATTAAGGATATTTTTTGACATAGAAGTAGAAGTAAAATAAATGCAGACTAATAGCATTATCATAACACAACTTTAATATGACACTGACATATTTTAAATGCAGGAACTCAATATACAATCATCCTGGCTGGTGCAGGGCAAGAAGACATTAGCAACAAAATAAGATCTACTCATGTATACATTCTATACAATCATCTGAGAAAAACTCAAATTCCTATTCAAAGTCCTATTCTTTCCATAAGGAACAGTGACAGCAAATATGACTGTCAAGTTTTGGCTTAGTATTGGGAAGGCACCAATTTGCTTCAGAAACATTGTTATACAGCCTTCTCATGGATCATATGGAGAAGTTCATTTAGTGACTGAGAACTTCACTGGGGTAAATCCAGTTGTGCACCCTCAGCCTTTTGTAACCACACAGTGTAGCAGTTGGCTCCATACTGTTTTGGAATGATTCGCTAGCTGTGTTCTGTTAGCCTCCCAAACAAGTACCTCAGCCTCCCTCACAAAGACAGGATGTCCTGACACAACTGGGGGTTCCAGTGAGATATTGACCCAACTCCACATCCTCATCCATTTTTGAACCTTTAAGAGGAAGACCTGCAAATGAGTTCTCTGGTTCACATGGTGTTGTAGACCAGATTTAATGCTGGATCATCCCTGATTGTGTCACTGTATGCTCACAGGTGAAAACTCTTTCCCAGTAGATGCAATAATCAACATGTGGATCCAGAGCACTGCTTTTTACCTCCACTGCAAAAATGCTGAAAGATCTCACATTTTTTGGTGGTCCATTTATATCAGACTACTCGCTAGCTGCAGTGCCGTCAAAGAATTAAATTTACATGTATGTATTTGCATTTGTGCACAATGTGTATTTAACAGAAAGTGAGTCAAGAGTATAGTAAAGTACAGATCATATAATACAAACAATACAATGCACACGTCAACATCCAGGATCCAAACATTCATTGCACTGTCACCACTTAGCAGTCATGCAACCTTTTGTGCATTAGGTTTGTTAAATATATGAAATCAGTAAATTTTAAGTATGTCAGCGAAAGCTGCAAGATATTTTTCTGTCCCATTTTTTTCCAAACTGAAATCAAAGCTAGGTGCTCAGAGAAAACTTCGATTATATACAACTGTGTCACCCTCCATGTTAGCTGTAAATGTAAAGTATAAATGTGGTAACTGCTGTGACATGACTTGTCTGGGGAAGTGATAGAGAGCAACAGAAAAAAAGAGGGAAAGCAAAGGGGAATGAGGGGAGCATGAAAGAGTGAGTGTTGCTCACTCCCCCTGATAGACCTAGCTAGGCTATTCATTACTCCCTGAACGCCAGCCAGTGTCAGTTATATTACTGCAAAGCCTTCCCTGACTGACGTCCACGAGTGGGGGGAGAAAAATGGCTGAAAAATACTGCTCAATGCCCTGGGAGGAAACAAGGAAGGGGCTGTGATGGATGGGTGTGTTTGACCCAGGCTGAGTGGAAGGCAGAGTTGGGTCTCTTCCAGATGAGACAGGCAGTGGGCAGAGCCCCTGCCCCTCTGCCCAGAGCAACCCAGCCTTGTCAGGATGAGAGGCATCTCGCTTAGCTGCCTGCGTCAGTGCCGCTTTCACTTATGTCAAAGCAGAAGCTCTCCATATTCAACAGATAACGCTGGACCTCACGTGATGGGAATACAGAAGCACAGTTAGTCCATCAATTGAGTTGGTGACAGGCCTGATGTCAGCATGAGGGCACACACCCCCACCTCCCTGTAGCATTCTACAAAACAATGTTGTTGTAGCATCAGACAGCTTTGGAATGATATTATGCCCCCTATGTCCTCGGAATACTAAAACACATTGCAGAAAGGTAGAAGTTTACAGCTCCAGAACTGTCCACAACCACCATACCAAAGAAGCATTAGTCTTTACAAACTATCTTTAGATTTGTTCTAGATTTGTTTGTTGTGTTTTGAAATACTGGTTTGTAGTGCTTCGGTTAGTTTTTAATCAAGTTGTGTGTTTGATGCCCTCATCGTATTTATCTCCCACACTGATTAGTCCTTTTTTATTCAGAGAGAAGAGATGCTCTCTTGCACATACACGGTAATGATGTTCTGTTTTCAATCTGTCAAACTTTTTTACATTTCTCTAAAAATTAGGTGTGTGCTAAAGTGATACCTTTAACAATTCAATCTAAAAAATGATCGTAAAACCTTTGATTTCCATTGAATTCAGTTTACTAATGTTGTCATTTTTGTTTTACCTGCGTCCATTGCATGAATCCAGCAGATTAGCATCAGACAGCATGTATCTTAAACGGTGGCCCAGCCATGTGTTCAGATCTTGTTTGTGTATGTTACTAAAGAGGCATCATTAAAGAGATGAGTCTGTCTTAGCCATGTTATCTGGATGACGAAAAAGAGTCCTATCAATCGTAGATCACCTGAGAAAGAAGAAGGATTTAAATCTGCTCTTAAGTGCAAAGGTCCTTGCACATCGGGGCTGACGCAAATATAGAACGCGAAATTCCGAAATATTTGGAGGCGAATTTTGACACGCCTGACTATACACATCCAGCCTGATGCGATTTTGTGACTTTCCCGGGGGAAAAACATGCATCCCGGGTGAAAGCGAGAAGACTGACACAACACGAGACTGACTGTTTTTCAGTTCTGATTAGACACTAGTGTTGAGATGGCTGTCTGTCATGATAGCATGTTTTGAGTCGGGCCATTACCAGATAAGCACATTAAACTATAATCCATAAACATAAGGTAGCAACTGAGACCGAACAGTGCTGTGACGACAACAACGCAATTGAGATTGTATCTGAACAGGTTAGCTTACAAGCTAAAGTTACTTAGCACAGATGAAAGTTAAAACAAATATATTTAGCAAACTGTAAAAGCACACAAACCATTGTCATATGTGAAATCCGACGCTATGACTCTTCACAAGTTGTCCTTCAGGTCATTATCTTTGTAATGTTTGTGTCTTTAATCAAAAATTACTCTGCTCTCCGACACATCAACAATTAGCCGGTCGGCCATGTTGGATATACCGGTGAATCTGATGTCGCAACAACACGCAATCTGATTGGTCAAAAGTGGACACACGGTATGCAAAACTTCAGAAAAATCGACTGTGATCTGAAAAGATAAATGCCGCAATATCGCAGGACGGTAAAACGTTGCTGATGTGAACGCTTATATTGACAAGATACGGGTTCGAAAAAAAATATTGACGTCTGAAATAATCGCATGAAAAAAACTGTCCCGGTGTGTAAGGACCTTAAGACGGATGGCAAACAACCGGAGCATCCTGGAGTCAAATTATACAAACTGTGTTTCGTATAACTCACACACACACACACACACACACACACACACACACACACAATCAAAAATAATGAGAAAAAAAAAAGGGTTAAAGGTCTTATGTTGACCTTTTCATTGCTCATACATGTGGTGAGACATGAGGTCATATATGCACCGAGGGCTCGTGGTATACACTCACCGGCCACTTTATTAGGTACACCATGCTAGTAACGGGTTGGACCCCCTTTTGCCTTCAGAACTGCCTCAATTCTTCGTGGCATAGATTCAACAAGGTGCTGGAAGCATTCCTCAGAGAGCTTGGTCCATATTGACATGATGGCATCACACAGTTGCCGCAGATTTGTCGGCTGCACATCCATGATGCGAATCTCCCGTTCCACCACATCCCAAAGATGCTCTATTGGATTGAGATCTGGTGACTGTGGAGGCCATTTGAGTACAGTGAACTCATTGTCATGTTCAAGAAACCAGTCTGAGATGATTCCAGCTTTATGACATGGCGCATTATCCTGCTGAAAGTAGCCATCAGAAGTTGGGTACATTGTGGTCATAAAGGGATGGACATGGTCAGCAACAATACTCAGGTAGGCTGTGGCGTTGCAACGGTGCTCAATTGGTACCAAGGGGCCCAAAGAGTGCCAAGAAAATATTCCCCACACCATGACACCACCACCACCAGCCTGAACCGTTGATACAAGGCAGGATGGATCCATGCTTTCATGTTGTTGACGCCAAATTCTGACCCTACCATCCGAATGTCGCAGCAGAAATCGAGACTCATCAGACCAGGCAACGTTTTTCCAATCTTCTATTGTCCAATTTCGATGAGCTTGTGCAAATTGTAGCCTCAGTTTCCTGTTCTTTGCTGAAAGGAGTGGCACCCGGCCTGGTCTTCTGCTGCTGTAGCCCATCTGCCTCAAAGTTCGACGTACTGTGCGTTCAGAGATGCTCTTCTGCCTACCTCGGTTGTAACGGGTGGTTATTTGAGTCACTGTTGCCTTTCTATTAGCTCGAACCAGTCTGGCCATTCTCCTCTGACCTCTGGCATCAACAAGGCATTTCCGCCCACAGAACTGCCGCTCACTGGATATTTTTTCTTTTTCGGACCATTCTCTGTAAACCCTAGAGATGGTTGTGCGTGAAAATCCCAGTAGATCAGCAGTTTCTGAAATACTCAGACCAGCCCTTCTGGCACCAACAACCATGCCACGTTCAAAGTCACTCAAATCACCTTTCTTCCCCATACTGATGCTCGGTTTGAACTGCAGGAGATTGTCTTGACCATGTCTACATGCCTAAATGCACTAAGTTGCCGCCATGTGATTGGCTGATTAGAAATTAAGTGTTAACGAGCAGTTGGACAGGTGTACCTAATAAAGTGGCCGGTGAGTGTATATCCCGCCCCCCTTCCATCCTGTTGAGTGAGTGACGTAAAACACGCCGACGTCACAGAGTTGACGTTTGCGGAAGCAGATCTATGTCCTATCTTGGTAACTGAAAAACCAAACGGAGGCGATGTTTTCCTGTTAAATCACAAACGAATCAAAAGTTTATTCAGACATCCCTCTGGATCTCTGCGGTTGATTTACAGGGACAATCTCCGTCGTTGTCAGGCTACTGAGAGACGGCTAAACTCCGACAGACATGGAGGTAAGTGTTGGATTAGCGATGTGAAAGGCAGCAGTGCTAAATAAACCTCTGCTCCTGTATCGCATATATAAAGTCATGTTATCAATACTGCCCCACTACATTCATCATATCTGGAGTTATAGGTCGTAATCTATGAGTAGCAAGTATTATAGTCGTGTTTTTCCACGCTCTGACTCAGGACCCTGGTGGGACTGGATCCGAGTCTGTTGCTCCATCACCAGCAGGTTCAACCAAGTCAAAGGTACATCATATCTGTAAACCTCTTTATTTTCATGTGTGAAACATGTCTGAATTCAGTAAGAGTTTGTACTGTGTGGTGTTGATCTGGTTGTTTCTGTTCTCAGCTGGACACATTGTCCAAAGATGATCTGATTAAGTTTGCCAAGAAGCAGATGGCTGCTCTGCAGAAGATGAGGAGTCGATGTGCAGGTAGACAGCTGGACTTCAAATACAACTCTTGTTTAATTTTTTATTTTATTTGATACATTGACTTCGCAGGTCATTTGTGCTGACTTGTGTAATATGACCTCTGTTTTTAGATTTGGAGAAAGAATTTGAATCCCTCAAACAACAACCTAAAAACAGGAACACCAGTTCAGATGATTCCACTCTGATTCAGGTGAGTTCTCTGGGCACTTTCTCATCATGTGCTTCCTGTCAATATTTGCCTGTTAATATTTGCCCATCATTGTCATTCCTGATGTGGATCACTTGGATATGTGTAAAAGGAGCTGACAGAGAGGATGGATGCCTTGCTACTGGAAAAGGCAGAAACTCAGCAGAGCCTTGCACTGTCCCGAAAGGATCTCGAGAAGACTAAACAACAAGCTAAGGTAAAGTACAGCAGCAGCATGTATGGATTCCTGCAAAATACAGGTTATTTGGCCAGATTGACTGAACTCCAAAGAGCTGCTCTCCTGCTCTATGGCTGTACCTGTTGACATGCCTAATATTCTCATCTCAAATGTGATTTTGTGCAGGATGATCTAGCAGCCCTAAGGAAGGAGCTTGTCCATGTTATAGAAGACCACCAAAGAAAGATCAAGACCCTGGAGAGCACTATTGAGGAATCGAACAACAAACATCTAGAGGAAGTGACGCATTTTCAGAATTTACTGAAAGAGCGAGAAGAGATTGACAGGCAGAGGGAGAGTGAAAGAGAGAGGGAACACCTCTTAGAGGCTCAACTTAAAACCCTTCAAGCTGAACTGGAGGCAGCCCAGGAGCAAAAATTACTGGAGATTACTGAGGCACAGGAGAGTTGCCAGGGGGAGTTGACAAAGGCCCAACAGGAGGTGGAGAACCTGAAGGAGGAGTTGGCCCAAAAAAGTCTGCAGCATGAGGAGGAGATGAGGGTTCTGGAAGAGGACTGTGAAATGGAGAGAGAGCGTCTCCTTTTGCTCCATGAGGAGCTGACAGAGCAGCTTGCTCTCAAAGGTATAGCAGCGATGATTTATAGATCATTTATAAAATCAGGAGCTTAATCTGTGAGAGGAAAGACTGCACACTGTTATCAGTAGGTCCATTTCCCTGATACACAGTCTGCTCTGTGTACTAGACCACTGATTTCTGTCATACATTCATACACATATATAGGTGTGTGTGTGTGTGTGTGTGTGTGTGATGATGCCAGTAAAGCAAAGACTTCTATATTTCTGGGCCTCAATATAACATCACATTCTTCTAAGGTTGTATGATTTTTTATAACTTTTTATTTAATGGTACGTCCTGATAAAGACTTGTATTTATTATATAAGTTAAAATCTTATGTTGAAGTAGCCATTGATCCACTTGTCTGTTGTGTTTGTTTATCTGTTTTTTTATTGGATGGACATTAAAATCACTCTCTTGGCTAACTCTACTCATATTTACTCCAGATAGCTTCCTGCAGGATGTGCAAGAGGAAGATGAGGAACCAGCCCGTGGTTCAGGGATTGCCAAAATGCTGGAGCTGTCTGGCTGCACTCAGGGTGACTCCAGCCACAGCGATGGAGAGGAGACAGAGATTGGGAAACTCAAAGTAGCCTTGGAAGAACTTCAAGCCCAAAATACCATGTTTCAAGATGAGCTCACCCTGCTCAGTAATGTGAAAAGTGAGCTTGAGTCAGAGCTGGAGAGGACTAAAGAAGAGTCCCAGATGGAGCGAGAAGAGCTGGAGTTCAAAATTAATGAGCTGCAAGTAAGCCGGGACAGTGCTCTCAATTACCAGGCTGTAACCCCAGACTCTGAGCAACAAGAAACCAGAGGAGAGCAACTGAGTGAAGTTCATCAAAATGGAGAAGATCCTCTTTCAGCCAAATCCAGGAAGTCAGCAATGTTTGCTGGAGACCATAATCTCCAAGATCTAGTGGAGCTGCGGGTTCAGTGCGAGGCCTTGACTATAGAGAGGGACTCTGCGATGGCTGAGTGTCAACACATGAAAGAAATTCTGCAAGAGATGAAGACAGAACTTGGTGAGAAGACAGACGATTTTGCTCTCCAGTACAAAGCCATGAAGGACCAGGAGGCAATCACATTGAAGGATCTCCAAAACAAGATAGAGGAGCTTATCCAGGAGAAGGAGGAGGTGATGGAGGGGATGAAAGTGGAAACAGAAGAGAAAAACAGTCTGGAAAAAAACATTCAGGACCTGAAGCTTAAGCTTGAAGCTTCTGTTGGAGAGGACAAGAATCTGCAGTCATCTGTTGAGGAGCAAACTGCTTTAGTCTGTGAGCTGAAGCAGTCTGTGGTTGAACTCACCAGGCAGAACGAGGAGATCCTCTCCCAGCTGCAGATGAAGGAAAGCGCCACTCAAGAGCTTAAAGAAATGGTAAACACATTGAGTGAGGAAAAGAACAATGTGCAGTCTCAGCTTCAGCAGAGAGAAGAGGAAATGCAGAGTCTGAACGATGAGAAAACAAAAGAGATCCAGAGACTAACAGAGGAGAAAGAAAAGGAGGCACTGTTGTATAGGGAGGAGAAAGAGAGAGAGTTGAAAAGCCTCAAAAAAGGGAAGGAAGAAGAAGTACAGCTCTTAAAAGAAGAGAGGCTCACAATGGAGGGAAGCATGAAAGAGGAGGTTGAAAGAAGGCAAGAGAAAATAAGTTTTTTGGAGATGACAATTAAAGATCTCTCCTCTGACAACACAGACCTCAGTAAGAAACTGAAAGAGGCCTCTTCTGGGCTTTCCAAGACCCAGGAAACAGTGGAGCTTTTAGGGTCCAAGCTTGCAGCCGTGGAGGCTCAGCTAGAGCAGGAGATGTCTGAGAAGCATGTCAGAGAGGCAAACTTGAAGTCAATGACAGAGGAAGCTGAGCAGGCCTGCACCACAATCAGGACTCTGGAGGAAAAACAGGGTGAGGTACTCCACACCACCAGCAGAGAAGTGGAAGCGCTCCGAGCACGTATAGATGAGCTGGAAAAGGAGAGGAACCTATTGAAGAGTAGTCTTGAGGAGGCTCGAGGAGAGGCTACATTAGAGGAGGTACTAAAGGAGCTTCAGGCTCGTATTGCAGATCTGGAACAGGAGAGGGACATGTTGAGAAACAACTTGGACGAGGTGCTGTATGACACTAAAGGGCTGCAGAAAGACCTGAAGGAAATGAAGTCAGCCAATATGAAGGTCAGCATGGAGAACCAAAATCTGCAGGCCCAAATCTCTTCAATGACCCATGAGGGACAAGAGAAGGAGGATGAGGGGATGGAGAAGGAGATACAGGAGCTTAAAGACCAGCTTGCAGACAAGGCCTCTCTCATTACTCAGCTGAAGAGTGAGATGGTCGTCCTTCAGGTGAGTGGAGCTCTGGATATCTTCTACTCAGAACTTTATCAGTCCACAAGACAGACATTTGGTAATGTTGGTTCCCAGCTTTTATCCTCCATTTTTATTACTGCCAGATATCTAAGATGTCTGAATATGTGTTCGTAGGATTTAAGACAACAAAAGAAACACCTGTAGCTAAGAAAAGAAAAGTTGCTTTTGTAATGTTTGGGTTGACATTTGGCATTATTTCAATGAATTCTAAAAGACTATGGAGGTCAGCTGATGGCTCTTGTGGCTCATGAAACTCCACTGTTTTGATTTCTGTCATTTGGAGGAGAGTTTAGATTTGCCACTCCTCCTGAAAGGCAACTCTTCTGAACAAGTATAAATTTGCGGGAAATATTCCTTTGATGGAAATTACGTACTGTTTTGTCCTATAATAAATTATGTTTAGTCAGATTGTACCGTCTGTTTGTTACCGTCTGTCTTTGTCACTTCTCCATCAGGAGTCTGCTGCTCAGTCTGTCTCCTCTGATGAAAATTCAGTCAGTGAGAACGCACAGAAAATTGGTATGAAAGTGACCCTCAAATGAGTATTTTAAACTATGTCACATAAATTCCTTAGCGTCCCTGCTGTGTAAGGCAGGTGATTAACTCTTGATTCAACAGTATATCCAGAGTCTTTCTCATACTCTGTCAGAACTGCTTCTGTTTGTCTTTCTACAGCCCATCTGGAGAAGGAACACAAAGAAAAGGATGAGAAGATGAACAAAATAAAGGCAGTTGCCATTAAAGCAAAAAAGGAGCTGGACATCAGTAAGAAAGAGGTACAGGGAAGAATGACACTGATGAGTATATGCCACTTTATCCTCAATTTAATTACCGGTCTGTGAATATATAATGCTTTATACAAAATAAACAATGTATTGGAAGGGTAAAAAAAAAAAAAATCAGTGGGATACAACAGATTCCATGTCCATGTCAATTCAACCAAGAATCTCCACTCACGTCATAGATTTTAATGAAATTTGGTGGAGTGATTGGCCTTCAGGAGAAACTGTCAGAGCTCAAATATTTTTGTTCAAAGCCATCTAATTAGTGAGATAGAGGCTAATGAAGTTTTGGCTAACTAGCATGACATGCGTTACAAAAGTGTTCATATCTCTGGAAGTATGGCACATAGAGAGCTGATTCAGGTGTCATTTTAAAGCTCTCTTCAAGTTCTATCTTTTTGGTCATGGCATTTTTTTCCCAAATTGGACTAGAAAAAAATTATAAAAGACCAAAAACTTAAATTGGAAATAGCAAAAAACGCGCGTCCTTCAATTTTCTTCATATTCACACTAAAGAAAGACGATCATGTCCACTAGCATCCCTGCAAGTTTCAGGATGGGCATTCCATAACTTTTTGAGTAATCAGTCAAAATGTGTGGTATGTTAGGTCGAAAATCGCCATATTTGGCACATTATACGGTCCTGACCTCATCTGGAGTCAGCCCCACTTGCCTGCTTGTGTAAATTATTACTTCCTCATAGTGCAAAATGCTTTTTTTGAGTGCTTTCTTTGGATATTATCCCATATTTATATGAAAAATGGCTAGAGTAGCATATATTTGCTCAGATTTCCATCGCATTTCATTTCTATTTGCACCTATATCCAGAACATGAATGATCTTAGCTTCATGGGACAATCATTTGGACATACCTGCATGTCCTGGATCCTAGGGTTGACAAATAACTTCTACCTTTGCACCCTGAAATTTTGTTGCTGGTTTCCCTGTGAAGTATTCCAGGCTATTTATCCTGAGCCCTTTCAACATTTCCTTCATACTTCAGAAGTACTTTTAGCATGGTGATCAAGCTTTGTGCAGCTTTCCGATATTGTTAGTTTGTTTTCAAATAGGAAAGAGTGTCTGAACTACAAAGAGTTTGATAGCGTCAGTGTAAGGAATGATGGTTCCCTAGTCGTCTTGGTCTTCTGGCTTTCAGTACATGCAAATCTTTGAGAAAGAGCATATCAGGAGAGCTACAGTAATTAGCAACCATTCCAAAATATACTAGAAGAAGTTGGGCAAGAGGAGAGCAAAGGAGCCATGTAAGGACTATAAAATAATTTCACTTGAGTAGTGAATAATGGTGCTCTGTTGCCCTGAGTCTCAATTTCTTGATGCACTTTGGAGCAGAGGCAAATCAGGTAAGCTACAAGAATGAGCTCGCACTTTATCTACCATATTACTGTATCAAGGAAATTGACCAAGAGTGAATCATAAAATCTGGATTCCCCCGAGCAAGTATTGGATGATACCCTACTCAAGAGAAATTATTTTAATAAAATTATTAACAAAAGTACTTCAAAAGTATGCTAAAAGTACTTTTAAAGTATAAAGGAAATGTTGAAAGGGCTCAGGATAAATAGCCTGGAATACCTTACAGGGAAACCAGCAACAAAATTTCAGGGTGCATAGGTAGAAGTTATTTGTCAACCCTAGGATCCAGGACATGCAGGTATGTCCAAATGATTGTCCCATGAAGCTAAGATCATTCATATTCTGGATATAGGTGCAAATAGAAATGAAATGCGATGGAAAACTGATCAAAAACAAGCTATTCTAGCCATTTTTCATATAAATATGGGATAACATACAAATGAAAACACTCAAAAAAAGCATTTTGCACTATGAGGAAGTAATATTTTACACAAGCAGGCAAGTGGGGCTGACTCCAGATGAGGTCAGGACTGTATAATGTGCCAAATATAGCGATTTTCGACCTAACATACCACACATTTTGACTGATTACTCAAAAAGTTATGGAATGCCCATCCTGAAACTTGCAGGGATGCTAGTGGACATGACAGTCTTTCTTTAGTGTGAATACGAAGAAAATTGAAGGACGCGCGTTTTTTGCTATTTCCAATTTAAGTTTTTGGTCTTTTATAATTTTTTTCTAGTCCAATTTGGGAAAAAAATGCCATGACCAAAAAAGATAGAAGTTGAAGAGAGCTTTAAAATGACACCTGAATCAGCTCTCTATGTGCCATACTTTCAGAGATATGAACACTTTTGTAACGCATGTCATGCTAGTTAGCCAAAAATTCATTAGCCTCTATCTCACTAATTAGACGGCTTTGAACAAAAATATTTGAGCTCTGACAGTTTCTCCTGAAGGCCAATCACTCCACCAAATTTCATCAAAATCTGTGAGGTGAGTGGAGATTCTTGGTTGAATTGACATGGAATGACCCTATATCAAAATCTAGTATGTCTCTGTGAACTGTCAAAGTCTTCCGTTTATATACCGGACAGTTTGAGAAGCCTGTTGGAGTTTTAGGACACCAGATAGAGATTGATCAAAGTGACATTTTCTCCTCAGTGCTCGGATCAGTCATCCTCCAAAACTTGATCTACTGTCTTTTCAGGTTGAAACCCTGAAGGCGGAAGTGGAAGCACTCAAAGCAGAGAGAGAGAAGGTTAACAGCTCGATGAAGGATATCATTCATGGAGCGGAAGGCTACAAGGTTGGAGGAAAAACTACCAGAACATGCTGTTGAAGACCTGGAACTCAGTGTTTCAGGAGTCTCACTCAAACTTACTGCCTGAAGATCTTTTTGCTTAGAACTTCAAAAAAAAAACGTCAAAGATCAACTCCAGAACTAGTAAAAATGGGCTGATTTTAGTTTGATGGTCATGCGTTGTTTGATGATTGACAGAAGGCTGGCAACACAGCTGCTCATTATTTTAATCGAAAGCTTGTTTACTCATAAGTGCTTTGATTTCAGTTTTTTTAAATAACTGACATGCTTTTACAGCCTCAGTTTTACTTCTGTACTGTCCTCTGTACTGTAAATCTAATAAGGCTCCATCACATTATGTGGATGCAGTAATACAGCATTACTCGGGTGGTCAAAAATCTGTGAGAACATTTAGATGTAAGTTTTCTCCAGAAAGAGAAGCACAACATGAGGTGAACCAAATCAAATGAACAGCTTTGGTCATGAAACATCTGGTTGACTGTATGCATAGCTAATATGTTGCGAAGTGGCAGGTGTTAGCATGCTTCATTTGGAAGAGGACTTTTTGGAGATGATACTCCCAGAGATTTCTGTAAACAGCCCCTTGGCTGTAATGTGCTTTATGACTGTGTCTCCATTAGAGGAGAGGCCACTCCACTGTCACTAATGACACTTATTCCCATGCTCATTGTAAATGCAGCTGATATTTGAGATGCCTTGTGTTTACCTTTAGCCAGCCTCCAGTAATGAATGAAATGCGTGTTTGTGTGTGTGCAGAACCTGCAGATAGATTACGACAGGCAGACGGAGCAACTGGATAAAGAGAGGGAGAAGATGGATGCAGCAGAGAGACAGATTGCCGAGCTGACCAAACGACTCAGCAGTGCTGTCACACAGGTAACACAGCTACACACTCACACCTTAACACTAACAAGCGCACAAACTGCTCTCACCCTCCAGTAAATCTGTGCAGTGCCACTTTGTTGAGCAATACATCTCAACAGTGCTGCTCCCATCACTCAGTTTTCCTCTGATTTACAGAGTGGTTTTAGCCAGTGACGCTTCACCCGGCTCTGCCTGACAGCCAGCACCCACAAATAGCTCATCAGATGTGACTGCTGGGGAGACATTTTCTTTATGTATACTGCTCTCCCCAAGCTCATTACTGTTTCTCACCAATGAGAGAAAACAACAGGCTGGTAAATGGAGCGGAGGATAGTTTCCATCTGCTGTGTGCTCGTGCAACTCTATTTTTCAAAGCCCAGGTTTATTCTTTTGTGTGCTCGTTGGTCTCAGGGGGCGGCAGACTGAAAGCTAGTCAGGTATCCTGGAGTACTTCCTTCCACCTCTGTTTACCGATAACAGTTTGAGTATTTGGCTGACAGATGACGGGGGTGGCTGCTGCTGCTGCTGCCATTTCTACTGGTTCAGTGTTCCTGGAGGAGAAGGTCCTCAGAGTCTGCAGCTGTCAGTTTTGCATGAATGACTTTTAAATGTGTCAAATGGTGTCTTGAGGTTTTTCAGTTGAAATGTGGACTAATTAAAGCAACAATCTCTCAGAGAGGGTCTTCTTTTCAGTCGAGGTCTTTTAAGAGGAATTACAAAAAGATGATACCATATTTTCAACTCACAAAGCACCTAAACTTAACAGTAGGTCTCTCTAAAACAACATAATAGGGGCTTCAATAACTTGCTTCTATATAGACGTAAGCCTCTATTCATATACCATAAATGACCTTACATTACTTTTATTCTGTGATCGTTCTTCATTTGCCATATTTTCTACATTGGCACAGAGTTTATTTTCATGGGATGCTAACATATGTGGGTTTTTTTTTTGTCTTTCCAGACTGAAAGTATGAGCAGTGAAAAGGAGGATCTACTGGCCAGTATAGAGACTTCAAGGAACACTGTGAGGCAGTTAGAGGCCCAGAACCAGGAACTGCAAAGACAGTCTGACCACCTGGAGAGAGACCTACTTGCTGAGAGAGCTATGAAAGAGCAGAAGATCAAGGTAAACATTAGGATGCTTTCAGATGCTCTCTCCTTTGCCCTAATCAGTGAACATGATAGTCATTTACAGTCAAATATACATACTTCCTTCCCTTGTGTATTTGTTTGCTTGCTTCACCAGGACTTGTCATCTGCCACAAAAGAAGTCGAAGAGCTGACAGCCCAGCTACGCAAGCAGCAGCAACAGTCTCAGCAGACTGCCCAGGAGCTGGAGCTACTACGCAAGGTACACACACACACACACACACACACACACACACACACACACACACACACACAAACTGCCTCTCAGACACTAGTGTCTCTGAGGGCCTGTCCAGTCAAGCTGAACTCGTGATGGCTGGCTTGCAGCTACAGCACCTCTCAGATAGAGAGAAAGCAGCTCTTGCCCACAGGACAGGAGCTGCTGTTACTTTTCCATTAGTGGAGGGTTTCATAGTACAGCAGTGAACATGGAGGCTGCCAGGAGGCAGGACTTTGTCCTCTTAATAAGACAGCCCAACAAACTACAGCTTCTCTTGAACCACAACCTGATGGTGAGAGTATAAAAAAAGATCATGAAACATTAGTTCTATTTCTTTCTTCAGAAATCACAAAGAGATTGTTATTAAAGACCAGAAATAATGATCAAAGCATACTGACATCATCACTGGAGGTGTATTTAAATTGAATCCTATAATTAGATTATTGTTCACAATTCCTATAATGGTTAATATATGATAACAGAATTTTTGTTTTCTTCAAGCTTTGCTGAATTGATGCAAAGGATAGAACACTGTATCATTTCAAATTCCTCTTTTTATTCAGAAAGGCACAACTTCATCACAAATATCATGACACACTTACATTAATTCAGTTTGGACACAGTAATGTTGTCCATACTCCCCTTCTGAAGCTTTTTCCACTGACCCAAACCTTTCAGGGCCCGGGAGCACACCCTTCATACAAAAATTTAAATAAAATAAAATAAAAGAGGGTAGGTTTACACAAAGCACAAGTGTGGTCAAATAAAATCGGGTCTGATTGGTTTTCTAAGAACTTTCTCATTCCATTTAACTTCTCAGTTTAATGCTACAATGTTACAATGCCATGTAGCACACGCTTTTCTCCAAAGCAAAAACAACACAAGCAAAAAGACAAGAAGAAACAAGGTTAGCAAAAACCACAAAGAGCTTCAAGTCCATCTGGATACACACTACTATGCAGTGTAAAAGGAAATACACAGAGTTAATAAAGTAGTTAGTTTTTATTTCGGATGAACATCAACAAAGAAGTATAAGACCTCTCATCATCACTGTCAATGAAATCGTCTTTACCACAGTAATGACCAAAGTACCAAAGGCTGGTTCACTCGCAAAGGGCTGGGCACAGAATCCCAGAAATAGAGCAGCACAGTCTGAGCCGACTGGAGCTGAAGACTTGTTCTACTACTGGGGACAACAGTGGAGACTGCTCTAGATAAGTGCTTAGGATCCTCTAAAGAGCTGGGTCTTCAGCTGTCTTTTGAAAGTAGAGGGGAACTCTGTGGATATGCTTGATTTTGATATTAATACTTCATATTGAATTTCCTTTCAGGGATCAATAAAGTTTATCTTATCTTAATTCAAAGCTGAAGCATACTTAAAGTTAAAATGACTTCATGACAATGAAATGACTTGTCATTTGTGCCCTTCACGTGTCGAATCTGCCCCTAGGAGGCGCAGCAGAGCTCTCTGCTGGACATGGAGATGGCAGACTATGAGCGGCTGGTGAAAGAGCTCAATGCCAAACTGGCACATAAAGATGAATGTGCTGAAGAATTGAAGGCCCAGATAACTTTGCTGACGCAGAAAGAAAACACCCTGAAAGAGGAAGTTGGTATGTAAAGGATGTTTGACTCTAGTTCTACTCCTCAGTACGTTAATTGAGCCATGGATGTTTTTTATAATGCAAGGGAGGATTAGCTCGTGACTCCTCCCCTTTTGATCATACAGCTTATCTCATTGTTTCAAAGAGTGTCTTTAAATGAAGCTTTAAGTGTAAATTTCACTGTAACCACCTGATTTGATTCTGTGGATGTACGTTTCTGTGTGTGTGTGTCTAGAGTCTTTGAAGTCCCAGCTGGACCTGGGGGAGGAGAAAACCTCCAAGATGAAACAGCTGCTTTTGAAGACCAAAAAGGACTTGGCCGATGCCAAGAAACAGGTCTGCTCTGTGTCTCTGGTGTGTCTGTATATCTGTGTACATCAGTGAGTGTGTCCCCAAAAATTCCGTTTAACGGTGTTAAACGGTGTTTTTTAGCCTTTGTTTTACTTATAATCTTTTTATTGATTTTAATGTTTTCATTTTCCTTTATTTTATATATATATATTTAATTCCACTTTATCATTTATATTACCATCATTTTATTTTATTATGATTTTATTATTATTATTAATATCCTCTTTCATACTTACTAGCCTGTTTTCTTCCCTCCTTTTCTATTTCTTTTTTTTTGCTTTTATTTTGGTCCTCATGGTCCCATTTATTTTGTAGGGTTCTTGTATTGCCTGGGTTTCTTACGAAAAGTGAAACAGGCCTACAATTCAGAGGCCTGTTTTTAACTGAGCTTTTGTTTTTATGTGTTTTTATTTTCAATGCGCTGATGCTCTGTGCTTACAACTGTTGTCTAAGCACTTTGTAAACTTCTGTTTTTAAAGGTGCTATATAAATAAAAATTATTATTATTATTATTATTATTATAAACGTGGCCACCTGATGAATAGAAAGAGTTAAGTGCAGATAAGTGTGGGCATGGTTGAGGGGAGGCCTTGAAGACGTTGGAAACAGTTGATCATGTCTTGATTTAAGCATGTGAGCTGTTTATTTAAATTTTCCCCTTGTGTGTGCGTGCATGTGCATGCGTGTGTGTGTGTGTGTGTGTAACTGTGTATGTGCACGCAGGAAAGCTCCCTCATGATGCTGCAGGCTTCTCTGAAAGGAGAGCTGGAGGCTAACCAACAGCAGCTAGAAAGCGCAAAGGTAACACAAGGCACGAACCATCATAACTTCATTCCACTATTTAATGTGATACAATATAATTGTACACATCAACATCTGAGTCCAACACTAGTCACATGTCAAGGTGTGTCGGTGTGTCTAGATTGAGGTGTGTGAGCTGACGGCTGAGCGTCACCGTATGCAAGAGCAGCTGAGGTCTGCCTTGGAACAGCAACAAAGAACCAACAGCTCCATGCAGCAAAGGATCAACAGCCTGCAGCAGGAGAGAGACACTGCTAAGGTACACACAGGACTTTTTGCTACAGTTGTTGGGGCTCAGCAGTTGTCTTCAACTGTATGAAAGTTATTCAAAAAAACTTCATATTTCACTGAATTCTAAGAATACCTCCATGTTTCTGAAAGAAAAGAATCACATAGAAAGTCTCTGTCCACAAATGACTGTAAATCATTCAATCATATGGAGTTCTTTGCTTCACATCCTTTCTACTTTGCAAGTGCAATGACAATTCTATCAATATCTATTCGAACTAAAACAGCGACTTCCTGGACATATAGGCTGGGGAGGTAATGATGAACTGAGAGGTGTTTGTGCTTTGGTTCACTCCCGACTTCTCTCAAGTATTCTACTTCTTTTGAACCTTTGTCAGTCTGCCCTTTGAGTTTCACCGGCAAACAACAAATACAGGAAATTGTAGACCAGCTGGGTTAATTATCACATGGTGCATTGTTTAAATACCTATGAACAGCAAAATTAATATCTCTGTTCACGAGGTGTTTGCATTTGAACTCAGTAAAATGGTACCTGTAGAGGGGAGTTCAGGCCTTTAGCTGAGGAAAGTTAAGATGATCAAAAGCAGAAAAGACAGGGAAATTTATACGGAGTAGAGTTAAATCAAGTGAATAAGAAGAACTTTATAAATCCCCGAAGGGAAATTCAATAATAAATACATTTAAAAAATATATAATGATAATAAATACATTTTAAAAATTCAATCAAGCAGGGAGAACAATTTTAAAGTCAGGTGTACTTAGTTATTGAATGTATTTTTTGTTAATCTTTGTGTTTTTTTAGACTGAGCTTATGGCGACGGCCAGCGAGTTTGAGGGTTACAAGGTGCGAGTCCACAATGTGCTTAAACAGCAGAAGAGCAAAACCACTGCGCTCAGTGAAGGAGACACTGGCAAACTCGAGAGGTAAAGAAAAATGTACATGACAAAAGTCGATACAAGGCAGTCAGAAAAGCAGATGGAAACTGCAAACTCTTGTGAATGTTGGAGGGATGTAAACTACAGTGAGCAATGATCGCTTCTTTTAGTTCACAGCAAGTTGACCGTGACACAAGTAAATGAATTCCAAGTTTAAGGATATTTAAGTCTACATTTCCTCAACAGTGTTTTCGATATTCAAAAATGCAATTACTTTAAAGCATTGCATTGTAGTCTTTCATAAAAATATGAACAGAAGGTGGACAAACTGAACCATGCCACAGAAGAGAGATTTTGAACACTAATTAGACGTAGGTGTCAGTCAAGACTGTAAAAGTGATGTGTAAATTGAATGAATGTTTGGGTGTGTGGCAGGGAGCAGTTGTCTTCTCAGGTAGAACAGCTGAGGACCAGGCTGGCAGAGAGTCAGCAGAGCCTCCTGAGCAGCACAACCGAGCTGCAGCAGCTCCAGACTGAACACGACACTCTGTTGGAGAGACACAACAAAATCCTCCAGGAGACTATTAGCAAGGAAGCTGAGCTACGGGAGAGGTGAGATATCCTGGCCCCTTGTCATCTAAGATTTATCATAGTGCCATGTTCATGTACTGCATGTTCTCTCATACGCAGCCACCTCATTTTCTGAACAAATCTCTCCTCTTAACAAGCTTTTATTTTCCTTTTATCTTTCTGCTGTATGCTGTTCATACCTGTTTTCTTCCACCAACTGAGCAGTCTCTAAATTCTTCCTCTTCTTTCCTTCAGGCTTCTGTCAGTGCAGTCGGAGAATGTGGGCCTGCGGTCAGACCTGTCCCAGGCTCAGACTGACCTGTCCTCCCAGGCTGAAGCCCAGCGTCAGTCATACAGGGAGCAGCTGAGGAAGCTGCAGGATGACCACCGGGCTACTGTGGAGACCCTGCAGGGCCAGCTGACCCGCGTTGAGGAGCAGCTCTTTGGCTTACAGAGCCAGATCAGTAAGCATTGCACCAAAGTCAATCCACTGAAATCACTCAGACAGTGCAAACCTGAGTATGTACACTCACCGGCCACTTTATTAGGTACACCTGTCCAACTGCTCGTTAACACTTAATTTCTAATCAGCCAATCACATGGCGGCAACTTAGTGCATTTAGGCATGTAGACATGGTCAAGACAATCTCCTGCAGTTCAAACCGAGCATCAGTATGGGGAAGAAAGGTGATTTGAGTGACTTTGAACGTGGCATGGTTGTTGGTGCCAGAAGGGCTGGTCTGAGTATTTCAGAAACTGCTGATCTACTGGGATTTTCACGCACAACCATCTCTAGGGTTTACAGAGAATGGTCCGAAAAAGAAAAAATATCCAGTGAGCGGCAGTTCTGTGGGCGGAAATGCCTTGTTGATGCCAGAGGTCAGAGGAGAATGGCCAGACTGGTTCGAGCTGATAGAAAGGCAACAGTGACTCAAATAACCACCCGTTACAACCAAGGTAGGCAGAAGAGCATCTCTGAACGCACAGTACGTCGAACTTTGAGGCAGATGGGCTACAGCAGCAGAAGACCACGCCGGGTGCCACTCCTTTCAGCTAAGAACAGGAAACTGAGGCTACAATTTGCACAAGCTCATCGAAATTGGACAATAGAAGATTGGAAAAACGTTGCCTGGTCTGATGAGTCTCGATTTCTGCTGCGACATTCGGATGGTAGGGTCAGAATTAGGCATCAACAACATGAAAGCATGGATCCATCCTGCCTTGTATCAACGGTTCAGGCTGGTGGTGGTGGTGTCATGGTGTGGGGAATATTTTCTTGGCACTCTTTGGGCCCCTTGGTACCAATTGAGCATCGTTGCAACGCCACAGCCTACCTGAGTATTGTTGCTGACCATGTCCATCCCTTTATGACCACAATGTACCCAACTTCTGATGGCTACTTTCAGCAGGATAATGCGCCATGTCATAAAGCTGGAATCATCTCAGACTGGTTTCTTGAACATGACAATGAGTTCACTGTACTCAAATGGCCTCCACAGTCACCAGATCTCAATCCAATAGAGCATCTTTGGGATGTGGTGGAACGGGAGATTCGCATCATGGATGTGCAGCCGACAAATCTGCGGCAACTGTGTGATGCCATCATGTCAATATGGACCAAGCTCTCTGAGGAATGATTCAAGCACCTTGTTGAATCTATGCCACGAAGAATTGAGGCAGTTCTGAAGGCAAAAGGGGGTCCAACCCGTTACTAGCATGGTGTACCTAATTAAGTGGCCGGTGAGTGTATATCAATGCATTAAAATGTGGCAGCTCTCCTATAGACTAATATGAGCAGTATGATCCAAAAGAAGGGAGTGCTGCAAACATCAACAGCTTTGAGCTCTAAGAGTTCATGAATGGTATCAAAGAAAGAGATCCATCATGGTATCAAGTTGATTTACTCTGCTTTTCTTTGGGAGGAAAGATGAGAGACAGAACAGAGGAGGTGGGTTGTTGGTGTGTTTATCAGAAGGGCAGCAGTGGAAACTCGTTCATCACCTCCCACACAGCTGCCCTCTGGAGTCAAACAGAACATACACACACAGTAATGGCGAGGAAAAGAAAGTGAGTGTGTGTACTTCCCTGTCACTTCATTATGGCCAGGTGTTGTGAGGCTCCTCAGCTATGTTCCCACCTCTCAGAGGGCCACACCGCTTACTGTGGCATCTGGAGAGGCTCATCATTAGCAGCTCACACATGCATGCCAGCAATAGCCTGATGTATGCAACCAAAATCAACCGTCACTGGAAGTCTCTACAGCATCTCTACATTTGATTTATTTGAGGCTGAAATGCAAAGCGTTCAACCTCAGTGTGCTTGTGGGGTGGCAGGTAGGTCAATCGAACTGCTGGCCTCCGGGATGATTCCTATGGGTTTGTATTTTTTCATGAATAAGACGAAACAATACAAAATCAAGGATAAATCGGTGACTTCTGTCCCCATGTAGCTTTCTGCATAAAGGGTGTTGTGACAGAAGACTGAAGATTTTAAATTGTCAGTATTTAACACAAAGGGCTAACATGTCTGTCTGACTGGAACAGTGAGCTCTTACATTGTAAAGTGGACTACCTTTGACCTTGAGCAGGATATCGAGACATCTTTTTGCTTGCTTGTTCAGTGTCATCCTGGCCAAGTAAACACATTTTAACCAATAACCTGTTTTAATATTCCTTTATTGTGATATTTCTTAGCTTGATGTAAAGGGCACTACAAATAAAATGTATTATTATTATTATTATTAAACAAAATTATGCTTTATGCATGTAATAGCCATCATGCTCTTCTTCCTTACGCAACAAGGAGGAGCAGAGGAGGTAGTGTATCAGACTGGAGGTGAAGAGTGAGGGAGTAGTTTGATGTCTGGTGTTTTGGATCTGTTTCAGGATCATTTATCACCTTTCCCTTTTGTCCACCTACTCTCTTGAGATCATCACCCATTTCTTTCGTCTCTTTCCACATGTTGGTTCAAGCCTGAAATGCCAAAGTGTGTCTAGTGCCCCCTTGTGTCATAAACGGCAGCCACAACTTTTGAATGACGAGTATCTGCACTTGAGAGGGGACTGATCAGCAGGCTAAGTTCAGAGGAGCTCTTTGCCTCAGACATTGGAGAACAGCATGTGCTGCCCTGGTTTCTTTAGCTTTTGCACAGTCAGAAAAATTCAAATGAGACAACACTAACATGGTGTTCTATGCTTCATACTTGTTCAGGTTCAATGTCAGTTCAGTCCAGCCGGAAGCCTCTGACATCAGACACCCAGCGCAGAAATACTGACCAGAATCCAGCAGGTCTGCCTCTGATGACCCTAAGTGACCTCCAGTCTATGGCCAGAGAAGAAGGGGAAGGCATGGAGACCACTGAGACTGAGACCCCTTCTCCTGCTCTTACACCCCTGCCCTCTCTGGAACATCTTCTCACATCCCCAGACCCAAAACAAGGTTTGGTTTAAAAAGCTCAATATGGCTTTAATGTATATGTCAAGTGGCATGTGCAACACTCATAGCAATCAGAATCTGTTCTTTGAGGCTTTCTTTGGATCATATCATGGGAAACTGTAGAGACATCAAATTTGGACTAAACTCATATACTGGACGACTTTGATTTGTCAGTTTGTGCAGCTGGAAGTTATAAAACTTTTGTAGATTCTTAAGAACAGTCCATTGATTTTCTCCTGTTATTTAAATATGATCAGCCAAACATACCACGTTATAACAGGAATTATTCCTGGAGGTCTAAACAGAAGAAGAACAAAATGTGTGTATCCATGACTATTTATTTGATATCTCACTGTTTGTTCTCCAGAGCCGTTTGTGTGGAACGTGGAGCCGACCAAAGAAGAATTAAGTCAAAAGCTGAGCACAGCCACCCGCAGTATGGAGCACATGAACAGCCTTCTGCATGAAACTGAAGCCACCAATGCTGTTCTGATGGAGCAGATCACCGTATGTTCTCACACATATGTACACACATGAAGAGAAAGCATTAAGTCATGACTTAAGGTCCTTATACACCGGGGCCAACGCGTATATAGAAGGGGAAATTACCAAATATTCAGAGGCGAATTTTGACGCGTCTGACTATACACATCATCAAGCCCAATGTGATTTTGCGACTTTCCAGGGGAAAGTTCTGATTAGACTCTAGTGTTGAGATGGCTGTCTGTCATGATAGCATGTACTGAGTCGGGGCCAGTACCAGATAAGCACATTAAACTATAATCCATAAACGTAAGGTAACAACTGAGACCGAACAGTGCTGTGACAACAACGCGATTGAGATTGTATCTGAACAGGCTAGTTTACGAGCTTAAGTTACTTAGCACAGATGAAAGTTAAAACAAAGATATTTAGCAAACTGTAAAAGCACACAAACCATTGTCATATGTGAAATCCGACGCTATGACTCTCTACAAGTTGTCCCTCAGGTCGTTATCTTTATAATATTTGTGTCTTTTATCAAAAAGCACTCTGTTCTCCGACACGTAAACAATCAGCCGGTCAGCCATGTTGGATATACTGGTGAATCAGATGTCGCAACAACACGAAATCTGATTGGTCAGAAGTGGACACACAGGCTGTTGCTGCGTCCGAATTGCCAAGTAGTAGTTGAAGTAGTAGTCGAAGTAGTATCTAGCATGTCCAAATTGGCCAACGGAGCGAGTAGCATGCTACTTCAGATACTACTTCAGATACTAGACATGCCCACATTGTAGGTTGGTCTCGGTGCATCCTACGGGCATGCTACTGACCCAAAATGCACCGCGGGCTTCTTCTTCGTCCTCGTAAAAGTTGTAGAAGCGCATGTGATGCTAGCGCCACCAGCTGCTGCCTGTTTAGATGCGTCGCGAACGCCGGCTGGCCACAGCAGCGCGCACCATGTCGGAGCAGCAGCAGGCAGGACCGCAGCAGTACAGATGAAAGTTTCATGTAACTTCGCACACTGTCCTAAAAAAATGTGCGTTTGTATCTCTTTGTCATGTCATGGTGTCATATTTGCCCAAGTAATCATTTTATGAGCAAATATGTGGCGACATCATGGAGGTAAAGCTCACTTATTCCATCATTAAACTGCACAGCTGCAGTAATCCGGCAGATCTCATTGAACAAACGATCACCACGTGAGTGAATGAAGGCTAAAAGTCATGGAAAAGCTACTTTGTGAATTTCTAAAGCAGTGCAGGAATATAATACAGCAGCATCCATCACTTGCACAATAACCATTCAAAGAGTCTAAAACGGGCGCAGTACCTACTCTCTGCCTGCGGGGGTCGTCTCTCCCCACCGCTCGTCTAGTGTGTCCGAATTGGGCCAACGTGTTTAGGATGTAGGAGTAGGATCTAGCAGTAGTATGTAGTATGCGAGCGGGCAATTCGGACACAGCATGTGTCTCATTTCAGAGACCGCATCGGGATAAGCGCGCATAAGCACCACGTCTCTGACACCGGTGGTAGCCTACACCTGCAGAGACACCAACACCTTATTATGGTATATGGATTCATATCATAAACTATAGCTCAATGTCATTCACGGATATTTACGGCTGCATAAACGGATATATCATCAGCATATTCATTTCTGCCTCCACAAAAGCAGCGATTTCCTTCAAGTACACCATTTTTTTCCCGTGGAAAAGACGTATTTCTCATATTAGTACTTGAGCCAAGAACCAAAATTTCACATATCGGTACCACCTGGGTGGGCAAATTCTAGTTGTGATTTTTTATTGCTATACATCCCTACAATAAGTTTTTATATGATAGACCTTGGTAACTGGTAGCTTTATTGTAGTTATCACTCATTAAAATAATAGAGTGCAGCTGTTCAAAAACGAAAAATCGCCTTCCTTCAAAATTAGCTTTCTTTCATTTTAACCTCTCATTTAGGTGTGTTTGAACTATTGGCTAGCCATAGAGACTTGTAATAACCCCCTATGTAGTATTTCAAGTATTTTATCTAATACAGGTGTGTATATATAAGCTTCAATTAGCCAATTGTCAGGTCTAAATCAAGGTCTAAATTAAGGATATTTTTTTTACTTAGAAGTAGAAGTAAAGTAAATGCAGACTAATAGCATTATCATAACACAACCTTAATATGACACTGACATATTTTAAATGCAGGAACTCAATATACAATCATCCTGGCTGGTGCAGGGCAAGAAGACATTAGCAACAAAATAAGATCTACTGATGTATACACTCTATACAATCTGAATGACTCGCTGATTCATCCACCGATTACCCTGCAGATGACCAGCTTCAGTCATTTCCCCCTCCACAGAAGCAGCTTTACGACTTATTTACTTTTATGACTTTATTCTCCTAAATTTACAACTTTAATCTCTTAATCTTAAAAGAAAGAAAAAACTCAATGTTGTCCTGATCCTCTGCTGTAGTTTTGTCAGCTTTCTTATTTCTAACGTTTTTGATTGTTGAAGCAGAGCGGATCAGTTCGTCTCTAAATCTATGTTTGGTTTATAGATTTTATTGAGTTCAGAGACCATGCTCTCATACAGCCTGAGCTGACTGTCTGCTGTTTTTGGATTTCTTGTATTTTCTTTAAAGACGCGCTGTGTCTCCAAGCGAGTCCAGCCTCTCACCTGAAATGCGCAGCTGTGCATAAATGCACGCTTGAAAAATGCTAAGCGCGCTTAGCATTTCTTAGCATTTCGTGTCAAACGGGACACCGTTCGCGCCGCGTGATGACATCATGCACGCTTCAAATGCGCCGTTCGGCGCCGTACGACGGTGCGGTCTCTGAAATGGGACACAGCCTGTGTATGCGAAACTTTAGAAAAATTGACCATGATCCGAAAAAATAAATGTCGCAATATCGCAGGACAGGAGAACGTCGCTGATGTGAACGCTTGTATTGACAGGATATGGGTTCGGAAAAAATATTGATGTCAGAAGTACTCATACGACAAAAACGGTCCTGGTGTGAAAGGACGTTTAGTTGCAAACTTGATTCTGCACCATGAGCATTTCATGTATAACTACTACAGGAATGATGTCAAAAGTCTACTTCGTATTTAATCCCATGACTTTTATTACACTGAAGAAATACTACCAAGCAGAAACAGAAGTCCTGGTTTGGCTAGTGTGTAAAGTCTTATCGTAGACAGGTGTTTCATAGGTGCACCGACCACGACTCAAATAGGCCGATAGGCTCCTACAGTCATATCAAAGAGCCGAGCATTGTTCACAGTTCCCTCTTTGTCAAGAAGATAGTAAAACTTGTGTCCTTTGACCCTGAGAGGGATGAATGAGGAGGACTCCTGTCTGTGAGCATAGCAGGCCACCTGAGACAGGGGGACTGTTATTCTCCGACCTCGGCCTGGTCCTAAAGGGGACTGTGTACTCACTGTCACCATTCTGCCACCTTGGTGTAAAACCACCTGGCTGACAGAGCGCCGGCAAAACAAGACCCCGAGCCCGACTATCCCAGCTCCTATGATGAGACATCCCAGAGTGAAGCCGTACCTCCAGGCGCTTGAGCCCAGGTTCATTTGAAAACTCCATATCCCAGCAAGCCCGGTTGTAGTTTCTGCCTGTTCACTGCCTTTTTTTCCGGAAGAGGCTCCTGTATCTCTGAGCCCAGTGTAAGCGAAGTGACTCAGGTACGTCCAGAATAAAAACTGTCCGCCACAGAAGACTGTGAGGGTCCGAAAGAAACTGGTCCTGTCGTGCTGGAACAGGATGACCTCTTTGGAGGGCTGGGCGGAGGAGGAGCAGAGGTGGCGGCGGACCACCGTCTGTCTGTAAGCGGCTCCGGGGCGGCCTCGGCGGACCAGTATCGTGCTGTACAGTTCTGATCCACAAGTGATCCGGTTTGCGACGTTCGACGTGTTCCCCGTCCCAGTCCCAGACTCACGGACGACTCTGAATACCTGCTGAGAGCTAACCAGTCGAAACTGACTCGACAAACACGTCAGTGCTCCGCGTAGAAACCGCTCTAAACCCATTTTTGACGAAAATAATTAGCTTTTACTAATTGTTATTGTTCGAAGATCTCAATAATGACTGGAGTTTTGCTACTTCTTCGTCAACATATTATGAAAGCCGAAAGGGCGCCGCCATACTTGCTTTGCTTGACATAAGGCAATCTACGGAAACGTGTGCTGACCAAAATTCATATCGGCCTGTGTGTTCGTCAGCACATGATATACTTCTGTCAAACTATTCACTATTTGCAGCTCGAGTCATATTTATCTAAGTGTTATTTAAATGCCGCATACATGCTTTTTAATATATTTTTATGGTATTAAGTTGTTCATTTTTAAAACATGTACAGATCTTCATGTTAACTTTATTATAATTTTATGATATCTTAAAATAATGAGATTTAAGAGATTTATGTTTGCAGCTAACGTTTATGTGAAGCTAGTGTTAAAGAGGTGTTTATTTGTCAAACCCTTGGGTATATGTATATATATATTTTTTCTTTTTGACCAGCTGATGTGTTCTGTCCTCCAGTTGTTGAAGAGTGAGGTTCGTCGCCTGGAGAGAAACCAGGAGAGAGAGAAGAGTGTGGCCAACTTGGAGTATCTTAAGAATGTTTTGCTGCAGTTTATTTTTCTGCAGTCTGGTAGTGAGAGGCAAGCGCTTCTGCCTGTAATTCACACAATGCTGCAGCTCAGTCCGGAAGAGAAAAGCAAACTGGCTGCCATAGCACAAGGTAAGAGCATATGTTTGCTTTTGGTGTTCATATTTAAGTACATAATTACATTCATATGCTTAAGTCTTGGCAAACATCAAACAAGGTGGCAAAAAACCTATGTGCCATTTGTCTGGGTAAAAACCAATCTGTTGTCAAGTCTGATTTGAACAATAATAATTGTTTTGTCGAGTGCTTTTACTGCACTACTTTGAAGGTGTTAGTGTCCATCTGTACACGAACGGTACAAAGTCTAACTGTGTATATAGTAGAATTGGGCATTTTAAGAAAGTTGCTGTATCACTCCCCTTGTAAAATGTCAAAATCCGTCAGCATGGTGATAGTCACTGCATTGCTTCAACACACAAACACACACATTGACTGGACATAGAGAGTATATCTCCTGATCAGCAGAGGTTGATTTTTGCTGAAAAGCAGCTGGAGGATGGACGCGTGCCTTCAGTCCTTTTTTAGAAATGTTAGCTCGATCAATGTTATTCTGAACGATCAATTAATCAATCATTGATTAATATTCATACCTTATTTTCGACCGTTTTTTTCTCTCCTGGTAAGTCAAGTGCTATGAGATATTCCAAGAATAATGTCTTGATTGTTTTAACTGTTTTTTCTTGTTTTTCTTTTTATGCCCAGGTCAAGAAGAGGGTTCCGTCAATCGTGGCTCAGGCTGGAGCTCTTATCTCCACAGCTGGTCTGGGATCAGATAGACTTGAATCAACTAACCACACAAACAGGCAACAGCACTCCCATGTAACAGGTTCTTCTCTCATGACAGCTTAAATGAAGCAGAAATGCCGTGTGGGGGAAATAGTGACAAAATAAAGTGGATTAAAGGGGCTTTCACAAACTTTTAGGTACACAGTGAAGGGACCAAGGAATGCATCATAAAAAATTTAAAAAAAGAGTGAGGAGGGGTTAAACCAAAATCATTGACATAATGACTGACTTAGGTTTGCAGGGCAATAACTACATTAGTCTCTTACAAATTAACTGCTGACTGCAACATGTTTCTGTCTTCCTCACGCTAAATGTTGATGCCTGTATTCAGAAGGAAACATAGGACATTGAGTTGCATGTCCTTAAAGGAGCTCAAAGGCATTATAAGGTGCCATTAGCACTATTAAAACATTATAGCTTATGTAATAATTTGTCTCCTGTGTATCAATGAAAATATGGTTTAATGTGCATGAGCTGCACATATTCTGGAAAGAGGAAATAATCAAGAAGATAGCTGTGTATAGAGTATAATTTTCAGATTTTAAATTTTATCTCAAGATTTGATTTGTATCAGGTGTAGAAATTACATGGGCACAGCAGTGGGCAACAGAAAATAACTATAAAGACTTTTCATTCCTCTTCAAACACTTACCAAGGCCATACTTAAGTATAAATTCAATGTGTTTCCACATCCCTTAATGCAAAATTTACAATAAACCAGAGACAACTTGATCTCCGCTTTCATTTCAGTTCAGCAGTTACTGTTGACGTTGAAAAGTTATAATAGTCAAACATGCTTTGAAAAAAAAGCAGCAGTGGTAGGCTTTAGCAGCTAAACCTCAGGTGTAGCACTGGCAGTTTATCACTATATTTTTTAAGTCTACCTGATGTGAAGCACACTTCCATACACTCTACATTGCACGAATAAAAATGTGCTCTTATTCCAGGGTTGAATGAAGGTAACTGTGCTGATTATTGTCTCATCCCAGTCGCAGCTTTTGGTTTATCCTAAGCATAAGTGAATGTATGTTTATCTTAAGTTTTTATATTTATACAAGTCAGATTAACAGGAGCTACATGAAGTTGCACCAGCTCTTATTTCTGATCTGTACAACAATAACTGGGCATTTTCAGTAGGTTAACAACCTATGAGTAAGTAAAATTAGTGATTTTCTTTGTGGTTGTTTCCAAATGTTAAATAAAATAAAGTTGATTTGAAAACTCTGCAGCTATCTTTGCAGTTTTTCATATTCCATAACTCAATGCAATGTTTTTGCATGTTTCCCATGTACATGTATGTAAATTCTTGACATCCTTGATAGCTTTCACTGTCAGACATCAGTCACAGTATTTCCTGGTGTATCCATGTTTACTGTATAGTTTCATACCTCGCCTTGGGAATTGTCATCATTCCTCTTTGGGGGGAGTGAAAGGGGTGAAATGTTTTTTCCTTTTAAGGAAATATATTTGGTTTCTCCAATCATGACGGATATAGAGGAGGAAAGATGTAGTAATAACCACCGTCTGCAGCAGGGAGGAAATGGGAAATTAGCCCGGATCAGCACAACTCCCAAGGCCTCTCAGTTATACATTTATACACTATATTGACTTTGATATTCATTTTATCAGGGGCTTCACTGTATCACTGAAGTGCTCTCAATTGTTTCAGTAAAAACTTGTTGAAACCCCCAAACATTTTCTCTAGGCTCGTAGACCTCTTCGGTGTGGTAGGGTTACATGATCTTTTCTGAGCCTTTGGCCACGTTCAATGCCGTGAAGTTTCCAGTGGTCAGAAAATCGGAAAAACCATAACGCCCCTACCGCACTGATGCTTGCTGTTTGAGTGACTTTGGACTTTGGCTGAAGGCAGAAGAGACCGAACCTGTCCCATTACAGTTGGTGATCTGTTAGTAGAAGCATCGTGTATTTGCAGTGCAAGGCTTACTGTTTGTAAAATCCAAATAATGAGCTTCCAGCCGCAACTTCACAGGCTCACATGGAAGCTGCCAGATATTACGAGAAATAAATGTAAATTGACCCATTGTTTTTCAAAATAATAGCACTTACTTTTCCTCAGCTTTTTCCCTCTGTGGTAGGTAACCTTACTATGGAGGCTTTATGTTAATCTGTTCCTAAAAGATGTTCGGACAACCTAGTTATGCATGATCACACCAATTTGTTCTTTTTTTTTTTTTTTTTTTTTTTTTTTGCTTTTTTGTTTGTTTTGCTTCATACCTGGTTTATTTTTTGTTTTCAAGGTGCAATATGTAAAATTCAGCTGTATTACACGGAACAGACTCAACACAAATGGAGTATAACTATCAAAAGTATGTTCTAATATAAAATCGTTTTGTTTTTTGTTCACTCAAAATGACCTTTTATATCTACTCCCATCTTGTGCTGCCACCTTTCTACTGTAGCACACAGGATCTTGTAACAAACACATTTTTGTATTTAATAAACAGCCATGTGCAATGCACAAGATGAAGAAAGAGAAGAGCAATTATTGAAAACTTGACAAATAAAGGATCATATTTATACATCATTCATCAACATTTATGTCCCAAAGGCCTGCGTAGCTTTACTGCCTGTACCAATAAGTAAGACAGAGAGGTAAAATCATGAAACCAAATCTGGTGTCAGACATTTAAACAGCAAATCAAACTTATTTTCTGGGCAGTAATTTTTCATAAACACATCAAATGTTTAATACATGTCATTGTACATAACATACATGTCATTGGATCACCCACTTCACAACACCTTGATGGACCAAAGGGTCAGTGGTGGTGGACAGAAAGATTCAGAAGATCTATTGTACCATCAGGCTTTATAACTCTTGTGTAAATAGTAGATAACTGTTAGAAACATGTCAAGTGAGACATCAGACAATTGAATTTCCCTTTGGGGATTAATTAACTTATTCTTGTATTTACAGTTTCAATAGGAGCCAGTCAGCAGAATACTAAAGTCACTATGTTGCATCTCTGTAAAATTCACTTCTGTGGATCATGGATAAGGCTACATGCTAGGTCGCAAATCTGCTTAGAACACATCCACCAAGCAGGGTTTTTTTGTTTGTTTTTGGTTTTACAATCCGTTTACAATAAACTCTTAATTTGGAGTAAATATCTGTTTAAGAAAAACACTGTATTTCCATCAAGGAAAATTTGAAGGGTTTTTTTATATTTATATTCCATCACTTTCACCAAATAAAAAATATTGTGGTGTAAATGCTTTGATTTTAATTCATTAGTTTGATTTATTTTATGTCTGTTTATTTTTCTTTGATTGTATTATTAATAAATGTTTTTCCAGTTGTAAAACGTTGGCCTAAGAAAGGGTTTACTTTGAAGGTATTGGCGGAAGTGCACCATCCCGTACAGGGTACATTGACAGTTACTGAACTGAGCTGAGGCGAGGCCCGTTTTCGCCATTCTGCTGCTCGGTATGACTACATCCTCGACTGGACTTCAACATCTGGACCTCTGCATCTGAAGTCCCAAAAAACGCTTTTGGTCCGGGAGAGAGTGGAGCGATGCTCGGCATCACCGAAATGACTAATGGGTAAGTCAGAAGTTTAAAAGCGGATTCCTGAAAGAGACTTTAGCCTTGTTTGTGTGGAAGTTGTCATTTTCTTGCTGAGAAAAGAGCACAATGGGTTTATTCCACTCTCTCATGGGAAAGGGACTGCACTGAAGTTTCAACCGAGTGAAAATCCAGTTACATTTATTTCATCTTTCACAGGCAAAAATCTGCCTTTAGGCTTTTAAACAAAGAGAGTTTTTAGTTGACTACCAGCACAATTTCTATGGATTTAATTTACTGGCCGTTGTAGGCTACAACTCCAATCTCAGTTCGCACACTGCTCGCTTGCGCCCTCTACTGGTTGTTGGTTTTTAGCTGGATAACAACTATCCAAGTGTCGAGAGAGAGTGGTGGTCCTGTGTGTGTCAGCTCCACTCAAAGATATATTCATCACTGATCGATCCTGTGGTCTGCACATGGTTTATTTAAGTTCATGTTTGTTCGAGTGTGTTTTAACATCAGGCAAATCATTGTTTGAATGAATTTCAAGGCTCAACTGTGATATTCTTTTTTCTCTTCAGCTTTTCTGTTGAAATAAAACACTGTTTGCCATAAGGGAATCCTTAGTAATTTTTTTAAAGCACAGATTTACAGTCTCCATTATGTTGAATATTAATCATAGCATGTCTGCATTACGTTTGCATGCACTTAAAGTGTATATTGGTAATTGATTTTGTGCAGGTAAACTACTGGGTTGGTTACATTTCAGAGCCAAGATCATCAGTAATAATAACACACTTTGTCAGACTCTTGATGTTCTGTCTTTAAATATCTTTGACTGTTGATGTTGTTTTTCTCTGATCCCTTTTATACTCACTCATTTTTGATAATATGATTTTTACAAATATATATATATATAAAAAAAAACATTCAAGTGAGGCAGAGTACTTTAAGCTGCATAATTGAGCAAAAAAAAAGCAAAAAAAAAAGCAGTGCTCAAATAAGAGAAACGTGATAAAGAAATGTAAAAGAAGGAATGAGGATGTTACAGCATTTTTGCAGCTCAACCTCCTCCCTGCACAGGAATGTCCACACAAAGTCACTGGACAGTAGTTATTGCTTTCTAAACCACTTCCTGACCATCATTTCCCTGGGGACCGCCTTCTGAGCTGTTTTTTTTTTTTTCCACCAGTGTGAATGCTACTGTGTGCACAGCCCAGTAAGTCATGGCCTGGGATGAATCTGGCTTTTATAAAGCGCTCTGGATGCTAAAAGCTGTAAGAGGGCAAGTCTTTTAAAGGCCAGAGGATCGCTGCATTCCCAAAGTATTACTTTAAATCTGATTTGACTCTGTGTTGATACAACTGGAGCTCAGAGGAGTGACTCAGGCACCAGTGTGAACTTGTCCTTGTTTGGAAGAGTGCTGAGCTTGTGTTACGTGGGATTTGAGCTGTATGTGTACTAACTCCATGCAAACTGTTTTTTCAACCTGGTGCAGCAGGGGTGTCTCATTGTTCACATAGTTTGGCTCTTAAAGCAGGACTTGGAACCTCCTGGTATTTCATTTGCAGCTCAGTGAAAGCCTGCTGTTCTTCACATTCAAATGCACTTGTTGCGAGGATACCTAAAAAAGCATATACTGCGTGTAAAGTTAGGGAAGAATCAACAGGCGGTGCCTCGGTTGCTTAAGCAGCTCCTGTGTGTGTGTGTGTGTGTGTGTGTGTGTGTGTAACGAGAGCATAAATGGACATTGAAGGACTAAATGTGTAATTCAATGAGTTTTCCGTTAAAGCTTTACCTTCTATTTTGTGGCTTTGGTATCCTTCTCTCTTGAAGCCGGAGATATAAATATAACACTGCAAGTCAAACTGTCATTCAGCCTGGTCATCAAAAGGCTCCCTGCACCTCCTCACACCACCATAGTACTTCCTCATTAACTACTCACACCCCACCTCCATCTCCATCCTGGTATTGTGGGAGCTAAAGGTCTAAACCAAACTCATTTAATTTCTGTATGGTGTTTTGACATCCTCTCAGCTCTCACACACAGTGTCACAGATGCACTTGTGGACACACATACACAGTAAATAGGAAGTGGTGTGGCTATGCAGATTGAGATAAAAGCTGGGGTGTTTGCAGTAACAGCAAAAGGACTTTAGCAACAACAGACATTTCCTTACTGCAGTTTGAGAGCAGAAATTGGTAAGATGAACAAATATCAGCTTTGAAAATGATTGTTAGCCTGTTAGCATCAATAGCAAGGCTCCCTTACTTCCTGTTCGGAGCCGAAACAGTTATCTTCTTGATTTGAGCTGTGCATGAATTCATGCTGAAGCATAACTTTTGTGTTAACTGAGGCAGTGGACTTTCTGCCATCGTTATTGTATTGCTTGACATTTTTGGCTCTTGAGCTCAGTGTTTAAATGTGTGTGTATTCCATTTTCACTTCCTATTTCTCTGAAAAGATTTCAGTTTACATTTTAGGTCACAAACTCACCGTAAAAAGAATTAAAGCATGAAATCAGAGACACGAGCACCACATTTTTGAGAGGATGATAGCAATGAAAAATGGTGGCAGTACAACTGGAACACTCCAAAAAGCTTTAATCAGCTTGTTGTCTGAATTTTAAAGGTGCAGATATGTCACTTTTGATTTAACATGTTTTACAAATTCCAACTTCACTGTGTGTCACACCATTTGATCATAACTCTGTCTGTAATTTTTAGCAGTGACTGGACAAGCCATTATTTAAATAGCTGTCTTACCAGAGTTGTCCACATGGTGGTAGTGAAATCATGTGGTTAACATGCTTTTATGGAGTGTCAGGGGACGCCAGTGCAGTGTAGCCACACAGGAGTGTGTGTGACTTACTGTGTGCACTTACAGCCAGACATTTTTCAGATGATTATATTTGGGCTTTTTTGCTTTTAATGGACAGGACAGCTCAATGCGGGGAGTGAAGAGTATAGGAGAGTAGTGGCCAGAGGTGGAACCAGCAGCCACCACCGATCTGCAGCCTCTGTACACGGGGGAAAGGCTGTAACTGCTGAGACAGCTGTGTAACCAGACAGCTACCTTTTATAGTCTCTTACACATTTTACACATTGTGTGTGTGTGTGTGTGTGTGTGTGTGTGTGTGTGTGTGTGTGTGTGTGTGTGTACAGTGTGTAATCAAGAGCAAAGCACATAGTTGTATTGTCACTTTTACTCTCTCATTGAGATCTGACCTAGATGCCTTTGCTTTTTCCTCCTTTTGGGGCAAAGTGAAATTCTGAATAAAATGATCATTAAGTTTCAAACCATGATTCATCATGAGTAATACCATGGTGGCAGACTCAGACAGGCCATCTTTCCTGCTGCTGCTGCTGCAGGATGTGGAGCTGATTTTGAAGTTCATCTCTCCTGTGTGTGCTCTGACTCTGTGAGGGTGTGTGTTACAAACCTATGTGGAATGCTGAACAGGTTAAGGCAAGCTGATGACGCTGAATCTGCTCAGTGTGAACTGCTCACAAGGCATGTAACCATCTGTGCACAATGGGAGACATGGTTTCCATCAGCCTGAAGTGCACCCACTCTGCTCCAACTCTCTGATACAGTGATGTCAACAAGAATAAACTTGGTTGACCCAAAACAGCCATTACAGGGACAGAGAGATCATCAATCCGTTTGTGTGTCTGCCTCTGCAGTGCTGTAGTTTGAGTTGTGTTCACATCAGTTTCTTCTTCTGCAGTCTGTTTACTCAACATGTTTGCTGAGCTGACCGATCTTTCCCCTGCCTCTCTGACATCACAGCTCCTGGTTTGTAATTAGACCCGTCCAGGTCACATTCAGCTCCATCTGAAAACGTGCCTCTGCTGTGGTCTGTGTCTGTTTGGGAGGATCTCTTGTTCCCACATAATGTCGTGATGAATTATTCATAGAATGACATTTCTCTCCTTTTTCAATCGTTTGTCGTTCCTGCTGGAAACTCTCTCACAGTTTACAAAAGACAAGCTGAACTCAAACTGAATATCAGTGGATGCCTTGAAGACTTGAGGGAAAAACTCCAAACTTCATGGTTCAAGGTGGAAAGATTGTCTCATCACATGTATTATTTGGTATTATGTCGTGGTAAATGAAGGTGCAGATACGGATATTCATCCAGTATCAGACTGACCTCAAACAGCTGGACCTAAGTGATTTGAACACCTGGATTGTGTCAGCACCAACAACCTGCCAACCTGAGGAAATCTCTCCTTTCTTTAGTCCTGATGTTTGAACTCACTTTTCTTTCTTTTCAAACAGAGGACTGACCCAAAGAGCTGTAGGAGGGGAAAAGAGGTGACGGCCAGGGAGGGGAAGGACTCCCACCCTCTTTTTTTTTTTCTTCCTTTTACCTGCTACAGGAGTGGAAGGTGGAGCAAGAATTGGCTGATAGGTATGCAGGCTGTGAAACCACACCTCTGTACAAGTGTTAGTCCTGGAGGTGTGTTTGAGAGAAGTGCTAATAGCGGCTCAAGACTTTCATGAGGCTAGAGAATGAACACAGACACTTTGGAAACTCAAATTTGTATGTGTGTGGACTGTGTTCGCAACAAAGAGAGGGTTGAAGAGAAGTAAGGGAGTGAGTGAGTGAGGGAGAGAGAGAGAGAGAGAGGCCAAGTAGAGATGAACTCCTTGAGGCTGAAAGAGTTGTCCAACTCAGAGTTGTACAGGCGGAGACAAGAGAGACCAGACAGCTATGGAAGTGTGGCAGGGGACAACCTCAGGTGAGTGGACCTTCATGAAGCTGTTTGAATACTCTATCATTGAGGAAGTGTAGGAGGGACTTCTGTTGGGCTTTTACTCACATTATATCCCAGATCATACCACCAACAGACTTCAGGGGATATTTCAGTCAAATTCAACTCTTCTCTCTGGTAAAGTTTGGTAGAAATGTAGCAAAGGAAAATATCTGATCAAACCAAATCAGTCTAAACATCAGCAAAGTGAAACTCATGGTGCAACAAGGAATCACATACAAATGAAGCTAGCAAAGATGCCCAGGAGTCTGAAAATATCAGTGTGATAGACTTCCAGAGTTTCTCCTGTAAACAGATCAACCCTTCACAAGCCTTATGTCCTGATTTTTCCTCATGACAGGATTCTGTCATACTTTTCTGAAGCCTGCTTTTTCCTGAGTTACAATAGCTAGCTCTTTCAGGCTGATTTTGTTTTTATTGGCATATTATTAGCTTTGAGCTAATTTCTTCGGTCTTAAATCATGCAGTAACTCAGAGCAGAGTCTTAGTGCTGTTTCAAACTTGCATTGTTGCCAAGGACCCTTTAAAGAAAAGTGGTTTGGTGTTTGTCTTGTATTAAGGAGAATGGATAAGGTGAGATGTAGAGCAGTGTTTGATCAGTAAACACTGCAGCCCATAGAGGAATTCCTCTGAGACGTGAGACTGAGAGTGATAGACAACATGTGCAGATTTGAGGCAGAGCTGCTTTCATAAATAAGAGCATCAGTTTAGCATGAAAACCCTCTCTCCATCTACTCCTGTGTGTGTGTGTGTGTGTGTGTGTGTGTGTGTGTGTGTGTGTGTGTGTGTGTGTGTGTGTGTGTGTTTCTGAAGTGATTAGAGGAATGTAATGTGAAGAATGCAGACTAAGAGAGGGAGCTCTCTTTGGAGATGAACCAAGTCAAACACTTGAAGCCTCCCTGTGTATCATGCAACACAGTTTAGTATCAGATGGGCTCTTTAACATTGTTTTCACACCTCACAGTCTCTACAGTTTTAAATCAATCAATAGAATAAAACTACATGACAGGGGAGCATATCTGGTTGTGCACAGAACAAAGGGGGTGAGTGGACACTTATTGATGTGGTGTCTCTCCACCTGTGCTGTCGACTGATTTGTCCTCCAGCATGTGACTATCCAAACATCTAGCCTGACTGACCATCATTAGCATCCAAAACTAAGGCTGCACGATATTGGAAAAAAATAATATTGCGATTTTTTCAACCCTGCGATATATATTGCGATATTAAAAATACAGTCATTCTTCAAACATACTCCTCTGCTCGGGATGGTCTCCTCTTGAAAATAAAGCACTGTCTGTAACAGAGATGTGCTTGCGTGTGTCTGTCTGAACACACTATGTCTGCTCGTGTTGGGTGACTGAAAAGTTCATGGTTACCCAGATGAACACAGAAGACGTGTTTTGGTCGACATCATCCTTCTTTTAACCGAAATAATTCCAGATAACTGACTTTCCTTTTCTTTTGGGCAACAAATCTTCATTTTCGGTGGTTTTCTCTTGTTCGTTGTTCAGTTTGCGATCGTTGTTGTTGTTGTTAGCGGTGTTGTACCGAGAAACGCATGTCCTCCGAGAATTGCATGCACCTCGCAAAACGCGCACTGCTTATAGTAGAGTGGTCCACGTAAATATACATTTTAAAACCCATACAGTTCTTATTTGTTGGGCTTAATAGTCATGAGTAAAGTTCCGAAAGTAATTCTCAGCGGACACGCGTCTCCCTCCATGTGCAGAACATGTGCAGGGGTGGGTTTTCTCCTCCCTGATTTTGATTGACAGCTGGCAGGGTAGTCTGATTGGCAACTGAGAAGTGAGTCTGATTGGCAACTGAGTTAAGGACGAAGGCGATTGGTGGATCGCTGCACAGCACATGCAGAGTCACATGGAGTGTATCTCAGTCGGTTACCCTTGAAATTAAATGAGTTCATTCACCTCCAATATCGCAGGCTCTGCGATGTGACTATCGCACACACGTACATCGCGATGACGATAGTCAAACGATATATCGTTCAGGCCTATCCAAAACCTAAAAGAAAGTCTGTGAAACAGACAGAGAGCAATGACAACAGCCCCTTGAATTTCTGTCCTTTGAATCTTGAACCAATAAAGCAGTCATTCTTCAAACATACTCCTCTGCTCGGGATGGTCTCCTCTTGAAAATAAAGCACTGTCTGTAACAGAGATGTGCTTGCTTGCGTGTGTCTGTCTGAACACACTATGTCTGCTCGTGTTGGGTGACTGAAAAGTTCGTGGTTACCCAGGACACACAGCCACAAACACACTTCCTATCCAAGAATTACATGGTGCCTTGTTGGACGGCTGTGGCTCAGTGGTAGAGTGGGTCGCCTCTAAATCAAAAGGTGAGAAATCTCTTCCCAGATCCTGTAGTCCACATGCCTAAGTGGCCTTTTATAAGACATTGAACCCCAAACTGCTCCCAATGGCATAGCCAGAAGTGTGTGAATGTGTGTAAACAGGGGTCACTTAATACTGCATTGCACTTTTGAATAGCATTCTTTGCCATCAGTGTAATGTGTGATGAATATGACGTAAGGTAAAAGCTCCTGAGTGGTTAGGAGACTGACAAATAACCTCTCAAAGTCCAGTCAAGTCACTCAGTCACTACAGAAAATTCAAATGCAGGAGTAGACTCAGAGTGATGGGGTGTCAAATTTTGGATGAACACTTCAATGTACTATAAGTCCTAAATGCTGATTTTGATTGTGTTGTTTGCCTGAAGGCAAAAGGTGTTAACATCAATTGAATGTGACTACCGTGCTGTAAATAATGTATAAATAAGCTGTTTGAATCCATGATAATTGTTGTTAACATTAGGGTTGGGTATCATTTGATTTTGAATGATTCTGGTTCCGATTCCGATTCCTCATTTCAATTCTGGTTCCTAACAATTCTCTATTCCGATTCTTTTAAAAGGCAGGATATTTTTTTTTAAAAAGCATGGTTTAAGTTAGGGTGCTAACCGGAGTTCTTCTTTTTGGATGAAATTTCTGACTTTCTCCATGAATTTTTAAATCATATTAACTTTTTAAGAACTTTACCATGAATTTCTCACAGATTTGACTTGATGCCCAACCCTAGTTAACATCTATCATAATTATTTAATATTCACATTTTACTTTTCCAGATATTCATTTAATAACCCAGTTTGTTACTCAGTCCCAAACTCAGACAGTTTTGCCATTGAAGAGCAGTTTTAATATCTGTTACTCCCTGCAGAGTGAGGGAAAATAAGAAATAGTAAAAAGGGATATTAAAGCTATTGAACTATGAGAAGGTGTCTTTGAAGATTCTCACTCTGCCCCTGCAAACATGACCTTTAAAAGGTGAGCTATGAATAAAAGAAAGGTTTTCCTCTTAGTTTGGAATTTTTCTTGGATCACAGATGATCTCTGTCTCTCTTCTCTCTCTGTGGCTTCATCTCATACGCTTCGTCCTAGTTGGTGTTCGGTGGCTTTTCTTCATTGGTGTTTAGCGGCGTCTTCCTCGCTGGTATTTCTTCCGGTCGGCTGACTCTGGCATCAAAACTTGGAATCGAAATTTTAAAATTTGAACGATCTCGTGAGAATCGGAATGTTAGTCCCGGTCCCCATCGATGCTCTGACTTGATGCCCAACCCTAGTTAACATCTATCATAATTATTTAATATTCACATTTTACTTTTCCAGATATTCATTTAATAACCCAGTTTGTTACTCAGTCCCAAACTCAGACAGTTTTGCCATTGAAGAGCAGTTTTAATATCTGTTACTCCCTGCAGAGTGAGGGAAAATAAGAAATAGTAAAAAGGGATATTAAAGCTATTGAACTATGAGAAGGTGTCTTTGAAGATTCTCACTCTGCCCCTGCAAACATGACCTTTAAAAGGTGAGCTATGAATAAAAGAAAGGTTTTCCTCTTAGTTTGGAATTTTTCTTGGATCACAGATGATCTCCTTTACACTATTGTGTAAACTTTGTTGGGTCCTGTTTTCTTTGCCTGTGTGCTCTGGACTGTCTGTAGAGTTGAGTAGAAAAGGACCTGTGACTCTGCAGCTCCAATGGGCATCAGGAACACAAAGAGCACAACAAGGAAATGTAAGTCATAAATCCTGTTTGCACACTCATTGAGTGAGTGTGTTACTCACACTCGTCCGGTGCGTGCGTGCGTGATCAAGAAATAATTTTGGCCAACTGTCACAGTTGCCATGGTTGTTGTTGACACAGTGTCTGAGTAGGGGTGTTGGTGTAAGTGGGTGGGGTGTGTTTGATTTGCTCCATCAGCCAGAACCTGCTGGTTTTAGTATGAACCTTTTGTGTGGTTGTTATCAAAGCTTGATCTAATGTTTGTGCCACAACAATGGAGACTCTTTTTGCCATACTCGCTCAGTTTGGCATTGTTTCTCAAAGACAGTTATAAATCCCAGTGCTGACCAGATGTGATATTTAATTGTAGAAAATGAGCCACCCATATATTAAAGAAAGAAGATATAAACTGGACAAGGATCATGCTTGTTTTATTCCTGACATGGACACTTCAGCCCACAGTTTGTGTTGTAAATGAGTGTAGCTGATGACTCACACAAAGAACTCTCTAGAGGACCTTTCTGAAGCTTCGCTAGCAACAGGGGCCACACTTGAACTGTACACATTTTCTGCAGTGTCACCAAGAGTGACCTGAACTGTGACCTCTGTTTTGACATTTGATGACCCTGTGAGGAAGTCTGTAAATCCTATCCTGTGGAGGGAATACGCCAGAGACAGACACACTGTCTGCTGCTGACAGTTGCTGTAGCCATTTTTAAGCTCTGGTTTAACACCCCCCCCCCCCCCAAATGTGATTTGCTCTGTGATTTTTTTTTTTTTTTGTTTGAATTGAATTCAGTCTAGATGAAGTTAAAGCAATGGCCATCCTTTATGAATGTAGACACCACGGAGCAGTTCTTAAGCTCTCTTTCAGGGTGCAGCACCCTGACTGCAGTCAGGAGGAAAGACGTGTTTCCTGTTAAGCACCCACCCTGTCTCCATTGTACCCCAGTCACTCAACACCGGGACTTACATTCCCAGCACAGCCTCAGCAGGTGACTTTTCTGCAGTTATTATTCTGTTTTTAAAAGACCCCTAAAGTCTAAAATAGTGCATTGTCATTCATCTCAAAAAGCAGGCCTTCCCTTGATAGTCTGATAAATGTCAAAGCCACATGGGTATCTATTGCTGGTCAGGAGTATGGAGTCATTGAGAAGACAAGGAGACTTTGACATGTTTGGGCTGAACACACTCACAGATTGGCCCCTGCTGTGTTTACCAAGTAACTCTCTCTCTCTCTGTCTCTCTCTCTCTCTCTCCCTCTCTCTCTCTCTCTCTCTCTCTCTCTCTCTCTCTCATACAGACACAAACCAGCAGCTGCCAGCACCTAGTTTAGAGCTGAGGTTCCAATGGGTATCTATTTGTAGGAGTATGGAGTCATTGAGAAGATGGTTTGACATGTTTGGGCTGAACACACTCACAGATTCAAGCGGACAGAGAATATTTGAGTCTTTGGGGTGTTTTTATCGACTGCACATTCTTTAGTTTAGCAGGATGAGCTCTGAGCCCTGCTGCTGCTCTCAGAGGACATGGACATGTTCGATCTCCTGGGGTGTATTCGTACAACTGAGTTTAAGTTGGGTTATTCATTTGAGATGCCAGTTGAGTTTAGCCACATAAAGAGCATCAGTTACCCAAGACACACACATTGAAGGGTTTGAGGGGATGCTTAGCTTTGGGCCAGTGTTGAATTTTTAAGGAGCGTTATCGTACTTTGTAATTGCAGCATTTGACAAGTTCAGACAGAGGTTTCAGACAGGAGGTTTCGGCTGTTGTCCAGGCAGATTTAGAAAAGATATATATTTTCATTATATGCTAGGTTTAATCCTGTCAGGGAAGATCTGAGCAGTCTTTTAACTGTCATATGACAGGATTTACCAGGAGGAGGGTTGGAGTGGATTTTGAAATGCTAAAACCAACCAAGAGGAGCAAGCATGCAGTTGAAATCAGTCGTGCACATATTCTGCACTGAACCAGCTCAAAGTCGAAATCCAACCATCAAACTGCATTGTGTGTGCCTTACATCAGAAGGGGCACTCTTCTTACCAAAACACTGAAGGTTCAGTGTCTGTCTGGTTCCTGTGTGTTTGTCCAAGCGTAGTGCTCTAGAGCATTTTTCAATCCTCAGAGTAAAAAAAAAGAAAAACATGATCATCCACTCTGTTCCAACCATGTCCATGTCTCACCACTTAGGCTTCTTTGTTTTCCGGTGCTACATTCCAACTATGTGCAATACTGAGTTGGAGCCGCGTTGTTATATCTACCAGAGGGCTGAGAGCTCCAGCTGTTCAACACACTTTACAGAGATTGATAGCGGGGCAGAGATTGGTCATTGACTGTGGCTATTAGGAATGCAAACCATTTATTAAGTGTGTGTGTGTGTGTGTGTGTGTGTGTGTGTGTGTGTGTGTGTGTGTGCGTGCGTGCGTGTGTGTGTGAAAGTAATGGCACACTGACCTCTGGGTGGACAGGCGTCAGGGTGGGCTTGTTTAAGTCAGTAACCTGCCCCAAGAATAGACAGCGAGGGTGACAGGAGGGGTGTAATGTGGTGTGTGTCTGTGTGTGTGGTGGAGTAGAGAGAGGCAGAGTAAGGCTCGATGTGTGTGTGTGTGTGTGTGTGTGTGTGTGTGTGTGTGTGTGTGGGAGAGTGGGAGAGTACTCCCAGTTCAGTCTGAACAGTGTTTCAGTCTCCGTCCTGCTCTGTGGATCTCAGCTCCCACTGCTCTCTGGATTGCCGTTCACAACACTGTCAACTTGAACAGAATAACCGAGGAGGATTTTCATTTCAACAGCAGTGAGGGACTTGGTTTCCAGCTGGAGGTGGACTTGTGCAGTTAGTCAGGACAGTTGCAGATGAGAATGGAGATAAATGGCCGTTCATTACCTCCGTCAATACCTGAAGATGGAGAAGCCCCAGACCTTGTAACTCATGGTGAAGTAAACGGTTACCACCAGAGGCTTCAGGATGGGGACAGGGGAGAGGCGGAGGTCCCGGTGTCCAAGTCGCAGAGACGAAAGAGCGATGTTAAAGTCTATAAGGAGTTTTGTGATTTTTATGCCCGCTTGTAAGTACACTGTTGTAAAAAAAAAACTGTTGTTGTTGTCGCCCAGCTCAGGCTGACCCAGCTGATGATGTGAAGGAAAAAGTGTTGGAGTTGGTTGCTTAAAGCATACTCAGTGATGATCTCCTTTCAATAGTTTTAGTAATGAAAAAGTTTACCAAAGAACCCATCTGTGTGGTGTGGGTTGACAGCAGCCAAAACATATGAAGTTCATATAGTCCTGATATAAATGTTTCACTGTGTTTTGGTGATTATTTTCCATAACTTACCCATAATTATCAAAGCTGTTGGCTAGGGTGAGAACTGTGGTTTTATTTTGTCTTAGTAATACCATGTCTATGAATGGTTGGTGATTTCTAGTAACTGTTAGAATAACCGTGCAGGCAGGACAGTTTGAGGTATTGGACCTATGTATTGTATAGGAATTCAGTCTGCGCATACCGTGGCATGGTATTAGTGAGCCTGCTCTGAGCTTACTGTAGTGTTACAGAATGTGAAGAATTTTGGTAGTCGGCTTTACCAGCCAGTTTGATGGACTTGAGCTGCCTTCTGTGCCATGTTTGTGCAGGGACAGCTCAGAGTCAGGAGCAACAGGAGGGGTGCACAGGAAAGGCTATCTTTGTGCCAAGGGGGGAGTTGTTATGCAAAGTAGAATATGCCAACTGGCATTTCAAGAATGTGTGCATGATGAACAGGAAGGCTAAATATATGTTCTGTATTTTTGACTTATCTGGCTTCATGACACCTTGAAGTATAACATGGTTGAGGGTGACCCAAAGGACATTTTAAACTGTGGTGCTGAAGGAGTGAAAAAAATCATGTTTAGGTTTTGCAGCAAGAACTCAGGTGGTAAAAGTAGACAGCGATTATTGTTGGATCAGTAAAAGAAGCTGCTAACATGAGAGTCCTACCCATAATGGAGGAGATAAAATGTGTTTGCTTTCTTACAAATAGAAAAATGATGGTATTGGTTATGGTCTATAACAGATGTTGCCGTCCCTTATTCAGACTAACACAGCAAAAAAACAAGTATTTTTCTGTTATTCAGTTATAAGTCTGAGATAAATCAAATGAGCTCTCAAGGCCTTTAAAGCCTCTCATTTGTCATATGTGTGCTTCCTCAGATAAAGTTGTAAGATATGCAACTTAGTTTCCTTTTCTTTTTTAAAATTTTGATTCTGCATAATTGTTCATTCATTAAACGGACTAATTGTACTCACTTGATCAAAATTAAAATGGACTTTTAGAACCTGCCAACAAAATCATATTTTTTTATCCACTTTTCTTGTCAGGTCTCATCAACCTTTTCCTTTCCTTTTTCTTTTTTTACACAGAGTTTTATTGTTTTTTTTGTTTGTTTGTTTGTTTTTCCACAAACAAAAAGAGAACTTATAATCATTCTTCATAAAAATAGAAAAGAAGAAAAGAAAGAAAAATAATCAATTGGGATTGGATCGTACAAAGAGATTTGAATTGCATTTGGAAGAGAAGAAAAATAAATCAATCAATGAACATACATTTTTGTGAAAAATACTGCAGCTGTACCTAGTCATACATTAAAAAAAATGTTGCTCCCACCCCGCTCCCCAGTTTAATGTCACACATATGTACATCAAATTTAATACCTGACAGCCAAGGAGACAAAAGGAGGTGACCTATGAAGATAACAAAGCACAGTAGAAGTAAAGAAGATCGAAGAAAAGCCTGCCAGGTCCACCTTTGTAATGTGAGAGGTGGGGACTAAAGACTGTTAGTCACAACACAAGCTGCTGGAGAGTTGTCAAGTGTCTTGATCCATTTCAGAAAATCACCTCTCAGTCCGAACCTCTCCAGATCATTGAATAAATACTTCCATTCAATCCTGTTTCAAATTCCTTCTCTGCATCCAGAGTGCAGCAAAGGCCCTGCAGTTTGATGGATTTGAGTATTGAACCACATGAAGTCATCTTCGTGCATTAGTGAAGGAGAATTGGTTTTGTGTAACTCCAATTCGATCTGGGTTTATTAGGGATGGCAATAGGAATTTTCCAGTCTTATTGTAACTTTGAAAGCAATTTGCTATCTACACTCTGTATGAGCCACAGATATCTGATGGATTATCCTTCTTGAGAATGAGGCTGATGTTTGCCAGGTTTAGTGTTGGGGGGAAGTCCCAAAAGAGTGTATAAACAGGTCTTGGTAACACTTTTTTGAAAGGGTGTATATAAGACTGACATGACATCTTCCATTAACATGAATATAGCTTTATGAGGGTTGTCATTAAGTGTCATTCAGTAAATTATGGTAAAAATCAGTAAAGTAGAAAAACAAAATCAGTAAAAATCCCAAACAATGTCGATATAGCAGCAAAAGTGTCATAATTTAATAATCCAACTTCATATACACTTCATATACATAAGGGCCATAGATGCAACCTATCAAAATCTGTTCCCTGTAGAGATGGCCATGTCACTTCAGGTTTTCTCCAGAGTAAAAGGAGGGCTGCGGTGGATTAGTATGGCAACTCCCCTGCTCTTTGAGTTATCAGATGAATAAAAACCCGGGCCCACCTTGGACCTTTTCAGTTTCAGTTGCTCTTTTTTTCCTTTATCAGAAAAGTTAGAATCTTTTGCCTTTTCATCACATTATTCATCACATATATTACATTTAATATGCCATGCTATGTTATTCCTTATTTGTCCAAATATTTCATAAATCCACTTCATCTGAACATGTGATGTCTGCATTAAATATTTGCTATTGGCTGACCTGCTCTGTAAACATTGGTACTGGCTGATGAATCAGTGGACTTCCAGCAGGAATAACTGAAGAGCCAAACCTGGAATGACTTGTTGATAATCCAAATACTGTCAGTACTGTTGTGATCTCAGTTCCCTCAGCCGTCTGCCGGTATGTGGAGAATGATCAGTGCAAAAAAATAAAGAGAAAAGGAGGCATGAAGGAAACAGGAGAGTTCACACAGGAAGTCACACTCTACATCCTTTCCATACTGGTAACCAGCCTCCATTCACAGTCAGTGACCAGTGTGGTAAAGTGACCTGTCATATTACTATGGAAAAAAAAGTTGTTACCAAACATGTGCTGAGCCCAGTACACTTGAAAATGAAAACGGTATTTTTGAGATACAAAGTTTTAGATCTGTGCTCAGGAGTAAAGCAGTTTTATGGTTGGGTTTAATAAACCTGTTCAAAAACAGAGAAAAGCTGTGATTGATTTAAAGAAGCACTTCAAACATGGATAAAGCCCTTTTTCCAGCTAAGATCATGTCCTTTAAACTCTAGTGATAAATGTCTTCACATGATGGGTCCAAAGTGTTTTCATCTGTAAAGCAGAGACATCTGTTGTATTGAGTTCAATACAGAAAACGTTTTTGTATCAGCTCTGCTTGTGCTTCCTAGCTTGTTTCTCCTCATAGAGGGTGCTGGAGGAAGATAGGAGGGTGGAAATGCCTGAGGGATGTATCATTTCCTCCCATAAATCCTTTAGACAGGGCAGGGCTGTCAGTGTTTCGGACATGAGGCTAGGCATGCAGAGTATATAGAACAATATGTATTTGATAAGTCTGTGAGGTAGGGCCCAGATGGTTCTGTGTGTATCAAAGTTTTCAGAGACGCTCAGTGCCAGATGATTCGATCTGTACAGGTCAGAAATGATAAGCTGAATGTCTAGGAGTTTGAGGAACTCTCTTGTTAATTTCCAAATTGTTTTAAGTGAGTTTATTTTGACAGAAAGAATCTGTTACAGTCTTGTTTGTATGTCTCTGTGTTGCCTGAATACACTTTGGTATTTTGACCTTTCAAACAAAGTAGAGGAGCCAGGATGGTACGAGCATTTTTGTTTCTGTCCTTCTCCTCTCTCAAAGTCTGCCACAGCTGATCATGTACAAACAAAAGATTTGCATCATCTCTGTTTCAAATGAAGGTTCATTTCAGCTTCAACTAAAGACAGGTTTGCTGATGAAAGTATCCACTGATAGACTTTGCCTTCCCACATTTATTCCACAGCACCTGTCTGTCAGACTCTTCTGACTGCATGGTTATCCTCAAAACATAAATGTCCTTCAACATTGTTTCTTTTTGTGCAGTGTAACCTATAGACTGACTTTAGGGTGATAAGACAAATACTATATCAGTCTTCCAACAATAAGCAGTACTTAAACAAGGCAAAGCTTCTCTGAAACTCTGACCCATGTCAGCGAACAGAAAAATTAGGTGTTGTAGATGTGAACACGTGTTTGCACATGTCTTACTATCTGGATGTGAAAAAGCAGTTTTAAAAGAGTTTATGAGAACTGTGAGGAAGCGCCATCTGACCCCTGTAGTGGCTGCAAATCTTATTGATGTTTTAGATAAAAGTCCTCCAACTGTTTTACTTGCCCCCTGTGATTTTATTGTCGACAATTTTAACAGAAGGCTACAGACAGCCCTTGAACTGGTTGCTCATATTCACAAACCACAAAAATAACCCCAAAGTTCTCTTTTCAAAAATTGATAGCATCTTAAATCCTTATCTTAGTAAACGTCTTTTTAATCCCACTGATGCCCTCTGTGAGGAATTTGCAGACCACTTCATGGTGAAGATAGACACAATTAGATGCAACATTTTACCATGTCAAACTCTCCTTTTAACACATCTGAGTGTTTGTCTTTACCCGAGGAAACACTGGACAGTTTTGTTCTGGTTAATGCTGAGATGCTGGTTAAAGTTTTCTCCTCAGTGAGGCCCACCACATGTCTTTTAGACCCTGTCCCAACCTCATTCTTTAAGTTAGTTTATGATTCTTTTAAACATGATGAATTGCTCTCTTTAGATGGTGAGGCCCCTGCTGAAGAAGAGCAATTTAGTTTTTAATGATTTGAACAATTACAGGCCAGTGTCTTACTTACCATTTTTAAGCAAAATTTTAGAAAAACTTGTTTTTATCCAACTTAAAGAATTTTTAGATAATCATGATATTCTTGAAAAGTGTCAGTCTAGTTTTAGGGTTAACCACAGCACCGAGACCGCCTTGGTAAAGATTTTAAATGATATTAGATTGAATTATGATGCACAAAAGGTGACAGTGTTGGTTCTGCTGGATCTTAGTGCTGCCTTTGATACAGTAGACCACACTATTCTTTTAAACCGCCTGAAACACCTCGGCCTCTACATCTCTGTGTCTCTGATGACACCAGGCCAGTGGATGCTCTTTCTAACTGCATTTTAGATATCAAATCCTGGATGGCAGAGAACTTTCTCCAGCTTAACCAGGACAAAACTAAGGTTTAATCATCGGTCCTGAGGCCCAGGGAAAGAAACTTTTACCCAATCTACAAGCACTGTCTCTTAATCCATCACCACAAATAGGAAACCCGGGTGTCATTTTTGACTCTGAGCTGACTTTTAGTACACACTCTAAGAACATAACAAAAATAGGTTTTTATCACCTAAAGAACATCGCCAGAGTCCGCCCCATTCTCTCTCGGGCCAACATGGAGACGCTAATGCATGCTTTTATCACCAGTCGTATAGACTACTATAATGCCTTGCTTTCTGGTCTTCCCCAAAAAAATATTTTAGGTCTACAATTATTACAAAATTCAGCAGCACGTGTCCTGACTAAGACCAGAAGGCAGACCCACATTACACCGGTTTTAGAATCATTGCATTGGCTCCCCATGGCTCCCCATGGCGCCTTCTCAACTGGTTCATCTGCACTCAGCCTCATGCCCATTGTCTTTATGTGTGTTTGTGCGGGGGCGTTGGCGCGCGCGCGTGTGTGTGTGTGTGTGTGTGTGTGTGTGTGTGTGTGTGTGTGTGTAGGTGGGGGTGGGGTGGGGGGGTAAGGGGGCGTCTGGGACAGTTTTTTGTTTTTAACTTGGAAAGCACTTTTAGTCGCATTCATGTAGGAAAAGTGCTCTATAAAAAAAGTTTGATTTGATTTATTACATCTTTGAAAACTGAAGCTGAACATGGTGTTCTTTATTGTTTAAATGAAGATGACAAGGGTAGAAATGAATTATATTTAATTCAAGGAAAGAGTCTTGTAAGTAATTTCTGAAGTCAAGTCTATAAGGGAGTTCACCTTGTCTTTTAAACATCTGTGTGCTGTGGCTAACAAATATGATGGTAAGCAGAATCAGGACCATAAATAATCGGTTTTCTAAGAAGCTCTGTGGCAGGTTTTGGGTGTGACTGCAATTGTGCTGCAGGTTCTGGCATCAACACCTCATAAAGAAATGATTAGCCTGGAGCCCTTCCATAATGATATATGACAGTCACCACTGGCATTAAGATAAATCAGCTGGTTGAATTGAAGTGTAGGCTGAATTCAGATGTCAGGTTTACTCCATGCCTCAGTGGGTTAGCTCCTGAAGCCTCTGTCAAGCCTATTTGTCTTGGATGAAAGTCACTTACAGATCCACCGCTGAGTCCAGCAGCATGCATGGTAAAACGGAAACATCATCTTCTTTCTCAAAAGACAACATGTAGGTTCCCACCTCAAAGATCCCTTCACCCTGCTAAGTAGAGCCAAAATAAACATTTAACCAAGATATTGTAGATGAAGCCTTCGAATTTCCCCACTCTTAAGTTCTCATGAGTTCAGTGATGTCCTTATAGAAATAAAGCCTCAAAAAGACAAATCACAGCAGCAGGAGCAGGAATGTGGCTTTTTAAAGTGAATAGTCTTTCATGGATATAAGCCATTAAACTCAGGATCAATGAGCTTAATTATAGCTCCACGATAATATAGCAGAATATCTTCTTAAGATGACCCATGTAAATAACCAGACCTGTAGAATCTAATTCAGATAAGTTTATTTGTAACATTTCACATTAAGCAACATTTTTCACAAGCTGAAACTGGTGAATCCCTGAAAAAATTCAAGTTGACAAAGACATGACTTAAAATGCTGCATATATATATATTCAGTTTGATAACCTTCTACTGGCAAACCTGTTGACATTGGATACCAGTATATTCTATGCTGAATGGGTTGAATGATGATGAACTTTATGTGCAGATATGGTCTTCTCTTCCTCTACTCATTTTAAAACAGACTGTGTGTTTCTCTTGTCCTGACTGGGATGCTTCTCTCTTCACAGCAACATGGCCAACGCTCTGGCCAATGCCATGTGTGAGCGCTGCAAGAGTGGATTTGCCCCGGCAGAGAAGATCGTGAACAGTAATGGGGAACTTTACCATGAACAATGCTTTGTGTGTGCCCAGTGCTTCCAACAGTTTCCGGAAGGACTCTTCTATGAGGTGACTCACTGTCTTTACACATATCTGCTTACTATGACCGAGATAGTCCAGGAAAATTAAATCAGTAAAGTCATTAGAGCGATCAAATGGATGATGCTGTGGCTGAAGTATCTTCACACACTGAGGATTTAAAAAAATAATCTTTAGGTACAGACCTGAAGACCTGCAGAGAGACTACATATACACCAGTGGCGATTGCTCTAAGACTGCAAGGGAAGCTCGGCTTCCCTTAAAATGTCACCCCCCCAAAAAAGAAAAAGTGGTGAAATACGTACGGCTGTGTGTACATTTCATTAACTAAATACGCACTAGAAAGCCTTCATCTTTTGTTCAGACACTGTGATAAGAAGCTGATAATCACAGGTAACCGGCATAACTTCGTTCTCATTCATCCTCGCAGCGCCTCAGCGCTTTAAACAGCCGGACGCTGGGCGTCTGCTGACTTCAATGTGGAAGCTTAAAGTGGGTTGTTCCAGCAGCGAAACTAGACGCTCATTGGATAAATGCTGGGCTTTGTCCCGCCCAATGGAAGCTAAGCTTCACTGGAGTTCTATGGCGAGAGGGCGGTCCCGACTTTCTCCCGGACTCCAAGCTTCTGCCTCCATGATTGGATGAGCTGTCTGAGGCGAAATCCTTTTTTGATTGACAGCTAAACAAGCGAATCAGCGATCTTGAAGAATAAAACATCTACCAGAGCATTTTCCAAGTCATTCATTCCGTTGTTCTTAACTGCTCCGGAGACTTTACCGATCCTCAGCGACTTTTGTCTTTGTTAAAAACGACTGCCGTTGTGTTTGGCGACTCTGTTCTGTTACATACTAATAAACAAACACAATTATGATGTAGGCCAGAAAAATGAGCTCCCCCTCATTGAAAGACCAGCAGCCGCCACTGATATACACATACAGTCAACATTTCAATGAATTTCACTGTTATTAGAACACACAGTTTACACCTACAAAGATAACCCCCTAACTCTGCAGTAGAAATGGCTGTGAGTGTTCACAGAACTAAGTGAGCCATCACTATTTAAGGTCCATTCCTGTAAGAGTCTAACATGTGGTCCTGTTGATGTAGATCAAGAGGGAGGTACTGAATTATTCAACTCTGCTTTCAGTTAGCTGTGTGTTTACCAGCTTTGACACAAAGCCAGCTGTTTCTCCAGCAGGTCCCGGGGAGCCTGCTGGCACTCCTGTGTTCTGAGAAGGTGTCTGTAACACTGCAGTCGATTTCAAACTCTAAACCAAAGGTCTGACATGAACTGAGTCCCTATCAAATATTTTAACAAATAGACAATCACCTGATTATTCTGTGTGAAGCAGAGAGGTTTTTATGAGGGGTTTATTCCAGGTCAACTAGCCTGTTGTTCTGAGCTGAAAGTGTCTGTTTCTCTTCTAAAACATCATAGTCTTGGCAGGTCTAGAGCTCTTCAGGGAGCTGTTAAAGCCTCTGTGAGGAGTATTTGACTGGTTATGAGACAGACTAATGTAATGCCTCTTTCTGACTTATAAAACAAACTGTGGTGACTGAGTGTGGAGACGGAACCAGAATGCAAAACCAAATGTGGGGAGGGTTTGACAGGTTTTATTAAAGCTCCAAGTTTGAATAGAGAAATTCAGGTGAGCGGGAGAGTGCTGAGTGGCGGGTTGGCGAGAGGAATGGAGGAAGAAAGTGAGGGTTAGTTACCAAAAAGTATTCAAGCACTAAAAAAATATTCAAATGTTTTCAGGAGATCACTAGAATGTGTCCCGGGAGCCATGTACTGCTGCATCGAGGTGATAATACTCTGGCGCTGAGGTGTGGGCCGGCAGCGGTCATGAAGCTGGCTTGATTGAAGATAGGGGACAGGTGTGCGCACTCAGCCTCAGTGCCACAGGGTGAGGGAGGGAGGGAGGGAGCAGCCTCTGAAAGCAGGTGACACAGCAAGACAATCCTGCCCAAAGGGCGGACTCCAGCCCAATATTCAAATGACTAAAATCCATGCTTACCACACAAACAGACCATCGGCGACAGAAGTGACTGTCTCTGTCTTGTTCTTTCATACGCCTGTGCCAAGATCCAAGTTTTTCACAGGAGATTTGAAACTTATTACAAACTCAAAAACAAACACAATAAAATGTTGTTCAAATTCAGAATGGGACATTTCATGGTGATAAAAATGCATTTACAGTCTTGTGTAAAAGGTTTTAAAAACAATAATAATGTCGAGAATGTTGATAGTTTTTAATATTAAAGAAATGATGGAGCTATACTGCACCGATGACTGCCGGGATTACCAGAGTGCTTTTCCAGTACAGCATACAGTCACGCTTGCAGACTGGTGTCACATGGGGACTTGTGACTTTGGTCATGTGATTCAGATATTAAACTCTACATCTGCTTTTGAAGCTGCACAGTCAGAAGAGAAAAAGACAAATAACAGAAAAGTTGACCATCTCTTGCCAAATGGTGCCGTGCAGGTCTCTTGATGTTGCTCCATTTTTCATGTGGGTATCAGTCAGTACTGTAAAGGGAGTTTGTGAAAATCTTTAATGATCTTATCCTAATTTCCCTTTCATTCCCACCTTTATTCCTTTCTTTCCTTTTTGAAAAGAGTCGTTTCTTACAGCTGCTCTGATCATGTTCATATTTTTCCGTCCTGTTCTTTAACTTCATTAATTTGTCAAATAAAATAGCTTCAGGCTGAAGTGCTTGCACAAGTAGAAATACATTTTCCTCTACCATCAGAGGCAAGTCATCATTGGGATTAATACTTTGATTTTTCCCTAACACTGTCAGTTTAGAACTTTTTAAAACTAGATGTGCGTCTGTGTGAGTCAATAATTCAAATGGTTTTCACTCTTTTGACAGTTTGAAGGGCGTAAATACTGTGAACATGACTTCCAGATGCTCTTCGCTCCGTGCTGCCATCAGTGTGGTAAGTAAGGGACCTACAGTGACAGGAAAAAATACCATCCCTCTGTTTTCTGCATCTAACCACCTCACCAGTTTCAGCAGCTGAGATGCTGCCGAGAAAGCAAGCCCCTCAAACAGGCAGTGTCTGCGGAAGGGTTTGCCCGTGAACTTGAACTATTATCCCTCCATTTTCTCCAGGTGAGTTCATCATTGGCCGTGTGATCAAGGCTATGAACAACAGCTGGCACCCAGACTGTTTCTGCTGTGACATCTGTCAGGCTGTGCTCGCAGATGTTGGATTTGTCAAGAATGCTGGAAGGTGAGTCCCTCTTTTCTGGTGTGTCTTTGTCATCATCTTGTTTTCTTATCTGTTCCTACTCTTCCATCAGGCATCTGTGTTGTCCATGTCACAACCGAGAGAAGGCTCGCGGCCTGGGCAAGTACATTTGTCAGAAGTGTCACGCCATTATTGAGGAGCAGCCTCTCCTTTTCAAGAATGACCCGTACCACCCTGATCACTTCAACTGCAACAACTGCGGGTAAACATGCTCACATACAAATCTGACCAGCTCTTTCCGTTTCACACACTAACTGTTTAAAAGGTGAATGTGGCAAACTGTGATGTCCTCCACTGGTTAGTTTGAAAACTCTCAGCATTGAACCTCCCACTGTACCTTTAGTTTCTGGTAACCCTGTGACTTTATTTGCTTCGATAAGTCCCCATCCTAATTAACAGCCTGCCATGGCTACAACTTATAAGTCCCATTAAGCCAGTTTAACAGCTTACCTTTCTACATCGGTGAATAGTCAGTGACCAAACGCACTGAATGTGTAATCAAGTGGTCCTAAAACAAAAAGATGTTAAGTAGGATGAGGGCAATTTTCACATCTGGTTCCATAGAGTTTGTTTTGCAAACAGGACACACTCCCTCTGCTGGCCAGTAGAAAGACTATAGGTTTAACACATTTCTTCTAAAATCAGAGAGATTTTTGTCTACTTCTTTCTTTAAGTTTATGTTTTTGGGATCTCATGCCTTTATTCAGAGAAGATAGTACCGTGCATGGAGCAGGAAACCAGGATAGTGAGTGGAGAGTGAGATGCAGTAAAAAGGGCTTCAGGTTGGAAACAAACTCAGGCCCCCTCTCTTAAGGATTATAGCCTCTGTACATGGGACATGCAACCTCATCTGTAGGTCAAAACATCCCATTTATGACTACGTCACACAGTCTATGGTCTGATGAATCATTTAGAGCCAGCTAGGAACATCTTGATTCTTCAATCCAGTGTCTTTAATGTATTTTACTTCGACAGATTATCCATGATTGTCCAGATTACCATCATCATGACAATTATCAGTGCTGATAAAATCAATATTAAGCAAAGGTCCAACAAAAAATGTTGAGAAGAGCAATGGCCACACAGACTCAAAATAGATAATGTAAACAGGCACCTCTTTCAGTCTGCGTTCAAATGATAAACCAAAGACTGCCCTCTAGTGGACAGACTATACAGTTGAATGCTTATATGTGCTTATATTCTAGTCACTTTATATCTTTAGTATCCTCATCCTTCTGCAGGTATCTTAAGTGTAGAGAAAAGGATCTGTTTCCACAGGCAGTTTCATAATGTTTATAACAGCTACTATGCAAATGTTGGATGTTGATGTGAATTGAAGCAGAGTTGGTCTTCATTTATTTACATCTCTCCACAGTAAGGAGCTGACAGCAGATGCCAGGGAGCTGAAGGGGGAGCTTTACTGCCTGCCCTGCCATGACAAGATGGGTGTCCCCATTTGCGGTGCCTGTAGAAGACCGATTGAGGGTCGTGTGGTTAACGCCATGGGCAAGCAATGGCATGTGGAGGTGGGATGTTATGTTGTTAAACTTTAGAGCAAAGACACTTTGCAAACACTACATAAGTTCTACTTTGGAATCTGAAAGAGTTCATTTGAATGGGTTTCCAAGACTGATATAGTCAGCTATATTGGCCCCAGATGTATCTTAGATTGAGGATGACCTATTTTAGCCATTGTTTTGTTCCCTTTGAATTTTGTTTTTTCTGTTGAACACACATCATGCTTGTGTTTTAATCCTATTCCAGCATTTTACCCCTAGTAATGTTCAGCCATTTCACTTCCAATCATTCCTTTGCTGTCTGTCGGTCTTTTTCTTTTTTCTGTCCACTATGTCTGTCCAAACACTATTCTCCTCTTTTGGTCTCCCCCCTTCCACATTTAGCATCATGTGTGTACTGTGTGTGAGCGCCCATTTCAGGGCCACCCGTTTTTTGAACGAGGCGGTCGTGCCTATTGTGAGAGACACTTTGACATGGTGAGGGCATGAAGGATTGGTCTGACGTTAACTGCTGCCTTGTCTGCGGCTTGTCTTTGCCTGTCCTTCAGCTTCCTTACACAGTTTGTACTAATACACAAGTTCACTGATCTGTCTGACTAGCCCTCAGGTCAAGAGTATGACATGTACGGCCCAGATTGCCAGTGACACTTGCCTTAACTAGTTGATTTCAGCCAATTGATTTAAATGAGCTACTTTTCCGAACTCAACATTTAAATTGCTCTTTATTCTAAGGCGAAATCAAATACATATAAAAACCTTAAAAATACAATCAAATGCATGATAACTAAGTGCCCAAGTGTTATGAGCTGATCATTCTGTTCTATACATATGAATTTAATACACAGCAGGTAAAAATGTCCTCTTAAACAAGACTTAGGAACTTCACGAGTTGTACAAAATATTCGTTATGCATCAATTCATCCAGTATGCCCCTATGTGGTTATTTATGAGAGCTTTAATGGACATAATTAAAAACGTGTACTTTCCCTTTAATATTTGTTATATTCTCCTGCATCTGTTTCGAGTACTGAACACCCTCTAGAGCTCACTATTCTCCCCATGTTTTTCTCTGGTCCCTGTTTGGATGTAGTAAAAGGACATCTGGACTGAAGTGATCTGCTTGTGGTCTGAACTGTTCATGTTTGAGATAATGGACTGACTGACAGCAGTGCTAATCATGCGTGCTTGGCTGTGGGTTTGTTTTCAGCATTTTGTGTGTGCTAAGTGTGAGAAACCATTCCTGGGACACCGTCACTACGAACGCAAGGGTCTGGCCTACTGTGAAACACACTATAATCAGGTAATACTCAATGAGATTTTAATTGGGAATGTCAAACATGCAGCAGCCCTTTATAAACTTATGCCTCAATTCATGTGATATTAAACAAACTTTGCTTTCGTAGTCCTAATCAGTAACCAGTGTAAAGAACTGATGAAGTGTCAATAGATTACAGTTGTTTCCACACATGAAATATTGCACAGCATGTGTTGATCTGCATATTTTTTGTATGAGGCATGTTGTGTTTAAGAAAAGTGCTGTATTGTGTTACACCATTACATGAAATCATGGTACATTATAATGCCACTTCCTCCCTGTTTGTCTTCCCTTGACACATTCAGCTATTTGGGGATGTTTGCTACCATTGCAATCGTGTAATCGAAGGAGATGGTAAGAAAACCTATGGTATATTTGTAGCTAATTGAACAGTTTCTTTGATGTACTTGTATTGTGATTTGACTGGACTGTGATCTCTATATTGTGTTTAGGTATCTTGTATGAATTTCGGACTCTGATCTAATTGAACTGTAAGAGTTATGTCTCAGAGGACAGTGTTTCTTCATGTTTTTTCCAGTGGTGTCTGCCCTCAACAAGGCTTGGTGTGTCAACTGTTTTGCGTGCTCCACCTGCAACACCAAACTCACCCTTAAGTAAGTAATATGCAGGTCTGAGACACACACTCTAACACTGTTCGTACGTCATGACATTGATCCATAAATTTGAGTCTAGGTTTGGGCTCATTAGGTATTGATTATATTTATGAATTCAAGTTCAAAGTGGATGAGCCTTGCCCCATATTTTCTCCACATCTGAGACTTTTTACTGCTTTTAACTAGGGGTGGGAGAAAAAATAGATACAGCATAGTGTTGTGATATTTTGTCTGGTGATATATTCTATTGTCTCATTGACCCAGTATCATTTTTTTTTTCAAATTAATTGTGAATATGAAGTCAAATCTATGATAATGGAAAAATAAAATCAATTGTTTGTCCAGTGGAGATATCATAGAGCAGGAGAAAGTGCAACAAACATGGCAGCACCTGGGGAAAGACATTAGGAATGCAAGCAGGGCACAAATAAGATGGACCTGACACATGAGGTTTGCAAGATTTGCTACACAAAAATAAAATACTGTGTAAATAAGACAAGCAAAGGAAAGACAAATGCTAATTTAGCTAAACAGTTGAAAAAAAGATAGCAATACAGATATACAGATAGCAATATATGGTACTGCAATACTCACTGTATTGCAAAATGTTAAAAAATGCAATAATATCGTATCGTGGCCCAAGTATCGTGATAATATTGTATCTTGGAGTCACTGGTGATTCCCACCCTTACTGTTAACACTCTTTATTTCCAATCTTGTTTATTTCTGATTTCAAGCTCCCACTCATAAGTCTGTGTCTTTGTGGACTTGTTCATTAACCCCTGCACTCTGTTATTGTTCTTTCACATCACCCTCTCTCTTATCTCTATTCTTGTCACCTCCATTTTGAATTTCTCTTCAGGGATAAATAAAGTTCTTTTTATTCTTATTTCTTTCCTCTCTTCCTCCTCCTCTCTTACTGCTCTTCCTCTTTTCTCTCACATCCTTCACCATCTCTCCCTCCCTCCTGCTCTGCCAGGGAAAAGTTTGTGGAGGTTGATCTGAAGCCAGTGTGTAAACACTGCTACGAGCGCCTGCCTGATGATATGAAACGCCGGCTAGCTAAGCGTGAACGCGATTCAAAAGAGAAGAAGAAGAAATTATTGATACCCATGTGTCTGTGATCCTCTCTTTCCTCTTTCTCCTTCCTTCTGCTGTTCTTCTTTTGGTCAGTTTCCAGCTTCCTTTGTTCATCATTTTGTTGTTTCATTGCCATCAGATTTTACAAAATGTCCGCAGCACTTCACTCCCTCATTGCACCACCACACTCGCTGCACTTCTTTGTTCTTTCCAAAAAGTAGGTGATCACTTGTAATCTAAACATGTTCAGGATGCTTTATAGTGCTGTCAACACATTCCCACACCTCAGCAAGGAACACTAGGTAGGATTTAGACTCATACTCTGGTAACCCCTGCTTTACAACAGGGAAATCAGATCAATCACATTCTGAAGGGTATGTGTTGTTTTCTGGGTCTCCTGGTCTGTCTGCACAGAAAGGCTAAAGCTTTAATCACTTCCGGCAGCTTTCTGGCTGCAGCCCTGAAGGTACTGAGGTCCTAGCAGGTCTGACACGTGCATTGGTGTTGCTAGTAATTATCTGCTTTGGGAAGGAATGGCATCCAAGGCAGCTGAAGGAAATGGCTTTTGGTAACTTGCCAGTGTAATTGGAAGCAAAGACTTTTACAGTAACGCCTGAGACAGTCAAAGAGGACTATTAGCACCTGCATCAGGGTTTCGACTTCATTATGTGTAATAGAAAGATACATGATGCAGAGAACATAGTGAATTCAGATGTAGACCTGCAGACTCACAAATAGACAGACTTAAGATACAACATTTGCATATTCAGCCATACTGTTCACTCTGCATATAAAGTTTGTTTAATTCATTTGTGTATTTATTTATTTCATATATCATTTGTATATTTTTTCAGAGGTGGCTTGTAAGGGTATGATTTTTATGCTTGTCAGTGTTTTTAAGTGCATATCATTGGCACAGATAGGTACTGGAACTGATGACCCTTAACCTTCAACCTGTAACATGAGCTGTAACTCTTTCCCCCAACAGGAACAAGTTTGTGGAGTTTGACATGAAGCCAGTGTGTAAGAAGTGCTACGAGAAATTCCCACTGGAGCTGAAGAAGAGACTGAAGAAGCTGTCTGAAACTGTTGCCCGAAAGTGACCTAACAGTTGAGACGGTGGGGAGGCATCCATGAAAATCATATTCTATATTTACAATCCAATATGATAACTTTGTATGTTTTGGAATAATCAACACGATATAGGCTATTATTGTTGCCATCAAACACTCTACTTTTTTATCCTTTCACTCACAGATTGTCATGAGCCTGAAGCTGACAGATTGTTGGTCAGTCAGTAGGTTTGACATGAACCTGTTCAGCCTTTTGGGTCAAAACACAGTGTATTGTTTCATCACACAAATTAAACCAACACATGGGTTTTGGTAGAAATGTATTTCAAACTGATACTCAGTATAGGCTTTAATACAACATGGAAATGTGTGTGAAATAACCTTTTATCGCCTATTTTTTCATTTTCTCACTAACCTGCCTCATCGTGCCATATGTCCTACTCTGTCATACTCTGTAATGTTGGAATAAACCCAAAGAAAGCTCAACTGCACATTTCTATTTCATATGTGCATCATAACTCCAGTATTTCCTTTGCATCAGTTCGTGCTATTTAAGTATTTGTCTTTGATTTTTTTTGCCAAATAGGTTTCTTTTTAGCTCTCATAAGTTTTTGCTTTGTCTTTAACTTCATTGAAATCTTACTGGGGCTTCTTTAAAGTTACAGTGTTGATCTCAGTGTTAAATATATACTATTGAATTGCCTTTTTCTGTGCTATACATTTTGAGTGTAAAAAGAAAGTTTCTAAGTAAACATGTGTCCCCTGGTATGGTGTCATACAATCCTGTCCAGGAACTCTGAAATAGAAAGTTTGCAAACTTTAGTTTGATTTTAATCTACTGCCATTAACAGACATTAAATATTTGAGGGCAGCAGAGTATCACAGTTTCCTTTAGAAGCAATGCTGTGCAAGTATGAGCAGCAACTTTGACACACTATCCACAAATACTAAGGATTTGAAGTCCCTCTTGACAGGATTTATTACATAGCAACTGCTAACTCGGTGTAAGCAGTGGCTGTTAACTGCTAACATGATGCCTTGTGGCATGTGCAGAGACCGGATATTGGAGCAATGTTAGTTGTTGAACATGTGTCTCTGTTGTTTGTAATCCAGAGAAAGTTATCCTCTTAAATGGGGTTTACAGCCTTCCTTAAGGCCCAGACCTCGTAGGAAAGAAAGCCAACTGTTGTAAATAAAAGACATTCATTTCCCATTTGAATTTAAAAAGTTTCACTCCAGCTGTATTTTTGTTTTAGTTAGGTAAAGAAGTACATTCCACTATTCTACTGTTTCTGGTATAACTTCTGTAAATTTTATCATACAGCATATAGCAAAATATTTTAATTGTCAAGTAGCAGTCATACTGTCTACCAGGCTGTTGTGAAGCAGAACTCCAGCTCCACTAAAAATAGTCCTGTGGATATTTTTATTTGATACCCAGCTACCTGGGTGACTCTACAAAAAGCCACATTGCTCTCATGCTATACCCACAAGGCCTGTTTACTTTCACTGTTAATTCATGTCAACACAATTTGCACACATTAGGCTTCAACATAATGCATTGTTTTCATTATATGTACTGGATATGCTGTCCGCTCCTAAAATAAACGGATATTTCAACAGTTTCATGTAGTTACGTTTTTGATTGACGATTTTTCATCTCTGTTTGAGTGTAACCTGATGTCACACTTAATACCTGGCCTCCAAAAGCATGATTTTCCCACATCATCTTTCCCCTGAGCTGGTAGAATGCTGAATGCTTTTATTACTGGTCGGTTGAATTCATAGAAAATCATTACTGTTATTGATCACAACATATATTCGAGCAAAGTACAACAATATAAGCTTTTATTATGGTTTAAATAGAGCATTGCTTTTAAGATTATACAACTGATCCAGACAGCTTGCTTACCCGTCCCAGCCCACCCCCCTCTTTTAAAGTATCCTGCGTCATTGTGCGTCAAACTGAATAATCGTTTCTTATTGGTTAAGGCCCCCGATTCAAGACGGTTAACATCCCACGTGACCTTCTGCCATTTGACGGTTTTGAGACTGCGCATTATCGTCATGGGAGTTAATGCTACGGAGTGGCAGTCGAAACCACATCAATGTCAGTTTTTATATTTTGTGAATACCTAGAATACATTCACATCAACAAGCTTCATTAGTGGTGTCTGTTTTTGGAAGCCATGCGGCGAAGTAAGGCTGAAGTGGACCGGTACGTCTCCACAGTACAGAGTTCATCTCCATCACTCAAAGAGGTAAGTTGAGAGCCGGTGGCTAATGTTAGCAAGGTTGCTACTGCCATCAAAGCAGCATGTGTCAGCCAGTCGGCGAGAGTAGAAGTCAGTATGACCGCCAGAATCAAGCACAATTCGTCTTATATTAGCTGCAATAGTCTTGCGTTCTGGTTGTGTTCGGTGATTTCCGCTGTTAACCGCCCGGGGCTCAGCATGATGACGCCTCATCGTATCCGAGGAATTGCGCGGCATGGAGCGGTTACCCGGGCTAGTTAGCCTCCACTTAGCCATTCCAACTGCTGGAAACTACTGCTAATTCTAGTTAAATACATCTGGAGCCTCCCTTGATTTCAGAATTCACAACATTTACACCTATTTACAGTGTGTCTGTGTAGGTTCTCAGTCATCCAGGTCATGGTTACTAGACTTGCTGGAGGTGCTTGAGGTTCTTGGAAAGATTTCGAAACCTTCAAAACGAAACCTATAAGGGAGTCCAGTCATGTCTCCCTTTCAACGAAGAATTTGATATGTATAGTATAGTTGCTGAAGAGGAGAGTACAGCAGCATAAGCACCGTCTGCAGTGCCTGTAAACAGAGGTTAATGGAAGTGTCTCTTATTTTTGTTGAAAAGTCCGGAGGAAGGTGCCACTGTGGAATTCACATGCCTAGATTACCTGGTCCAATAAACGGTGAAATGTCCGGGATTATAGATATAGAGCTCACCAGACCTCAGATTGGCGTAATACAGTACAAAGAGTATCTAACATTAACGAATTATCAATGGATTTACTGTTATCTTATTGTGTAAGTATGTCAAACTCCATAACAGTATGTTAAAGAACTCATAATGCCTTCCTTTATACCTGGTAGCTTCTTCAACATATAAGACAGTACTAAAGAATTCCTCAGGACTTTGTGAAATTAACCCTAATAATCTGTCATTCTGTCTACAGAAACCAATCAAGGGATTTCTATTTGCTAAATTGTACTTTGAAGCAAAGGAATATGAACTTGCCAAAAGGTAAGAATACAAGCTTCAAATTGTTGAAAAACTGCTAGTTCTTCATCAAAAGTGTACATATGACCAGCAATTATCTTTCATTTTGTCCTGATTTCCCCAGACATGTGTCAGAGTATCTTAAAGTCCAGGAGAGAGATCCAAAAGCACACAAATTCCTTGGACAACTCTATGAGAGAGAGGGGGACATCAACAAGGCAGTTGGATGTTACAAGGTAAGAAGAAAAGAGAGAAGCTCATCTTCCCAAAAGAACACAGCACAGAGGGTTTATAAATCACTCATTCTTCCACTTCCAGATAATCTCATGTTTACTCAAGGTCTCACTCTGAAGAAAGACCATGTTTCAAAGTATGATGATCATAATCGGCCACAAACACCATCAATAGACAAATGCTGTTCATTAGCAGCGAGATTAACCAAAACCTGTTGTTTGCATTACACCTCATTTGGCTGCTGACATCTAAGCTTAACCTAAACCTTTTTCAAGATAGCACTGAAGCACGTAGGAAGTGCACAGAGCAGCTGAATTGAGATGTAACCTTTATAAACGTTGATTCATCCTGACAACTGCAGGATGGACCACAAGTCGGGTCATTTAGGATGGTATTAACACTCCCGCTAAGAGAGGGAGTGCTCACTGCTCTGTGGAATTTTACTTTCAATGGAGCACAAAACTCTTGACACCGTTCAAGTGTGTACAGTTTAAGAAGTTTTAGGCTGTTTTACAGGCATCTTTGGTGCCATTTTTACTCTGAACATTTAGTATCCCATGCAGTTTCTGGTATTCCAGTAAAGATGACATCAACTGTGAAATGAGTCACTGAAAATTGAATGTCTACAGTACAGAATATAAAAAGCAGACTATTTTCCAATCTGGTGTTTGCCATTGATAGGCTTCAGATTACCATCCCCAAAAACCAATGGGTCACTGAAGACACACATCATACAGTCAGTGTTGTTAGCGTCTGGCTGTTGTCAGGACTGACACTAAAATAACCGAACTTCTTTGTGTGTATGTAGCGGTCAGTAGATTTGAATCCAGCCCAGAAGGACCTGGTGCTGAAAGTGGCTGAGTTACTGGTGAACAAAGAGGGAGATGACAGCAGAGCAGAGTTTTGGGTGGAGAAAGCTGCCAAACTGCTGCCAGGAAACCCTGCAATCTTCAATCTAAAGGTAAGGTTTTTAAATTTGTCAAAATGAGGGCTGTTGTGATCTCAGATTTTCTATTCACGGTTGTCATGGACAAAAAAATTAAGTTAGCAATATTGTTCTTTGGAAAATTACTTTGAACATTAACATAAGAAGGTGTAAAGAGAGTCTCCAACCATTACTGTACAAACTACAAGAAAGGCTCGCAATCTTCCTACAACTTATTCTTTCTTTGGTGAAATCTGCAAAAGTGATTGGGGTGAAGGATGATTCAAAGTTGCAGAGTTTTTTTTCTGCTGCACCTCAAATGGTGGATGGCCACTAGCAGAAAGAAACATGACTACACCCTACTTTGAACCAGTTTGTGACATATTACTATGTGCGTATTTTATCACAATACCATGACTATGTTTGATTTAAAAAAAAAAACCAACAACAACAGTGCTGGTATATTTTGATAGCCCTGGTTGAAGTCACCCAATGACTCTCCTCTTTTAAACTGCCACCAAAATGTTAATTTTACAAACTTTTACCAGTGTTTTAATTGAGTTTTCAAGAATAAAGGAGGTGAAATTAATCTTGCAAGGAAAGAATGCACTATTGGCTGACTCTCTGCGCGTTCTCTGTTGCCCGATGCAGGAGTGTTTGTTGAGTCGTCAGGGTCAGCCAGGATGGAACCGGTTGTTTGACCTCCTCCAGGCTGAACTGGCAGCAAGACCTATGGATGCTCATGTGAACGTGAAGCTGGTTCAGCTGTTCTGTCAGGATGGGCGGTTGGATGAAGCTGTTAAGCATTGCCTGGCTGCTGAGAAAAAGGGCGCACTGAGAAATAGCCTGGACTGGTACACTGTTGTGTTGAACACGCTGAAGGTCAGCACAAAAGGGCCTCAATACACAGAATATTTGTCATATTGGCACCCATAAGCATTTTCCAGAGTCTAGGTCTGACCCGTTCAAGTTGAAAGTTTGAAAAAAGCGTGCCTTTTTTTGCAGGAGTATTTAGCACAGCCCAGTGTCTCAAGTAATGAGAAGATGTGTCGACGTCTCCAGAGAGAGCTGCTGTTGGCCCACTGCAGCCTGCTGAGAATTACACTTTCTGGAAGCAGCCTGCAGCCCTGTCTTGATGCCTTCAAAGGGTAGGTCATGTTAAAGTCGTGTCTTGATGGGGAAAAAAAAAACTTGTGTTTAACCTGCCTTTTTTGATGAATGACTTTAGTTTCAAATATAGGGTTAAATTCCCTCAAGTTGAAGCTTTTTTGTGTGTGTTTATTTTGATAAACCCTATCATGCTGGTCACATTTCTGTAGCAAGGGAAACTATTTACCTACAGACGTTCAACATGAACTGCCTTGCTGCTTGGGTCATAGGCAGCCTCTGTACTGTGGTTTGAATCAGGTGGCAGATTGTCCCAATAGTGGAATTTTCAACTTCAGTATACTTTTATAGCTCTTAAAGTCACAGGCACCTAAAGGAAGGTCGTATTTGTTTAATTGAAAAACTGCAGTGAATCTGGGACGCTGGTATGGCCTCAGTTTTCTGTGAGGGCTTTGGGAGGCTTTACTGTTCTTCTAGAAGAAGGCTCAAAGAAAAGGTTTGGAAGCAATGGCGTAATGTAGTGTGCCAAATGCACAGAAGCTAAAGACCCCAAACAGGCAGCCTGGTTTTGACCTGTAGCCCCCTTCCAACATGTCACTTCCTACTCTCTCTCCAAGCTTTCTGCTCTCATCCTCTCAGAATTAAGGCAGAAGAGACCAAAAATAGAACTTGAGTAAATCTACAGTCTCGTCTCTCTACCTGCATAGTTTTTTTGTGCTGTTATGGTGTCAGCCCTACAGATTTCAACCTCAAAATGAAAATCTGATCATGAAACACTTTTTAATAACTTAAAAACTTTAACCACCTCTGAAGTTTTCTTTTGACAGCCTCAGCAGGATGTCATTTGTTATACTGTCCAGAAAAGCTTCATCTTAAGTACCTTAAGTAGGCTCTTCCAGCTTGAAAGCATAGGATTGAACTGTTTCTCTAAAAATACATACAACCACTTTATACAATTTATTTTTCTGAAGCATCTTGTCAACTTAAACGAACTGCACATTAATCTGTGTGTGTGTGCGTGCGTCTGTCTGTCTGTCTGTGTAGTTTTGACCAAGCTATGCAGATGCTGAGCAACACAGCTGGCCGCCACACGGATGATCTATATGACGTGCATACAGAAATGAGAGGTCACCTTTACCTCCATGCTGCCACGCTGCTGTTGAAGCTGGCTCATCATCGCCAACAAACATGGAGGGCCGTCATTGACCCGGCTGGTTTATGCTACCTGTTAGCATATCAGGTATCAATACAGCAACACTCTGAATTTCTCTGAAGTGTTGCGTTTTTGAGATAGGATGTATGTTTCAAATGCTATAGATATTGTAGGTAACATTCTTTTCATTTGCCTATTTTACTTGACTTCTAAAACACTTATCCATGCGTACCTTGACGGTTTCCATGAACAGAGCCCTGTGGAGGAATTTCAGCTACTAAATTTGTTGTTTTATTTCTGTCTGTCTTTCCACTAGGTCCCTAAACCAAAAGCTAAAGTGACTAAAAGAGACCAAGCAGCCCCACAGCTTCTGGAGCTGCTGGCCAACGATCGTCAAAGTCAGGCTGGCCACATGTTGCTAAACCTGAGCACTGATCCAACCGCCCTCATTCGAGAGGTTAGTCCCGGTATTCTGATCCAGCTGGATCCCTGAGCATTGGTTTTTTTTTTTCCAAATTGAACCATATAAAACGATGACGTCACAAGTTTAAAGACTGAACATGTCAAAGTCATGTTACTTTCACTACTGCTTTGTCATCTAACAATTATTTCTACAACATTGTACACAGATCGCATTGATAAAAAGTGGAAGTTGCTGAAGTAGACAACTGTGTGTGTGTGTGTGTGTGTGTGTGTGTGTGTGTGTGTGTGTGTGTGTGTGTGTGTGTGTGTGTGTGTGTGTGTGTGTGTGTGTGTGTGTAGGTTGTGGAGGCATTTGGGAATCGTGTTGGTCAGGACAAACTGTGTGAACTCCTCTTGGGACCACCAGCCTCCACTGGGTCTTCCTTCATTGCCAATGACGACATTCATTCCATCAGCGCCGTGGCTCCAGAACTCTCTCAGCTGGCTAAATCTGATGCTGGTACAAAATCTAACTGGAGTAGTTTGGTGTTGTCTTAAATGCTTTGTGTTAGTGTGGGTAATCATTTACCTGTTTGTTCATTTTCAAACAAACCCACAGATGTCAGCATAATATGTATGTTTTTTAGTGATGAAAAGGGTATTTTGGTCTACAAACTGGGATTATAAATGGAGAAAAAAATGCATTAAAGAGGTGTAAATTTTAAGGTACTCCTACAATTTAATAACTTTGGTATTGTTAATTTAGGATCCATCCTTTTGCATGGTTGTGACTTACAACATCTATGCTGGTTGGGGCTACAGTGGACCCTCCTTGCCCAAAGACCAGCCCTGCAGGATTGGCTACAACAGCTCTTTCCTAGGCTTACTTTGGAAACTTCCAAACTGGACACCAATGCACCAGAATCCATCTGCCTGCTAGACTTAGAGGTAGGTGATCAAAATCTAGATTGTGTTTAAACAACACAAAAAAATGTCTTCCCTGTCTGGGCTGTTCTGTTTAAATGTTTGTGTTTATTTTGTCAAATTCTGAAATTATGGAAGTTACAAACCTTAAAATGATCAAAGGAGGAACCGAAAAAATATGATTATTGATAAAGTCTCATTTTATGGTGAGGGTTGGTATTTTCCTGCTTTTTTGTCTGATGCCAAACCCGTCTGATTGCTTTACAAGGTACAACAAAAACCATCTTTGTGTTATGACTCTCTGCAGGTGTTTTTGTATGGTGTGGTGTTCTGTAGCCACTGTCAACTTCAGGAGACGGCAAAGATCAGCAGTTCAGTGAACCAGCAGCAACAACAGAAGCTCTTTGAGCCTTACTGCCTCCCTCTTCCTCTCATTCGCCTCCTGACCACTGACAGACAGAGGGAGTGGTGGGATGCCGTTTACAGCCTCATACACAAGCGAGCGGCGTGAGTGTTATAACAGAACACGGAAGTGTGTTTTTTCCAAATATAAACTCAGGGTTTCTGCGGGGTCCTAAAAAGTATCAAAGGTTGATAAATCAATTGTGCAAAAATTAAAGGGATATTCCGGCGTAAATTTAAGTTAAGGTCAAACACACCATAACACTGAGTTAGACACCCTGTCGAGAGATGAATGTTGCAGACCGCTTGCTTATCTAGTTATACCAACTTTAGTAACGACATCATCAACAGTACATATCGGGTCCCAGCCAAAGCACTAGCCACCAAACATCTTTTTAGCTATGCCTGATTTCTTAAGCACTGAGACTTATATATTGTCTGTTTCCTTTAATGTTGTGGTGTATGTCATGCTGTTGGGACTTGAGCCCGTAATAAAATCCATATATACTCACCCTCTGTATCGCTGTCTGCTGTCGTTACGAAGGTTGGTATAACTAGAGAAGCAAGCAGTCGGCAACATTCATCTCTTGAGGGGGTGTCTAACTTCGTGTTATGGTGTGTTTGACCCTAACTTAATATTACGCCAGAGTATCCCTTTAAGGCCCTTGAAAAGTCTTAATTGCGATTTTATGAGTTATTCAGTTTTACTGGTATTCAAGCTTTGACTCCAAAAAGTACTGTGAATATTTGTTTTTCTCCTCGTGACTATTACAAACAACAATGTGCCAATGGTGTACTTGCAACAACGAGTGTTATGGCCATAGACATAATAAAGAGCAGACGCTGTCTCGACCGCTTGTTATTATTAATGGTGTTTTTCCTGTGGAGTGAGGTATCTCACATCATTACGGTCTCTGTCTAGAGTCACACATGCACAAAATCGTCTCCGCCGAGCGTTAGGGTATGCACTTCAAAACCTCCAAAGTTTGGGAGCACTTTAGCCTCGATAGCAACCTTGTGTTAAATTTGAGAAAAAATTCATAATTATCCGATTAGTCGACTAATCGTTTCAGTAGTCGCTGACTTATCCACTACTAAAACAGTCGTTAGTTGCAGCCCTACTGTGGTCTGACGAGTTCACATTTCAGACAGTTTTTGGATATCACAGATGTGGTGGCCTCTGGACTAAAGAGAAAGAGGACCATCGAGACTGTTCTCAGGTCAAAGGTCAAAGCCAGCATCTGTGATGGTCTGGGGATGTGTTAATGTCCACTGCTAACTGTCACAGCTGTGAAGGCTTCATTAATGCTGAAAAGTACATACAGATTTAGGAGCAACATTTGTTAGTTGGCTAGTTGTGTCCACTTGATGGAGTAGAGTAAGGCTGCACGATATTGGAAAAAAATAATATTGCGATTTTTTCAACCCTGCGATATATATTGCGATATTAAAAATACAGTATTTTCACCAGATGACCTGAATAGCACTTAATGTTATGCTGCACTGCTGAAATCTTGAGGACAGTTAACCTGCTCTGATCTTACCTCTTTTTGTGAATGTTAGTAGAACGGCTTCTGTCTGTCTCAGATATATTTTTAGCTTTTATTGTGCTGGGACGTTATTGTGGCAACAGATGAACACAGAACACGTGTTTTGGTCAACATCATCCTTCTTTTAACCGAAATAATTCCAGATAACTGACTTTCCTTTTCTTTTTGGCAACAAATCTTCATTTTCGGTGGTTTTCTCTTGTTCGTTGTTCATTTTGCGATCGTTGTTGTTGTTGTTGTTAGTGGTGTTGTGCTGAGAAACGCATGTCCTCCGAGAATTGCATGCACCTCGCAAAACGCGCACTGCTTATAGTAGAGTGGTCCACGGAAATGTACAATTTAAAACCCATACAGTTCTTATTTGTTGGGCTTAATAGTCATGAGTAAAGTTCCAAAAGTAATTCTCAGCGGACACACGTCTCCCTCCATGTGCAGAACATGTGCAGGGGTGGGTTTTCTCCTCCCTGATTTTGATTGACAGCTGGCAGGGTAGTCTGATTGGCAACTGAGAAGTGAGTCTGATTGGCAACTGAGTTAAGGACGAAGGTGATTGGTGGATCGCTGCACAGCACATGCAGAGTCACATGGAGTGTATCTCAGTCAGTTACCCTTGAAACTAAATGAGTTCATTCACCTCCAATATCGCAGGCTCTGCGATGTGACTATCGCACACACGTACATCGCGATGACGATAGTCAAACGATATATCGTTCAGGCCTAGAGTAGAGCATAAATACAAAGCCCTTTTCTACGTTAACTTGCCTTGAACCTAAATTTATGCAGAGAACTGTTTGTTTTTTATGTTCACTGTTTTTGTCTACCTGCAGCCCGGGTACGTCAGCCAAATTGAGGATGATTGTGCAACATGGACTGAACACTGTGAGGGCTACAGAAAAACATGGGCTCCAACCTGCATTGGCCATCCACTGGGCTCAGCGTCTCAGCCAAATGGTACGTACAAACACACTGTTTCACTCTGTCAGTAAGTAGCTAGCTTGAAAGTCACATGAAATCCAGCGTTGGGCGTGTACTTGTTAGCAACTTTGGCAGTGCCTGGAGCCTGCTATCTTTGGACAAATGCTAGCAATGCCAATGCAAGTGTTGCAATAATAAAAGTATGAGCATGTTTTGACAAGCACTGTTTATTTTTCTCAGTTAAATGGCTGTTACCAGCTTTGATATCAGAATTCCCAGATAAAGTTCTTCATGACAGCGTTACAAATCAGGGTATTGTAACTTTGCTAAATGACTGGAGTAAGAAAAAGGAGAAAGGCCTTTACTGTCAGCTGTCTTCCTTTTTTACTCCAATATTTCTAATGATGTTTTGAAAAGTTGTTTTGCAAGTGAGACAATAGCAGACTGCCACAGCCTTTGTAATGAATGGGAAGCGATGGCTCCCGTAGCCTTCTCACCCTGATGTTGTCTCGTATCAACCCAGGGTGATGGAGTGAACTCGTACTACGACCGGAAGGAGTACATTGGCCGGAGTGTCCACTACTGGAAAGCTGCACTCCCACTGCTGGACAGGATCAAAAACAGGCGCAGCGTACCAGAACCACTCGACCCCCTCTTCATACACTTTCCATCTAAGGATATTCAGGTTGTACTCTTCTCGCTTTATTATTATGAAAATAGGATATATTGTGGTCTCAGATCATTTTCAGATGCGTCGTTTCATGTTGGTGACTGAAGTGCATTTGTTGAATTTTTTTTTTTTTTTCCCATCCAGATATCTTCTGTAAAGGGTTGCGAAGAGGAAGCCAAGGTAGCGTTTGCAGCTGCTCTTGACATTGAGGGCAGGACTGAGGAGGCCATTGCTACATTGGAAACCATCAATAACATGTCATCCATCTGGCAGTTGGCACAGGTCAGTCACTCATTTGTTTCATATCATTCATGTTGGTCTGCAGCGGTTTTTGATGGTCAGTTTCATACTAATACCATACCAACATACAACTGATGATCAGATCTTGATAAAAATTTCTTGGGACACTAAGTGCTTGTCACTTTAAAAGAAAAAAACATCTACCTTTTGAATTAAACTGTCCATTAAAAAATAATTTAAATTGCATAGCAGAAATTTGTGACATAGATAATGCCACAAATGAGTCTGAAAATATCTTCATATCAGGAAAAACCCAATATTGAGCAACCTGGTCCTTCTATCCTCAGGATTAATCTTTGACAACCAGCAAATGTGTGATTTAAGTACAACTATTGTATTGGTGGTAGCCCGACATGCCTTACATTTCTGTTGCTGTGACACGCACATTTTTTTCTGAAGATTTACCAGCGACTATCAGATGAGGCCAGCAGTGGTGTTGAGGAGACACAAGATAGATGCATTACCTTTATGAAAAAGTTCAGGACCTACCTGTCCAAGATCTACAACAGTAATGCAGATGATATTGATGGGGTAAGTCCTTTGCCTTTTAGCACCACGTATGGCCACCCCTTAGATTCTCAGTATTTACAGAATTTTGAGAACAGTTAATCATTATTCAATTCCTATATGCGTCAATAACTTTTTAGCTATATAACCATGTGTCACACCTCCAGCTGCCTGTTTCCATGGAGGAAATTGTGGATCTCCTCAATGATGTGAACCAGCAGCTGGGAGAGAGTGGTGAGGATGAAGAGGAGAAAAAGGAGGAAGAAGGTCTAAGAGGACCAACACACTCCAGTCCAGCTCATCTCACAGACAACTCTGCTGCCATCTCCCATATCAAGTTTTCAACTCCATCTCCTAACAAGAGTATCTCTCCTTCCAAAAGACACCTGGTAGGTTAAAGGTCCCCAGAGAACATTTTAAAGACTGTCTGAGATTTATTTATGTAATTGCAAGTTGAGCATATGCATTGTTTTCATCTTGGAGACTTACAACACAACTGATGTTTTCTTGTAAATGCTTTCCAGATTTCTCCTAAAGCACAACCACACTGGGTTGAGGACCAGAAAAGTCTCCTTCAGATGCTGTGTCAGCAGGTTGAAGCCCTGAAGGTTAGAGTTGTACATAGGAGATCAGTTCCACTCAATAAGTTATTCAATCTACTCACCAGAAATATAATTCAGTATACTTTTATCAGAGAACACAGTCTTTTTTAGGGAGAAGGTCTAAATTGGAAGAGTGACAATTATAGCTTGGTTTTACTGGAGTAATGAAGTTATTGAGTTGATCATACGAGAAGGTAAATTTGAGGAAGCCATTAATTATTGGCAGATCTGTGTTTTTGTATTCGTCAAGAGTCCACTAACAACCCAATTACACCAATGAAATAAAAATGACATATCTTATTTAGATCCTACACAGGTGTCATTTAAAGTCATTCCTCAAAATCTGTTTTTCAGAATGAAGTTCACGATCTGAGACACAATTCTTCTGGAAATGCTGGTTCCCCTCATCACAAAATGTATGGCGAAAGCTATGGGGCCGAGGGGCTACAGGAGCCATTTACCCCTGTCCAGTCATACCATGGGGCCCCGCTAACAGGTCATTATGCTTCATAGTGTCAAATCATGTCTTTAATATAGAAATCTATACAAGTGTCTTCAAGTTTAAGGCAGTTTTAAAATAAACTAATTTCTATCCCAGTCGCCACCACAGGTCCTTCAGTTTACTACAACCAGTCTCCAGCTTACAACTCGCAGTACCTTCTACGCACAGCGGCAAACGTAACCCCTACCAAGGTAGTAACTACTGTGTTATTCTTTATTTACAATCAAAGACATGTGGAGGATATTTACCATACTTGTTCTTCTCTTGAATTTCTCTTCATAGGCTACGATGTATGGCATGAACCGTATGCCACCACAGCAGCACATGTATGCCTATCAGCAACCTACCCACACACCTCCATTGCAGACAGCTCCAGCCTGCATTTACCCACCTCAAGAACAGGTCTTTGGTGCCCCTCTTCGGTTTGAATCACCAGCCACAGGTCTTCTTTCCCCGTACAGTGAAGAATATTATGGTCAGAGTGTGACCCAACAAACCACTAACCCACCACTTCCTGAACCTGGCTACTTCACCAAGCCATCTGTTGTCCCAGTTCAGCCACCAAAGAGCGTTGAAGGGAAGTCTATGGACTTTGGGAAGCTCCCCTTTAGCCAACAGGCACCTGAAGTCCCCAAAGTGCCTAGTTTTGGAACAGCAGCAGTTACACAGTCAACACCTTCCACTGCTTTTAAATTCAACTCCAACTTTAAGTCAAATGACGGCGATTTCATTTTTTCAGCTTCCCAGGCCAAGCACAGTGAAAGTCTGCTTGGTCTTCTTACATCAGACATTATTCCCAAAACAGACACCACCACAGAGAAGCCTCAGGTCCAAGAGCAACTCCCTAACCAAACAGGCATTTTTACATTTGGAAATAAGAATACCTCTGGCTTCCCCTTTCCTGGCTCTACTCAAAGCACAGGCAGTGGACGTCTGTTTGGAAATTTTGAGCAGCCATTTAAGTTTGGGGATGTTACCAGGCCGGTGTTTGGGGTTGCCAAGTCTACAGGAGAAGAGGAAAAAGCAGCAGAGAGCGATAATGACAGCACTCATGTTGAGGAAGATGAAGATGGCCCTCACTTTGAACCAATCGTCCCTCTTCCTGATAAAGTTGATGTTAAAACGGGTGAGGAAGAGGAGGAGGAAATGTTTTGCAACAGGGCTAAGCTGTACCGCTTTGACACTGAAACAAAAGAGTGGAAGGAACGTGGTATTGGCAATATTAAAATCTTGAAACACAGCACTAAAGGGAAGGTCCGCCTCTTGATGAGGAGGGAGCAGGTCCTGAAGATCTGTGCAAACCACTACATAACCCCTGATATGTTACTGAAACCAAATGCTGGCTCTGACAAATCCTGGGTCTGGAATGCCATTGATTATGCAGACGAGGAGCCAAAGCCTGAACAGCTCGCCATCCGCTTCAAAACTGTAGAGGAGGCCTCACTTTTCAAGGCTAAATTCGAGGAAGCCCAAGCCGTTGTGCTCAAATCACCAGGAAAAGAAATCCAACTAGAGAGAAAAGAGGAAAGCCCCAAAGATTCTGATTCACTGGCTGCCCAGTTTGCTCTCAAAGAAGGAGAGTGGGAGTGCACTGTGTGCTGCGTTAGAAATCAACCCTCAGATATGCGCTGTGTTGCTTGTCAAAGTTCTAATCCCAACTCTTCATCAAAGTTAGAGATACAGTCTACTGGTGAAACCAAAACCAGTCCTTTTACTTTTAAATTTGGAATTGATGGCTCAAAACCTGGTTGTTCTAGCTCTCCCTTTACTGGATTTGGTGCTTTTGGAGCATCTGTACCCTCTTCATTTACATTTGGCACCAGCACCTTAAAACCTACTGACTCATTTAGCAGTGCATTTGGTTCTGGCTTTGGGGCTCAGTTTGGTAAGAAGCCAGAGCAGTGGGACTGTGCCACATGTTCAACAAGTAATGTGGCCTCTACAGACAGCTGTGTTTCCTGCAAAGCTCTCAAAACCTCACCCCAAACAATTAACACAGCACAGATTTTATCAGCAGCACAGCCATCCCTTTCTGAAATGGGCTCTGGGTTTGGCACCCAGTTTGGTGAGACACCTGGACAGTGGACCTGTGGTTTATGTAAACTAAAGAATGAAGCATCTGCGGATAAATGTTTTGGCTGTAAAAGTCCCAACCCTACAAGTAAATCAACAGAGGGGGCTTCATTGGCATTTAATTCTCCAACTGTGTCAGAATTAGGGGCAGATTTGACAAAAAATGATGGACGGTGGGACTGCAACACCTGTCTGGTAAGGAATGATGCATTAGCCACTGAGTGCATTTCCTGCCATGCCCCTAATGAAGCCCCTTCTTTAGCAGCAATGTTTGGTAAAAAGGATGGAGAATGGGATTGTGACACTTGTTTGGTAAGAAATGATGTCTCCGCCACCAAATGCGTGGCCTGTCAGACACCAAATCCCAGTGCTAAAAGCACAACCAGCACTGCCCCTTCAGCCTCCACTTTCAGCTTCACCTTTGGAACCAAGAGTTCATCTAGCCAGCCTGCTGGAACTGGGTTTACAATGCCTTTTGGAACTGGAAGTACTTTTCAGTTTGGTGAGAATAAAGATAAAAGTTCAGCAGCTTCTTTCAAGTTTGAAGCTCCCCAGTCAGGATCCAGTTCTTCAAGCTTCTCTTTCTCAATGCCCATTCCAGCTGGTGGTTTCAAGTTTGGTATTCAGGAACCTTCAAAAGAAACTTCCTCCTCTGATGATCAGACATCCTCATCAGGGTCAGCTTCAAACTTTCTGAAAAACATAGCTGACAAACACAAGGCAAAAGAAGATGTGCCTTTGACCCCAGCGAGCCAAACAGAGCAAGACCAGAACCCGTTGATTTCAGGGGGGGTTAATGCTTTTAGCTTTGCAGACTTGGCTAAGTCCTCTGGAGGAGACTTCAAGTTTGGACAGAATGACCCAGATTTCAAAGGTTTCTCTGGAGCTGGGGAGCAGGTGTTTTCATCATTACAGGAAACTCCTGCAAAGACTGATCCCTCAAATGAAACTGAGGATGACGGCATGTATAAAACCGAAGAAAATGATGATATACAGTTTGAACCAGTGGTCCAAATGCCTGATAAGATTGACCTGGTTACAGGTGAGGAGGATGAACAGGTTCTCTACTCTCAGCGTGTTAAGCTGTTCAGATTTGACTCGATCTCCAGTCAGTGGAAAGAACGCGGTGTAGGAGTCCTTAAATTCCTAAAGAACAACACTAATGGGAGGCTAAGGGTGCTGATGAGGAGAGAGCAAGTCCTTAAGGTGTGCGCCAATCACTGGATCACTACCACCATGAATCTCAAGCCCCTGGCAGGCCAGGACAAAGCATGGGTTTGGATGGCCAATGACTTCTCTGACGGAGATGCTAAACTTGAACAGTTGGCTGCTAAGTTCAAGAGCCCGGAGTTGGCTGTGGAGTTTAAGGAGAAGTTTGAGGAGTGTCAGAGACTACTTCTGGATATCCCCTTACAAACGCCCCATAAGCTTGTAGACTCGGGCAGAACGGCACATCTCATTCAGAAAGCAGAAGAAATGAAATCAGGTTTGAAAGATCTGAAATTCTTTCTGACAGAGGAGAAAACAAAGATCAAAGATGATGACAACCAAGAAGATATTACAACATCCAGTGATGTTTCAAGCCTGGTAATGAAACCTCAAGGGGAAACCACTGGCCCCACCTTAGAGTGGGATAACTATGACTTAAGAGAAGAAGCACTGGACGATACAGCTGACTCCTCGGTCTATGCTTCTCCCATTGCCAGCAGCCCCCTGAGGAAGAATCTTTTCCGATTTGGAGAATCTACTGGTGGGTTCAACTTCAGTTTCCAACCTGGAATCAGCCCGTCTAAGTCTCCTGCCAAGCTTAATCAGAGCAGAGCATCAGTGGGCACTGATGATGAGCAGGATTCAACTCAGGATGAGGAAAAGGATGGCCAGTACTTTGAACCTGTGGTGCCATTGCCCGAACTGGTGGAGATTTCCACAGGGGAGGAAAATGAACTGGTAGTCTTCAGTCACAGGGCCAAACTATATCGCTATGACAAGAAGCTGACTCAGTGGAAGGAGAGAGGTATTGGAGACCTAAAGATCTTGCAAAATTATGAAAACAAACGGGTGAGGTTAATCATGAGGAGGGACCAGGTACTCAAGATCTGTGCCAACCACTGGATCACTGCAGCCATGAAACTAGAACCTATGAAGGGTGCAGAAAAGGCCTGGGTTTGGAGTGCCTTTGACTTTGCTGAGGCAGGAGATGGAAACCTTGAACAGCTAGCTGTGAGATTCAAGCTTCAGGAAACCGCAGACACCTTCAAGCAAGTTTTTGATGCGGCCAAGATTTTACAGGACAAGCAGGAACTAATGACTCCTGTAACCTCCAGAGTAGCCGCTCCTCAAGACGGTGGAACCACAGCATCAGTAGAGCCTGCCTCAACCATATGTGGGAAGGCAGCCATTGCGGTTCTGGAAGAGACCACAAAGGAACGCACAGAGCTCTCTCCTGACTGTAAGCCGTGTACTGCTGGGTCCCCAAGTCAAGCAAACCTTTCCAAGACAGTGGTGTCACCTCCAAAGTTTGTCTTTGGTACTGATAGCCTTCAGAAGATTTTCGGGTCGCCTAAATTTCACCTTGAGACTGAGGGATCTGCATCTACCTCAAAGGCTAAAGATTCCCAACCTCCTGCCAAAGCTTCACCCACAGCGCCTGTATTCAAAATCCCAGAGAAAGGTACAGTTGTTTCACTTCTATCAAATGACTTTTGGGGCTCTTTATTCTGAAAAAGTCATTCTGTTGTTTTGAGTTGTACTCATTTGCAATGTTTTGTATACATCATATTACTTCATGGTCTGCTTGGTTGACCCACCAAATCTCTTCTCAAAACTTTGCCATATATCGCCCTTCAGTCTCCTTATTTTCTTCACTTTAAATGTGGAATCTTACTATTCTTTTATGCATATAAAAACTGACGGTTAAGACCTTTTTAGTTTACCCCTAATCAGTAAATGATGTCCTTGAATTTTTTTTAAACACACTTAATACATCAAGCATCTAAGCTTGAACATAAATCACCAAGTGTCACTAATTTGTTAATCAACATATTACTTTTGATTGATGGTTACAATACCAGCCTCACAATTAGTTTCTCTTCACCCAACGGCTCAATATCCTTTAGGGCTGGATTTTAGGCTTTTCAAAGATAATCCAATGGCATTTTGGACCAGCACATCAACCACCCAATTTGAACCACCAGGTATTCTAACCACTGCAGTGTGTGTTAACACTTCTCAGCTGTCACCTCGCTGACACTTACTACTGGACAAAAATAACCTGGATGCACTGAGTGAAAGATGTTGAAGCTAATCTTTTGCATGTCCATTGTGTGGATGTGCAGTTTATAGTTCAAAAACCTCAAGATCATACAGGTTAACTTTTGTTGCACTTACATTACACAAGACTTTAATGTGTTACTCTTGGTTAAGTTATGCAAAACTGTCAGTATCAGGGTGCAAATTCCTCATGTTTGAATGCTTAGAGAATACAAAGGCAGACATCAGACGAGTAAGAGCAGCAGCAGCAGAGTGACAATATAGCTGGTTTCTTGCGCTCTGGCACACTTTCAGTGAGATGTCTGTGTAAACATTTGCATCTCACATGATCAAGTAAAAAAAAATGTTTAAAAAAAAAAGATCAAAGTATCTAAAATTTCTGTTATCAGAAAAAGCTTCCTTCAAGTGTGATTGACAAAAGGCTGACAGTCTCTCACCCAGGCACTACAAGGGAGTTGACCAACAGACAGTTAAGGACCTGTGTAGATGTAAGACTTTTATGGCAGTGTCTCCACGTGTCTTCTCTTGAATCTTGCACCAGTTTGCCAAGAGTTTTTCCAAAGTGCAGTAACAGTTGCTGGATTTGGAGCTGCTAGACAGCCGCTCAGTGTTTAATTTGTTACTGCACAGAATAAAACCAGTGTTTTGTCTTTCAGTCATTTTAAAATGTTCTCTGAAATGTGAGCTGTGGAGATGACACAGAGTGTTGCGTTCGAGAACACTCTCTGTGTTCCTCTCCCAAAAATGGCACGTGTTAACGTCATACATGCCATTTTTAGGAGGGGATGTGTAGCAACAGCATGAAATGGAATTCCCCTGTTGGCCTGGCCTCTGTCTGGGAACTGCACCCAAGCAGAGGTTAATTACAGTAATGAATCAGGTGTATGAGCCATCTAATGCTTCAGTGTCATAAATTGAAGTGGTACAGTCTGCCAAATGAACTGGAAAGGCTGTATGCATACACAACTGTTCTTTTATATAACTGTACCTTAATAATTATTAAACAATGCATGCTATTTAGTTTTGCCATGCATGGGGTTTGTGTGTGGGTGTGTGGAACTAATACCTGTGACAATAGATGGAATGACGCAGCTCAGCTACAGAATTATTCAAAGCTATTCCAACCTGTCCTGACTTGTGTGTTGTTCTGCTTCTGTCTGTCTGTCACAGGGACACCTCTGGTGGAAGGAGGCAGTGCAGGGTCAGATGAGGACTCAGAGGTGGAGGTTGTGTATGTCAAAGAACCCACAGCTGAACAGGCTGCCTTAGCAAAAAAACTCTTGCTTCCACTCACGTTTTTCTGCTACAAGAATGAACCGGGCTACACAAGTGACGATCAAACTGATGGTGAGGCCAAGAATATGAAGTTTATTTTGTGATCCAAGGAACTGGATGAACTGATGTGGCCAATGAGTAGACATATCTTCCTTCATTTGCAAGTGTTCCCCAGAATGACCTTTGTTTTCCTCAACTGTTTACAAATAAGTCAATGAACTTAGATACTGTTTTTCACCTTTTACAATGTCAGCCTGGGAAACTTGAAGTGTAACTTTGCATGATCTATTACAGAATCTATACAGTCGCAAATGCTGTGATGGCACTTGAATAAAGTTGTTGCCCATAGCACAGCCCTCTTATCAGCCCACAGTCTGGCTGATAGAGCGTTTGGAGGCTCAGCTCGACCACATCAGTCATAGCTCCAGGCGATTTTTCATTAAGAGTTTAAAGCCTTCCTTTCCGACAGCCTGAATTGGCTTCATATCTTTGGCCTAACAATACATTACTGCTTCGGTAATGTCCTGCCACTGTCTGTTTTTTGTTTTTTTTTTAATCATATGGACTAGTGCAGCGAGAACTCCTGCAATGCTCCGTTGAGCCGTTTGTTTACTTTTACTCTGAACACCAGCAGCTGCTTTCACGTCCTCATCACATACCTTCAAAGCCTGCAGATAATTGGCTATGTGTTTTAGCTTTAGATGGTAAAACTTATTAGCTGTGTTAACCAAACCACATCCACAACACAAAGGTAGCTCTCTTTTTGGCTCATTTAAGGATCAAGTTAGCGCTGCTGTGCTGCTCTCGCTCTCTGACGTCGTTGTGTATGCAGTAGGGAATCTCATACGTCATCGTGCCCCTACAGTGTAAATACTGTGATATGACAAATTTATTACCGTACACAGCATGATATGGCACACCCCAAGTTGTGATCATCTTTATGTTATTACCCATCACTAAGAACAACAACCATCCACGGTTGATTTTAGTGAGGTCTGTGTCGTCCTCTGAGCCTGTCACAAGGAAAAGGCATTGTGTATAATTGCTGACTGTGATATCATTAATATTATTGGGGTTACTACCTTTTCATAGGATAAACAAAAGGTAGTGTCAAATTTATTTTAAAAATGGATCTCACTGTAAGAAATGAAGTTGATCTGTTATTCTATTTGGAGCTTGTTGCTGATGTAAAGTATTAAATCCTCAAATAAGCTATTGCCAGTAAAGGTGGCCGTCACAGGGTTTCAATAACATAGTGTTTTGAAAATGGTTCCTGACATAATCAGAGGTATTTTGAAGTGAAGGCTTGTTGAAACTGAGAGAGGAAAATGATATAATTGATGGTTAATAATGTGAATTTTCTGCTACATTTCAGATGAAGACTATGAGTCAGCAGTAAAAGCCTTAAATGGAAAGCTCTACCCTGATGCTCCTGTAAAAAAAGCTGCAGCATGTGGAGATGGTGTGTATCTTATATACAGTCACAAACAGCGTGGTTAGCTTCACTCTTTGCTATGTTGGCTTTCACAAAAAAATATCAGGGGTGTACAAATATTTTACGTTCGATGCTATAAGTGAACTTCACTGTTTTGGTTAAAAGCAAGCAGAGTTGGTGAAAATCTTAAAACCAAGTGTCCCATTCAGAGCCAGATTGCCAGGTGGTGTGGGAGAAGAAGCCAACGCCAGAAGAGGAAGAGAAGGCAAAAAGCCTCCAGCTGCCACCCACGTTCTTCTGTGGCCTGAGCACCTCGGACAGTGACACAGACCATGACAAGCCTGAGGACTTTGAGACAGAAGTCCGCAAGGCGCAGCAGGACTTGGTAATGGATGATCCAAAACAAATGAACATGAAAGCAGATAGTACTTTGATTGTGAGATAATTTAGTGGTAAGCATTAGAATATGTGGTCAGCTGCCTAATGCTGATTAAAAGACCCATTGTTTTTTTTTTTAAACCATTGAAAGTGTTCTCAGTGGTCTTTTAATTGTGATTATAAGGTTTTAGCAAAAATCTGGTTACCTGGGCTTTTCTTCTGCAGAGCTCCAGTAGCTCATTAGCAATTAACCTCTGAGTCGTGGGCGGAGACAGTGCTGCTCTGCACACTCCTCTTCACGCTAGCTTGCAGCCTAACATTGCTGGTGTGGTAGATGTGGCAGGTAACATAGGAGCTATTCAGCTCTCAGAAACTAATATATTTGGGGACATAATGAAGGTAATATCATAATTAGCTTTCTTATGAGCATTGCAATCCGTTAACACACGTTTGTTCTGCAGTCGTCCTCTCTGCTTCTCAGTCTGGCCTGCAGAGGGGGGTGCTAAGGGCGAGCTTGAATTTGTGATGTAGAAAATCCCACTGTGTAAGGAAGCCTGCAGTTTGGGTCTGCCAGAGGTTCACAGGGATTTGAATGCAAAAAAAAATACTCAGAAATGCAATTTTGGACTTAGTTTTCATGATATGTCCTGTAGCATCAGAAAAATGCCATATGAACATGTAGACAAAAAGAAACACATGATTTTCTGGGTCCTTAAACACACAACCAACTCATCAATGGGACAGCCAGTGTTTATAAAGTAATACCCACAGTTCAGCTTAACTGCATCCTTTAGTGGGACAAACAAGTAAACAGCAGCATCATAAAATTGACAGAAATAAGAACATGAGAAATATACAGTATTTGTTCCTTATGTAGAGCATCACACACCATCTCGGTACCTCAAATGAGGGAAAAACTGTCATTCTTCTTTTTGATAGAGCAGTAGATGTGATCTGGTTCAACCCTGTGTGAGCGAAAGTTTATCAATAAAGCAAAGAGGGTATCAATGATTTCGAATCTCATTCTTTTTTTTTGTGTTTTAGGATGCCCAGTTGAGCCAAACCGAAAATGCCTCTAGCAGCACTGCAGATGCACCAGAGGAACCAAACCCAGCTCCATCTTCCAGCAGCACTAACGCTGCAGACTCCACGCCTCCCTCAGAGGACCAGACTTCAGAACAGTCAGGAGAGACTCAGAGTGAAACTCCTAGCAGCAGCTCTCCCATTGATCTGTCAACGAAAAAAAGCCCAGAACCCGAGTCCAACACTGAGACGACATCTGCAGCTTTAACTGCTCCAACAGCTAGTCAAGGTATAGACCACTCTGTATTGATTGTTACAAATGTCAGAGCTTTGAGCTTTGACAGGCCACCTTTAATGTGTGCTTCACTACTGACAAGTTCAATTTGACAATCTACAATCTCATTAGAGCCATGACAAAGTTTATGGGTGGTTTGAATTTGGCCTGCCTGCAGCCCCCGACCACATAAGTGGTTATTTCTGGCAGAACCAGACCCTTGGTGGTCAAAACACAAAGAACTAGTTCCAAATTAGGCTTCAGCCCAGAACTAGCCCTATAACTAGCTTGGTAAAATATGGGTATGTGTGAATTTTAACTTTGTGTCAAACTACTTTTTTCCTTCTCCGAGGTGTATGCTGAGCTCCACTAGGCTAAAAGAGCCAGGAAATTTAAGGTGTCACTGGCCTAGTGGTCTAAGCATGCACCCTGTATACAGACTAAGTTGTTGCCTCAGTTAGATATCTGCCTGCTGCTTCTTTTCTGCATGTCCCTCCCTCCTCTCAAGTGGCAGGGAAAACAAACAAGCAGCAGCTTTAAAATTCACTTGATCAATTTTGCAGCTTTCTGTGGACAAGATTGAAAATATCATAAATAATGTAATAATTATACTCTGACGTTTAAAATACAACTTTTTCTCTGCTCCCCAAATCCATGTATCATCATTTTTTTCCCTTTGGTGCATCTTATGGGGCACAGGGTTGGAGAACATCTGGACCAACCTTCCTGATAGTAGTAATTATAAAAAGGAGTTTGATCTCTTTCCACTTTGACCAGATTAATCAGCTGTCCATCACCTCTTTCATGAGGTGTATTATTATTTTTTATCATTATCATTGTTTTTACTATTATTATTATTATTATTATTATTATTATTATTATTATTAATAATAATAATAATAATAATAATAATAATAATAATAATAATAATAATGTATTTATTTTGCATTGGTTAACTTGGTTATTTCCAGTTCCTAGTCTGCTGAAATCCTGCATCAGGGCTAAGAGCTTTCATGAATTTATTCATGTACTGAGGATCCCTGATAGAGAGCATTACTGAAGGGCATTGAATTCAGTATTGATTGGTTTTGTCTTTCCCTCCACAGAGTCGTCAAGCTTTGGCTTTAACTCTTTTGGAGGATTCTCTTTTGCTGATTTAGCCAACAACTCTGATGGATTTGCTTTTGGAACAAAAGGTTGGCTTAAGTGTTGACATAATGTGAAGATATTTTTCACTTCTTGTTCATGCACTTTCAGTATGTTGGTACCTGCTGTGTTGTATTGTATTTAGGATGGTCAAATAACTGACTGTGAGAGAATTAACATTGAGAGTAACTCATATTTCTGCTGTGGTGGTCAAAGGTACACAGCAGGAATGAAACTTATTTCACAACACATTGTTTTCTATGTGAAGGAGACACCAACTTTTCATGGGCAAATGCTGGTGCCACAGTATTTGGGTCAGCAATGACAACAGAACCCAAAAACAGCAAAGATGAGGATGGCAGTGATGAGGAGGAGGAGACTCAGAATAATGTGGACATTCACTTTGAGCCAATAGTATCGCTACCAGAGGTACCCCCTAAACGCTGGACTCCAGTGTTTTTCTCTTTTGCTCATTTTAAGGTGTTAAAGTTGAGTTTTGACAACTGTTTACTGCACACCTCATCTATGTATGATTTCTCCCCTCTTAGGTAGAGACAAAGTCCGGAGACGAGGATGAAGAAATCCTTTTTAAGGAGCGCGCCAAGCTATACCGATGGGACAGAGACCTCAGCCAATGGAAGGAGCGAGGCATCGGTGACATCAAGATTCTTTTCCATCCAGAGAAACATTACTACCGAATCCTGATGAGAAGGGAGCAGGTGCTGAGGGTTTGTGCCAACCACATGTTAACTCAGATGATGGAACTCAAACCCATGGGCGCCTCACCCAACGCACTGATCTGGACTGCCACTGACTACTCAGGTTCTCAGAGTGTTGATAAGTAGCAATATTGTGCACTGCACTTGATTGTTTAGACTATTTTAAAGCACCTTGCGATGACCACAGCTGTGCTTTTTGTGCCCCTTTCCTCTACAAGTAGTTGTCATGGAGACATCTATGTTCATGTGCAGCTGTAAACGTTGATATTCACTTGTGTTTGATTAAGCTCGAAAACTTTTTCTTTGTAAGGCTTGATGGCAGAATAGATTCCTCTGTCCTAATAATTTCTTCAAATCTTTTCAGCTGCGCTCTTTTTTTACATCTTTTTTTTTTATGTCCTGATTTTCCAGATGGCGATGGTGTAGTGGAGCAGCTGGCAGCCAAGTTCAAAACTCCTGAGATAGCAGAATCCTTCAAGAAGACCTTCTGCGAGTGTCAGAGTCACATTGGCAGAACTGAAGGCGATGTTTCGTGTACTTCCTCATCTAAGATGTCCCGAGTTCAAGAGCACTCCAGAGACACCAACCCAAAGGTTTTCCTCAAAGTGGCAGCAGATGGCCAACCACTGGGCACGCTCACAATAGAACTATTCTCCAATATTGTTCCCAAGACGGCTGAAAACTTTAGGGCCCTCTGCACCAGCGAGAAAGGGTTTGGATTTAAAGACTCCATCTTCCACAGGGTCATTCCAGAGTTTATGTGTCAGGTTAGTTACACTTTAGAGTCATAGAAAGAAATCGTTTGGGTATCATTTATTTTTGGTATATGTTATTTTCTCAGACTAGTGGTTGTAATAGCCATGGCGAGGGAAATGTTGTTTTGTTTTTTTTCATGTGACAGTTCTAATGGTGAGCTCTTTGTGTCCTAGGGTGGGGACATCACAAACAATGATGGCACAGGAGGCAAGTCCATCTATGCCAGCCAGTTTGAGGATGAAAACTTCGATGTTCGGCACACGGGCCCAGGTATTCTATCCATGGCCAATCGCGGGCGTGACACCAACAACTCCCAGTTTTTCATTACACTGAAGAAAGCTGAACACTTGGACTTCAAACATGTGGCTTTTGGCTGGGTTTGTGATGGCATGGATGTCTTGCAACAGATTGGAGAGCTGGGAACAAAAGGAGGAACCCCGTCAAAAAAGCTGGTCATCATAGACTGTGGACAGCTCTAGCTTTTTGTGCAATAAAGATTAAGATTTGACAGTTTGGTTCATGTTAGGAAATTTAGAGGACTGGGTAATCATGTTCCCAACAGGCAGTACTCGTCTGCCTTTTGCAACTGAATGCCAAGTCCTTAGACAGCTAAGAATCAAAGCCGATTAGGCCGCTTCATCTCACAGACAACAAAAACTTTGTTTCAGCCGCCCGAAGAGAGAAATTATTTTTGCTATCTTAACCTGGCCTCAAATAGGATCATTTGACTGAGTATGTGAGGGGAGCTTAATGTGCTTTTGCTCAGTTGCACTTATATTAATATCATCTGTCAACAGATTCTCATTATTGGTCAGTTTTTTTGTCAATAGTTGTACATTAACTCTTTTCTGTTCTTCTGTCTTGTATTTGCTCGATTTTGAATTTTGGGTCCTTTTTCACAAGCTTCACTCAGATTTCTTTTGTTTTCCTGTTTTTTTCTGAGGAGGTCTTGACAATTTTAAGGTGGTTGAATATACCTTGTTTTGTAACCATGCTCCTGCCTTCTCTCCAGTTACTGCCTCTTGTGTCCTTTTTACTGTTGGGTATCATTTGATTTTCCCTTGTGTAAGTGGATCACACTTCCCTACATACGTTGGAGCTCTGGAGTTGTCTCTCTGTGTTGCTTGGGGGTGGTGGTGACTGTAAATTACAAATAAAGTTGCTTTACAATAATAAATGAATATTCATTTCTAATTCTTTTTTAAAATTTTTATTATGAACATTCAAACTCATTTCACCCAGGTATGAAAAACTATTTACATTTCAAGTTTGGTACTATTACACAAATTAATGTATTTGATATCCTGTTATATATTGTGCTTAAAGGGATATTCACGTGTAAATTTAAGTGAGGGTCAAACACACTATAACACCGAGTTAGACACCCCTTGAGAGATGAATTTTGCCAACCGCTTGCTTCTTTAGTTATACCAACTTCTGCAACGACCTCACGATTGTAATACAGAGAGCCATTGGCTCAACCAAAAAGCCACTCTATAGCCAGAAATTATGCTCAGAACAGCACCTGACTTCATCAACAGGACATAAAGGGTCCCAGCCATGGTACTAGCCATCAAACACCCTTTTAGCTTTGCCTGGTTTCTTCAGCACAGAGACTAAACACAACTCACCTACTCTCCTCCAGCAGCTGCTTGTTTGTAGGGAGACCCCGGACGAGTCCATCACAGAGTGCAGTGGGGTGACGCAGCTCAAGGAAGAACATTTATGATCATTACTTTATCATTTCCTTGAAGTAATAATAATCATATTAATCATTTTGCACTGCAGACACGGTGGTTCTTCTGCCTTATCATCTCGGTCTTATGGCATTTCCATGAAGGAATGCAAACTTAATTTTACACCAGAATATCCCTTTAATCATAACAATAATAACATGAAATATATAATTAAGCTCTTGATCACTCTTGGCAAATTCCACATCTACAAATCAAAATTGGCTTATTCCAAAACCCGACATCATCTATTGACTGCTAAACTGAAACAAAATAACACTTTACTTGAACATATGAAGGCCCAAAGAGACGTTAAGATTATCAATAGTTTTAAGAAATGCATTTTATTCAATTTATTTAATGCTTAACAGGACTTACATGTATCATCTCCCTTGTCGTGTACAGTTTATTTATACTGTAAGGAAGACTGGGGTAAGTTAAACCAAAGGGTAAGTAGAGCCACCCCCTGTTGCTTGGAAATGGTCAAAGAAATTGATCATGTTACCAAAAATTTAGGAGATGGGCATCAATTCATGGAGTCTGTAAAGGTTAGAAGCTCATGAATAAAGGAGTTAGACATTTATTTCCAAAAATAACATTTTTCACTCTTGAAAGTGAATTTAGTCTGTCATAAGTTTTATTAGAATTGTGTTCGGACCGAAAAAGATCATTTTAAATTTGTTTTATACATCAGCTATGGTATCTATGAGCTACAACATGAGATCAAAAACCTGGCATAAAAGTCCGCCATTTTAGCTTAGAGGACTAATAAAGTCATAGTAGTTCTGGGTTGAGTTGAGCCAGTGGCTCAACTGAGAAAGTAAAGTTGTCTGATGAGAGGATCAGAGTTTCAGTTCAGATTGTTGAAATGTGTTACTTAACTTTTCAAAAATACAGCTGTGAATGTTCTGAATCACTTACAGGCAATCTCGTGTTTAAATGTTTTTTTTTACAAAACAGCTTTTCAGCAGTTATATGCAATAATAATAAAAAATAATACGGCTCAACTTAGTTGAGCCGTATCCCCCCCCCCCCCCGCCAGTTGACCATAGGAGACCACTTACTTTCTTTTCATAGTCTATATCATCAAGACATTCATTCTGTTGGTTTGCAGGGATGCACAACATCTTGAAAAATGTGCAGATAGAGACAAAACTATGATTGCCTTGATGTAGAGATCCGAAATATGAAAAATGGCTCATCTTACCCCACTCTCCCCTACTGTTTACCAAATATGTGTTATCCAGTGGCGATTGCTCTAAGACTGCAAGGGAAGCTCGGCTTCCCTTAAAATGTCACCCCCCCCCCCCCAAAAAAAAGAAAAAGTGGTGAAATACGTACTGCTGTGTGTACATTTCATTAACTAAATACGCACTAGAAAGCCTTCATCTTTTGTTCAGAGACTGTGATAAGAAGCTGATAATCACAGGTAACCGGCATAACTTCGTTCTCATTCATCCTCGCAGCCCCTCAGCGCTTTAAACAGTCGGACGCTGGGCTTCTGCTGACTTCAATGTGGAAGCTTAAAGTGGGTTGGTCCAGCAGCGAAACTAGACGCTCATTGGATAAATGCTGGGCTTTGTCCCGCCCAATGGAAGCTAAGCTTTACTGGAGTTCTATGACGAGAGGGCGGTCCCGACTTTCTCCCGGACTCCAAGCTTCTGCCTCCATGATTGGATGAGCTGTCTGAGGCGAAATCCTTTTTTGATTGACAGCTAAACAAGCGAATCAGCGATCTTGAAGAATAAAACATCTACCAGAGTATTTTCCAAGTCATTCATTCCGTTGTTCTTAACTGCTCCAGAGACTTTACCGATCCTCAGCGACTTTTGTCTTTGTTAAAAACGACTGCCGTTGTGTTTGGCGACTCTGTTCTGTTACATACTAATAAACAAATACAATTATGATGTAGGCCAGAAAAATGAGCTTCCCCTCCTTGAAAGACCAGCAGCCGCCACTGGTGTTATCAATAATAATTCTGATTATAAAGTAGCCTACATGTGGTATGACATGTGAAACACACGAACAGGGTTTTTTTTTTTTATCTTATAGGATTCTGGCCGTTCGGGGTCCAAATGAAGGGGAGAAGGGGCTTTACATTGTAATTATTGAAACCCAAACTGAACGAGGTGGCCGTAGTTTTAAAGACTGAGTTTTCTACGGTGTTGATAAGAAGCTGAATACGGTAGCAGTTCCACCTCCGGCCACCGCAGTGAGGGGGGCAGCACCGCTCAGTGCCGCAGCCAGCCCACGGTGACGTCAGTAGGATGTAAATAGAGTGGCCCGCGGCCTGGTCGGTCTTTTCCCTCCCTGTGCTGTTTGGGCGGCAGGCATTGCTCCGTCTGTGGAAGGTCTACCATCGAAACGCAAAAATGATCATCTACAAGTGCATCGTCTCCAGTAAAGTAGACTTTTTTTGTGTTCCCTATCACATGTATGTGTTTTCCTCGACAGGTTAGTGGGTATTTCGGCGGTGTTAAAGCCCTGAAAGTGAGCTGGGTATGAGAGGATTGGCTAACTCGTGTAATCATCTGCTAGCTGATTTTAGCCGCTAATCAAAAACCCGAAACCTGGTGACTCTGCTCAGTAAAACTCGCTATGTGGGCTCGCCGAGGTTTCTAAGACCGACTAGCTTTGTGAAAGTTCAGATAATAGTTATTTATAAACCCATTCCGCTCATCCCAGCAGGCGCTCCGAAATAACGCAGATGTGTTGAGAGACCGACCGGGTTAGAGCCGCGTTAGTCCCAGAGCCGGAGTGGTAGAGCGGCCTGTAGGCGCCTGTGGCCTTCAGTCCCATCAGACTAACTGGAGCTAAAGAGTCGAGACGAGCTGGGTCCCACGATGTTGTTGTCTGCTAGTTACTCCTAGTCAGCTCACCCTAAATAGACTTTTTAAAAGTAATTGAACCATCGTTTAACTTTGTGAAATTGTTTTCCCTTCAGATGATGAGATGTTCTCGGACATCTACAAAATCACCAGCTCCAGCTCCGGGATCTTCTATGAGGTTGAAGGAAAGGTAAGTGAACCCTCTTTTATAGACTGGACTGGTTTTCTCGATATGAGCTGAATGTAAGGTCACAGCACGGCTTCAATTCTTGAAAACATCAAGCTTCTGACTGAGATCCACCACCGACCCACTGCAGCTCGTGGGGGTTTCCACAATCTCATGAGCTCACTGTCTGAGCTGCTGTATGCAGGGAGTGTGCTCACAGGACAGTGGAAAGGTGCCTTGGCTCATAATGACGCATATTGACAGTTGTCCAGCTTATGTTCATGTAGATTCTCGTTCATTCAGGTCATGGTTATCTGGAAGACTCCAAGTTGTGCAGCTAATGAAGTTCTGCTTTTTTGTGGAGCTCCAGACACACGCTTATTTGAAAAAATGCAGGATTTTTCTGTTTATGATGTTTTCAGTAGTTAGTGAAAGAATTGTGATCCACATCCAGCCTCATCTGTGGAGCCAAAAGTACAAAGAGAATTTGAAAAGTTGAATTTAGTCTGAAATGTTTCTAATGATGAAGATATTGTGACAACAAACAGAATGTATGTATGTGTGTGTTTCATCACAGCTGTTTGGGACCATAAAGTGATCCTGGGTTGAGTTGAAAATGCTTTGTTTATGATTTGTCATTGTTGTTGAAATGATCATCACAATGAATTAAACGAAAATAAAGGGCACACCCAAACCAGATCTCTATCAGCCTCCTTGATCAGCACACACAGTAAGTGATGGAGGGGGAACCTGTGCAGAGGCAACCTCTTTTTTGGCTGAAAAAACTACAACCCAGTGCATCATGGGATAGGAAAGACATGGGTGTTCCTTTGAGTAATCAATCCCCTTACCTCAGCTGGTTAGCAGGCACTGTATAAACACTGCAGGTTGTTTCATACCCTGTTAAAGCCCCCTCTGCCTTTTTCGGTAAGGTTGATAATGATGCTGTATTGTGTATTAAATATTTTTGTTGTAATATTTCTAGACAGTCACCAGGACAGACGAGTTCGATGACGCTTTAATTGGGGCTAACGCTTCTGCAGAGGAGCCCACTGAGACACAGGACGCCTCCTGTGTCTCTGGCTGTGATATTGTTCTCAATCATCACCTCCAGGAGACTTACTTCAACAAGAAGTCTTATAGGCTGTACCTCAAAGACTATTTGAAGGCGTGAGTACCAGTTTGTATGTATCAAAGTCAAGTTTCAAAAGTGTTTTACATGGAAATTTCAAATCAACCTTTTTTTTTTTTTTTTTCTCAGCGTGAAGAAGAACGTAGAAGACCGCTCCCCGGAAAAGGTGGATGATTTCATGGAGAAATGCAAAGCCGAGGTGGCCAAGATTTTTGAGGATTGGGATAATTACCGGGTAACTTTTCAGCATTCACACATGCAATAAACCTGGTGTAAACTCGGCTTACTGGACTTGAGTTACTCCCTGCTGAGCTCTCATTTAGCAATTCAAACAGATTTCACAGAGAGACTAACACAAAGCTGTAGTGCATTCTTATTCACACCAACCTTGGCGTGTGCTTTGAGGAGTCTGAGCTTTCACAAAACGCAGACAAGTTACAAACTTGATCAAGAGACAAGTTGACTTGGTAAGACTTTTTTTAACACCTTTCACCTCTCCTCCAGAAGGCCTCTTCACTTGTACTGACCGGTGAACAGCTTTAAAAAGAAAAAAAAGCCTCTGGGTTTTTAGTATTCCTCTTTAGAGGCCTGGATGGTCGGGAACCTTCAGACATTATAGTCATGATTCAGCATCAGGGTTTTACCTGCACCAAAATTGCGGAGTCTGTAACTGTTTTTCAGGGAAAACCATAGTCTACCAGAACATCTGTTGTCCACTACAGGCGGGGGTATTGTTTAATCAGGTTACAATGACCTAAATACGTTGCTTATAGAAAGTGGTTGAGCTAGTATAGATGGTGTGCTCATGGGTTCACACATTTGGGAGCGTATTGCCCCTGTTTCAGTTTGAGCCAGGAAAAAAACCTGATGGTGAAATATGTCTCCTGCTTTACTGTGGAGCAGAGTGGAATCAGAGAGTAGAAAAAGTTTTGGATTTTCAGTCAGAATTTCATCTTGATTAGAACTAGTTTAATCACTGTCAGTCTAAAAAAAGTGATCAATAAAAAAACATTGAACTGTAAACCTGAATACCTGCCAGTGATGGCGCTGTCAGGACTACATGCCCGACAAACTCCAAACTTGGCTCCAACAATTGAGTGGCCACTTTTAACATGTCTTTTTTTGTTGTTGTTTTTCTGGCAGTTTTACACAGGCATGTCCATGAATCCTGACGGCATGGTCGGACTGCTGAACTTCCGAGATGATGGTATTACACCATACATGCTTTTCTTCAAAGATGGTTTGCTGGCTGAGAAATGTGTAAGTATTCAGTTTATTCTACACTCAGCTGTGGAAATTTTAAAGACAGGGCTTCAAAATGTTCACATTTTCTACAGTGCATGCGTGAAAGTAGCTCTGAGTTTTAATTTAGGATTATCAGTCTTTTATTTGGTTAAGTGTCAGAATACTGTAAGAACCACTGTATCCTCTAAGTACTGCAGTCAGCTCGTCTGAAGGTAGAGACGTTATATCAAAGTGGTGTTCTTCAGGATTAGCATTGTTTTAGCTCTGCTGTGTATGGTACCATCAAGTGAACAGTCCAAACATAAATCCGGTGTGATTCCTTCAAAAGAACTTTTCTTCAAAAAGAGGGTAAGAACACAGTCAAGGGAAACAAGAATTGGTATTTAGTTGCTGGTGTTACTGGTACTCCTAAGTCTGACTGAAACTTTCCCACAACTCCTCCAGTTAACCAAAGAGATTAACTTAAAGAGATCACCTCTTCATTTCATGAACTTTCATGTGACGTATATCATGGTCAGGATTTTTGAATCGTACCCTCTCACAAGTGCATCAAACCAAACTAGTCACTGGTGTACAAAAGGTCATGAAAGGCCTGTGTTAGATTTTCTGCCATAGTAGGGGCTCTGCGTACATTTCTGTACTCTTCATGCCTCCATCAGTAACTTTTATACTTTGTTTTCTTTCAGTAACTATCTGGAACTACATCTGCTTTTAAATTGGCTGCTGCTTTCCAAATGGCCCCAAGAAAAGACTGGTGGAGCGGTATTTTGCATCATGGCTTAACAGGAGCATTCTTGAAAAATGTCTTTATTAAACAAACATTCACATTATGGTCTGAAGCCCCACCCCCAACACAAGAAATCAACCCTGAATGGTCACAGGATGGGGTTTTTAACATTTTTTTGGCTTTTGTAATGTTTGGTTTTTGGTGAGAGATTGTCAAGGATTTCTAATTCAACAAATCAGCAATTATCTTGGATCTTTGTTTTTAGGATTGCATTGAGTAAAATTCCACCCACAATACACAAGTGCAGAATTTGAAAATAAAATTGAATACCACCACCTTAGTTTTGTTGTGTTCTGAAGTGTTGAGTAAGCCTGTGCTTCGTGTGGAATTATCTACGCAGATAGCTGATCAATCTCCTTGAGTGATGTTAGAAACCAAAAGAAAATCCATATCTAGCTTCATGATGACTGACACTCAGTGAGAAGTCTTCTTTGGGCTTTCTTATACATTGTGAATCTGATCCACAGAGTCGTCATCTTTGAATCTTATTAGCCTCAATCATTTTCATGGTAGTAGTAAACTGCCACATGAACAGCTCAAGATATTTAATTCGGTGTATTCATTCTTTGTAACAGAGTTCGAGGGGGCCCAGGTGCAGCTTTCAGTCATTAAAAAGACCTCATCCTGGTTTACCTTTTGCTTGAAAAATCCAGTGACTCCAAAGGTTGGGGTCCTGTAAGACGCTGAAACTTTGGAAACCAGAAGTAGTAACTAACCTGCTGCAGACACACTCAATGACTGCTCCGTTTCTATAGTAACAGAGAGACTGCACCATGGACTGGACATGTTTTCAGCTGTTAAACTCTCAAGTGTGTTTTCTTGTTATCTATTACTGCTGTTCAATCGTACACGGTAGAAATTGTGTATATTTTCAAAACAATATTGACACAGAGGAAACCTCTCTAGAAACCTTTCTATTTAATTGCATTTTTTACCATCAGTTATGCAGATAACTTCTCAAATCCCAGATACATAGAGAAGTGGTCATCTCCCCATGTTAGACTGGGAAATTCAAAGTTGTGTGTGTGTTGAGGTGAACTGCTGACTTTAAGGTAGTTGATGACCGCAAAGATAAATGAGGTTCTCACATAGGAGAATATTCAGTTATTTAGCTCATATGTCTTTGACTTCTTTCAAAGTCATTTATTTACAACAGTCAGCAAGGTAGTACATCACACCCTCTGATGATAACCACACTAAAACCCCATACTATCTGAGTGTGTGTTGAATTGGATCTTCTTTAGGAATATGCTCAAAAAAAGGGGGGTCTTAAATATTAGCCAAAGCACTTCTGGAACATGAGGAACCAGGTTTGGGAGGATGTTGTTAGAACTAGGCGGTCTGCATCTCTTGCGCTTCCTCTGCAGACTGTTAGTGTTTGTACCCAGGCTTCAGCTCCCAGGTGCTTCTGCAAGCACCTTTCCTGTCATAAGTGCCAATGTTCCTCAGGATGTGCTTCAGGTAGGTCTGGAAAAACTGGTCATAATTTAGAGACTGACAACCAATATGTTTGAATAAAACATGACTGTATGAGACACGTGTTCGATCTTTCTCTATGGCTTTAATGTGTATGAACAGAAACCCTCAAAAATGTTCTTCAAAATCTTATTGGTTCTGTGCTGGAAATTTTACGGGAACTTGGATTTCACTCTCAGATCTGCTATAAACATATATATATATATATACATATATATATACATAATTATTAAAAATCTTTATTTTTTTTAAACAGCCCAAATATTCACCGGGAAACCTACTCTTTGTTTATAGGGCTGGCCAACTATAAATGATCAAAACTAGTAAGTTACACTAAATAGAAACAAGAAATAAAAAGCCAGAATGTGTGCGATCATAGACTGTATACACTCACCGGCCACTTTATTAGGTACACCATGCTAGTAACGGGTTGGACCCCCTTTTGCCTTCAGAACTGCCTCAATTCTTCGTGGCATAGATTCAACAAGGTGCTGGAAGCATTCCTCAGAGAGCTTGGTCCATATTGACATGATGGCATCACACAGTTGCCGCAGATTTGTCGGCTGCACATCCATGATGCGAATCTCCCGTTCCACCACATCCCAAAGATGCTCTATTGGATTGAGATCTGGTGACTGTGGAGGCCATTTGAGTACAGTGAACTCATTGTCATGTTCAAGAAACCAGTCTGAGATGATTCCAGCTTTATGACATGGCGCATTATCCTGCTGAAAGTAGCCATCAGAAGTTGGGTACATTGTGGTCATAAAGGGATGGACATGGTCAGCAACAATACTCAGGTAGGCTGTGGCGTTGCAACGATGCTCAATTGGTACCAAGGGGCCCAAAGAGTGCCAAGAAAATATTCCCCACACCATGACACCACCACCACCAGCCTGAACCGTTGATACAAGGCAGGATGGATCCATGCTTTCATGTTGTTGACGCCAAATTCTGACCCTACCATCCGAATGTCGCAGCAGAAATCGAGACTCATCAGACCAGGCAACGTTTTTCCAATCTTCTATTGTCCAATTTCAATGAGCTTGTGCAAATTGTAGCCTCAGTTTCCTGTTCTTAGCTGAAAGGAGTGGCACCCGGCGTGGTCTTCTGCTGCTGTAGCCCATCTGCCTCAAAGTTCGACGTACTGTGCGTTCAGAGATGCTCTTCTGCCTACCTTGGTTGTAACGGGTGGTTATTTGAGTCACTGTTGCCTTTCTATCAGCTCGAACCAGTCTGGCCATTCTCCTCTGACCTCTGGCATCAACAAGGCATTTCCGCCCACAGAACTGCCGCTCACTGGATATTTTTTCTTTTTCGGACCATTCTCTGTAAACCCTAGAGATGGTTGTGCGTGAAAATCCCAGTAGATCAGCAGTTTCTGAAATACTCAGACCAGCCCTTCTGGCACCAACAACCATGCCACGTTCAAAGTCACTCAAATCACCTTTCTTCCCCATACTGATGCTCGGTTTGAACTGCAGGAGATTGTCTTGACCATGTCTACATGCCTAAATGCACTAAGTTGCCGCCATGTGATTGGCTGATTAGAAATTAAGTGTTAACGAGCAGTTGGACAGGTGTACCTAATAAAGTGGCCGGTGAGTGTATAAGTCTATGTGTGCGATCCTATTCTCTCCTACACGCCACTAGGTGTCTCCATTGAGCTGCTGGAGTCCTGTAGGCTGGGTCTGACGAATCACTGATGTGCTGAGCGACTTTTCATAATGAGCATTTCGGTTACTTTAGTTCAGTAAAATTGAGTGTGAGCCAAGTGCTTTAGGAGAGAAATGATGGTGTGGAGTGCATTGCAGCGTTTGACTCCTACTCAGCTGATGGTTATGCAATCAGATGCAATCAGAGGGAGAGGAGGACCTCAAGGTCTAATCAGCACCTACACAATGCTGTTCTCTGCGAGCTGGAACGGATCCACTGCACTGTATCGATTTAACCAATCTTTGTGTGTGTGTGTGTGTGTGTGTGTGTGTGTGTGTGTGTGTGTGTGCACGCTCCTAAGCCTGTTGGCCCAAATTTCAGCCACAAATGATAGCGTGAATGGGCATGAATGTCAGTCTGTGGGCGTTTTGTTCAAATTTAACAAAGGAAGGTGGATAGTGGGCAGGTGTATTGTTTTTGGTCTTCCAGCAATAGTGTGTGTGTGTGTGTGTGTGTGTGTGTGTGTGTGTGTGTGTGTGTGTGTCTGTGTGTGTGTGTGTGTGGTTGTTTGGTAATGTCCACCAAATTCTTCAAGTTGTAATACTGGAACTGCTTGAAAGCAAAGAAAAGCATGTCCAACACAAGCTGCAGCTCAGTCGGCACCATCTTCCCCACTGACCTCTTCTTCTTGTCATACTCTGAACTGAAAATTATACACATCATTATGAGCGCCAACATTAATAATGGTAACACGTGTAGTTGTGATGATTCTTGTCTCACTTTTGGCTTTGATTCCAATGTCAGTATTGGTCCTCTAATAGCCGTTTTTTCATGTTGTACATTTTACCCAAAGTGACATAGACCTACTTACTTACCTTAACTGTCATTTTAACACAGTTGAAATATTGTCTTAGTTACATGAGTTATATTTGAAGTTTCTTGTGATGAACATACGGTACAAAAAGACTAACATAGCTCTTGTGTTAAGTTTGCAGATACACATGGGAAAAAAATAAAAATAGTCAAAAGGCTGAATGTAAAGTAAAAAAAAAACAGCAAATATATTTATCCCCTTTGTTACGACTAAAGTATTATACAATTATTTGGAAATCTGTTTCTGCTGAAATTCACATTAGTTCACTCAAACTGAATACTCTCACAACACTCATATGCACAGACACACAGCAGCCTTATTCTTACATTAAAGTCATGCTTAGCCACAGACTTAGTGACAGTAGTGACAGCTCTGTAAAGCTGCTGTGACACATGCTGAGGCTTGGTGGACTTTTGAATCTGAAACCTGAAAACACACATGCACAGGTTTGTTTTGGGTTTCCTTTGATTTAAGGTGACCGCTGCTTAGACTGAGAAGTGCCCAGTGCTTTCAAGGCCAACGTCAGCACTCAGAGGTTCAGCTCACCAGATGAAAAAAAGCACGTACTCTAAAATTCTGCTTTCTTCTTCATGCCTCCTTCAATCCCACGCCTCCATTTATGAAACACATTTAATTTTGACTGGGGACTAAACAAGTTTGCAGAGTTTACAGGCCTGACAAAAAAGGTCAGATGAACTACTTGATGGGAGTAACATCATCAAAGTTCAATACCTCCTCAGAACAAATGTCATGTCTTTATGAAACAAATACACACTCCTCTATGATATAAAAATTCACCTGTGTATCTGTGAGCGCTGACTGTTTTCCTATCCTAAATGGACATTCATGTGTGTGAGTGCTAGAAGGATGCATTTGATGAATGTATCTATGAAAGGCACCAAAGGTACCAAATATTCTTTAAAATAAGCAAAAACACATGGATGCTGCCATAGCCTCATCGTGTCCTGTCCATCCTGCCTGGAAGCTTATTTGTTGGGTGCCAGCCAAATGGGAACAAACAAACCTGAAGTTACAGATCAAACAAAGGAGAGGTGGAAAAGTCTGTACTATCTTCACAGTCCCATCCTGTACCCTCCATAGACAGCTTCAGCCAGATTACAGCTCAAACACCACGAAATGATACTGTGCTGGAGAAAGGTCATCATGCAGACAGGAGGAGGAACTGGTTCTGCATTACAGTGTACTCAAGTGCTGTCCTTTCAGGCATTTTGTGCCTCTAATTTGATGGCTGACAGATATGGTCTTACACAATAAAGCAAACTGTGCTGTTTATTTGCCTCGGGTTATATTGTAGCAGTGCATCTGTCACAGTGATGCTGTTGCCATAGCAATGCCAACCACTAACTAGCTGGAATAACAATTCCAATGAAAGGAGACAGAAACCATTGAAAAAAGGCAGAGTGGACTCAAGTGGTTTGTGTTTACAGAGGAACAGTTGCAGCATTTTCCCCTCTGAACAGAGACTTCTCCAGCTAGAAAACACATTCAAAGCAAGTCCTTCAAATTAGTCCAGACTAATTTACACATTTATACATTGATCATCATTTTTATTCCACTTATTTGTTGGAGAAGTCCATAATGAAAGTGCCCAGACTTCAATAATACATATGGAGATGTGATGGGATTACATTTGTAGGAAAACTGAAGTTAAGATTTTTTCTTAATAGCCCACGCACTTCATATTTATTATCTATCATTCTACAATGTTTTGTTGTCTATTCACAGAAATAAGGCATGGCCTTTAAAACGGCAATACTGATACTGAAAGTGTGCCAGCTGCCAAGTTTCCGAGGAAACAGTGTTACTTTTAGCCATATCGGGCTCTATTTTCGTGTCTCGCCGGAGACGTGCCGCAGGCGCGGCGTAAGTCAGGTCCGCTGCGCCGACAAGGCGTTCCCAAGCACAATTTGGTATTTTGGTGAGTGGCGCAGCCCGGCGTAAGTATCCCCCCTCCCTAACTCAGCTCCTCCTAGCGGCGTAAATTGTAGCGAGGGAGGAGAGAGGGCGTGGAGTGGGTTTAACACAGCCTAGACCTGTATTAACCAATAACATAAGCTCCTCTCCTCGCCTTTAAATCCGCCACCGGCGAGGCGTATTACAATTTTCGTGAAGTAGTCAAAGAGATCAAGAGATGTCTGAAGACAGTAATGCAACACGATGGCGACAGAAGGCAGCTCCTCAACAAGTGTCACTGTAAGCACTGCATTGGGCGTCCTCCACACTCTCTCATATAAGCACAGAAAGATTTGATGTGTGTAATGTTGGATCCACTGGTAAGACAAACATCCTTTACCACAAATAAAGACACTCACATAAAGTTGCATATATTCAAACCTCACGTGACAAAGGTGGGTTGTGCGCACAGATCACAACATAAACTCCAAAAATGGCATTAAAATCAGAACCATCTGTGCGTAAATGACACATCGCGCTCCGTGGCCTGGCTCTTTCTTTCATAGATGTTGGCATATAAAATAAATTTGGCTCACAAAACTGAATATTATAATATTCGTATGTCGGCTTAAAGTAAATAACTCATCTGATCACTGAAATAAATCATCTGTTCAGCCGCAGCTGCAGCAGGACGGGGAGAGGACACGGAGACATGTCCAGGTCCAGCTTCGCGAGAAATAAGAGGAAGAGGAAGAAAGAAAAGGAGGGAGACGAATTACATATCTTGATCACTTCATCTTGTGTGTCTATTTACTAGATCCTTAATTTAATTTAATGTGGTTTCAGCTGTGTTGATTCGGTCAGGTTGTGTGTCTTAACGCGTGCCAAACGCGCTCATCAGATCAGATATAGATCAGAATATATCTGTATAGATCTAAATGTATGTGCTGACTCAGATTAATAGTTGTTGTTGATTATTTATTGCACTGAAATGTGCCTGACACTGTGGAAACCTGCCGGTGAGGCATCAGTGACGTATGCGCACTATGCCGCTGGTCTACCAAAATACCACTATACCAGCTGCGCTCCGCCTGCGCTGAAACCTAACCAGGGGCTCTATTTTCATGTCCGCCGGTGAGGCGGCGGAGGGTGGCGAACCCCGCGCAGTGGTATTTTCGTCTGGCGGAGCCCAGCGTACAGCCAGTTTGGTATTTTCGTGGACTGAGGCGCACCAAGGTCCGCCAAGCTGGGCGTGGTGGCGTGGCAGGGGGAGGTGTCGACAGAATCAGCTGCCGCAGTGACATTTTCGTGCTTGCCGGTGGCGTATAAAGTGCTCTGAAAGCTCGCCGATTCAAACCTGGTCAGCTTTCAGCACAGACGAAGCGCAGCTGGTCTAGTGGTATTTTGGTAGACCGGCGGCGTATCGGCCACAGTGTCAGGCACATTTCAGTGCAATAAATAATCATCAACAACTAATAATCTGAGTCAGCACATACATTTAGATCTATATAGATATATTCTGATCTATATCTGATCTGATGAGCGCGTTTGGTACGTGTTTGGACACACAACCTCACCGAATCAACACAGCTGAAACTGCATTAAATTAAATTAAATGTCTAGTAAATAGATGTACATGATGAAGTTAACAAGATATGTTAACTTGGCGCCTCAGTCCTAGAAAATACCAAACTGGCTGTACGCAGGGCTCCGCCAGACGAAAATACCACTGCGCGGGGTCCGCCACCCTCCGCCGCGTCCCTGGCTGACACGAAAATAGAGCCCATCATGTTACTTTCATTGTTTGGAAATGTCTTCATCATCCATTTGCTGTGTTAGAAAAAATAATGTGAGTTCATTTGTTTCATTTAAAGACAATCTGTCACTTCAGACTGTCGGAGGAACAAAGTCAAAGTGGACTCACTTCTTCAGCTTCATAAAGTTGTCAGTGGTGACTGGTCATCGTTTAACTCTGTGCACCACCATTGCCTCCAGACATTTCATCTACAACAAAGACAGTGACTCAGCTGCTCAGTCATGATTTAGATGCATAAACACACACTCATGAGGTCACACTCGCCACACTGACCTCACACAAAACCACAAATGCAACATTAAACACTCCCTAAAACCTGATGGACCTGTGCTCGATGAAATATGCCTCACTGATAAGAAACTGTTTTCAAAAATAAGGAGAAAAGTTACATCTTACTGCTCCATTATGAAGAAAATGAAGCAATCTTCAGAAAAAGACTCTGAACTACACAGCTGAGGATCCATCCGTCCTGCTGTCCAATATTTTGCAGCTTGTTTTCATGAAGTATTTCCAACCTGATGTAGTTTTACCTCTGCTTTAAGCCCAAAGACTGAGAGATGACCGCACACTTTTTCGACAATTTATCATCAAAGTGATCAAACTTTGACTCGTTTAATTTTCAACACAGCGTTGCACTCACAGTAAACTAAGCCGACAATGACTTCTTAAAACTGTTTTCCGAAAATCAGCTTCATCCTACGTAATTTTCATTTGCAGGGGGAAAGACTTCAAGTGCACCTACATTCACTCGATAGTTTGATTCAGTGCTGAACAAGGTAACACTTACTGGGACTTTTCTTTTCACCACAAATCTTTGATTTTATTTTTTTGACTCTAAGTTTCTTTATCTTTGAATATCTCTTTTTGTGTCTGTATTCATGTTGCTGTAAATTGGAATGTCCCCCTGGGGGGCTATTAAAGGAATATCTTTTCTTATCTTAATGAAAAGTCCTAATAAGACTGTAGTTCTATTCAAGGACTTTAACCACTACAGGCTGGTGGCACTGACATCGACAGCACCCGATGAAGACCCTGGAGAGGTTGGTTTTGTCTCAAACCCTGAGTTTACAGTTACTGGATGAACATACAGTACTTGATTGTATCTTACAGTTGATATACACTAGTTCCAACTCAACCAGCTACAGCAGCACAACACTTGGTACACAATAAGGGACAACTGTGAGCTGGTCATCTCACAAACAGAAGGTCAGGGGTTACATCCCTGGTCCTGCTGTCCACGTGCAGACCCCACCCACCCCCAGCGGCTTATGAATGGGATTATTGAGGAAAAAACTGATGGGCTCAATACATAGACTGTATATACTATGGACAACTTGGTTCTGCCTACCACTAGTATACGGATTTGAAGCCAAATAGCTCTCGGTATTTCCGGGATTTTTCCTCATTTCCTGAAACCAGCTCTGCCCAGTAGCGATGTGCGCATTTTGC